TAGACACGGTTAGAATTAGGGTACCCTTTTTTCAGTAGTTTATTTTAGTTGGGGAACCCTCCCCCCAAAAAAGAAACGGTAAAAGGGCACCTGGCCGGGGGACCTAGCCAAACAGGGCCCCTGAGTTTGACTCAGCCCTCACGGCCGGAAAACCCGGAAGCCTTCCACATGGTGATGTAGCGACCCACGTGCAGGGCTTGCTTCACGCTGGTGCTGTCAGCCTCAGCTCGCAAAAATCGGCCACTCGATGGTTGCAATCCTCGGGCCGCGTTTGGGACCAAGAGACTGCTTCAAAACGGGGGATTCCGGGATGCTTTTGTGCTGTAGTCGCACCAGCTGCTGGGACTCTGCCGGCCAGATTTTGGAGTGCGCCCTTTCCAAACTGTGGAGCCTGTGAAGTAGGTAGAAAAGCAAATGTCCCACAGACCCGCGCGATGCATGTGGGGAAGGGCCCCCTGATTTTGACAACCCTCCACACATGAGTGTGTGTGTGTGTGTACATTGTTTGTTTGCGGGAAATGCTTTCCATCTTGTTGCCCGGGCTCCTTCCATGTCCCACATCAAGTGTCAAACTCCCTCAGAGGACCTTCATCATAAGATTCTTGTGGGCCCCGATCGATGAGTTCTTTACAATTTGCCCAAAGAGGACCAACAGGCACCGCATCAGGATCTCGGCCGAAGATTGCCAAGCCGAGTTTGGGGCTAAAAGTGCTTGGGGTTTGCCCTCACCAAACCACAACTTGGCCCACAAAAAGGGGAGCACGCAAAGTCATAGGTTCCCTTTCTCCCGGAACACCCCGAAGTCACCAAGCCCACTTCGCTCACCTCGCTCGCCTCACCTCTCGCTCACCTGGCCACGTGTCAAACGCCCGGTTATCCCCCAGTGAACATCCCAATCCCCACTAAAATAGGCTCTAAAATGGGTGGTGAATTCACCTAGCCACCAAAATGGGATCCGATCCCAAAACGGTTTTGACAACCGCCACAGCCCAGGCGCCGGCACAGCCTGGCGCCAGGTGCGCCACTTCAGCCAATCCCTGGGCTGACGGCCCTGCAGCGCCCGGCCCTCGGCGCTCGCCGCCGAGGCGCCGCCTGAGACAAGGCGCGCCGGGGGAGGGAGGCTCGGGGCTCGGAAAGGCGGGGGGGCGGACTTGGGGGGGGGACTTGGGGGGGGGGTTGACTTGCCAGGGGCTTGGAAGGTGAAACAAAGTGAGCCCCAAAGGCAAAACAAAGGCAGCTGGAATAAAACGTTTGCTGCGAGAGATGCGGGGAATGAGAAATGGCTCATGGTCCCGAATTGTTTCAACCATCCAGCTGGGGGGACATCCTGTTGGGCTGGTTCTCCAAAAACAAACAAAGGGAAGCCACCGTGTTCTCGGGTCCCCTCATTCTTGCCACATATCCGTATTCCCCCCTTAAAAAAGTCACCCCGCCGAAGAGAAACGAAACCAACCAGCGGCAAAAGATGGTCAACGGTCAAGACATAAGGACCCAATCCGGGCCCTGAGATACAGTTGACTTGACGTCTCGAAAGCAGGTTTGTCTCGAAATGAGGGGAGCCCCGAATTTCTAGGGGTTGATTCCACATTCTTTCCAACCATCGTTCTTTTCAAAAACCGATCGCTGTTCCCCCAGAGTTTTATTTTGTGGTTTTGTAGAAAGATTCGGATGCCTGGGTTCAGAATGGAAATGGAAGGTTCCCCTACAAGACCGGGAGACTTGGATCATGTGCCGACTCCACCCCCCGCCGTGTGGTGATTTGGGTTGGTACCTTCCCCATTTGGTACATTCTCTCATTTGTTGGGGAAGGCACCACATGGTTGGGTCACCTGTTGCAAAGACTCAAGTTGCAACCTTCGGGTATGATCCAACCACGCCACGTCGGATGCAACCGGAGTCGGGGGTCCAATAAAACAGTCACAGCTCGCCGCTAGCCAGAACTTCTCTTGGGAGCATACCCCGTTTTGTCTTGGGGCACTGACCAATTTTTTCTTAAACAGTTTTAGTCATAGGGGGGTGCTTCTCCATTTCTGGGTGAAGACTACTTTTGGAGGGGAACACCCCCCTATTTATAAACTGGGATTGATTTGTATGGGGTCATTACCCCTCTCGGGGTGGGTTCAAAGGGAGAGCTCGGCGGGACCAGGGTCGGAAAACGGGGTCAACATGCCGAAGCCGACGTCCATCTGGCTGTGGCTCAAAAAAAAAGTACAACCGTGGCACCTTGCCAAATGAAAATGAACACCAAAACATGCGTGACGCTGGGTCTTTAATTTTGAGCCACGTCCATCTCAACTTCCACTTGGTTGAGACCCCTGGAAAAAATGAAAAATCTTTCCGGTAGGGATAGATTCCCTTGAAAGCCAACAGGGGAGAAAAGAAAAAAACAACTCAAGCAACTGGAAGTCAATCCACGACTCCGAAATTCAACAACTCCGCGAATCAACGACTCCGCCTGTGAGCTCTCCCGTGCCGGTGGCGCAAATGCCCGGCTTGCAAGCGCCAAAGCACAGCAGCTGGGAGGAGGAGAACCTGGGCGTCCATTTGCTGAAATGGCCATGGGTCAAAATCCAAATCGTACCCCCAGTGAACATCCCAATCCAACCACTAAAATAGGTTCCAAAATCGGTGGCCCCAAGATGGTACCATTGGTTTTGACCCACAGCCAAATGAATATTTCCTCTATTCTCCCCTGTTGGTGTTAAAGGGTATCTCTATCACTACTGGAAATACTTGTTTCTTTTTTCCAGGGGTCTCAACCAAAAGGAAGTTGGCCGCTTCAGCCCGACCTTGTGAAAAGGCCAACTCACGTCCGATCGAGTGGATTGGCCCACGAAGTAGCCAGGAACTGGCTATGACCAAAATGGCAACCAAACCCGAAAAGTGAACCCAAAAAATAAGGAAACAGCTGGGGAGTGTGAGAACATCGGGGACCCCCCCAAAAAAAATAAAACAGTGGCTGTCCCCTTTGCTCTCCCTTTGAAACCAACCCAGGGTTCGCTGTGGGTCAAAACCAATGGTACCATTTTGGGGTAGGTGCCTCATTTTAGTCTACTTTCGTGGTTGGAGTGGTTGATGTTCATTGGGGGTACGATTGGGCTTTTGACCCAACCACCTGCAGCATGAGAATAAAACCCTCCAACTTGCCATCGCTTGAGGACGTCCTACACCTCTGGGGCCAAAATGGGTTGGACCCCAAGATGGTGTCGAACAAATACCCGCCGTTGCCGTGGAACCCACCAGAGGCCAAGCAACAAACCCCCAGTCAGATTCCACAGCAATGTGGGCTGGGTACACGTTGCAGGGTACGCCTGACCGATACCGCCAGATACAGAGGCTGCTTGTGGCCGTCCCACTAATGTTGACCCCAGATGAAGAAGCCCCTGCTTATTGATATGGGGGTGTCCTCGGTTTAGTGGGGATTCATCACTTTTGGAGAAGAGGAACACCCCCATATTAATAGACAGGGGTTTATTTATCCGGGGTCGACATTACTGCCCTCTCTCTCCGTCTCGCCCACACTCAAAGTCAAGTGGCGCCAGCGCCAGCGACGCCACCACCAGGCGCGCCAGCGGCCCTCTGCGCTGCATCATCGCTCGGATTGCTTCGCGGTTTTTCCGGTCAGGCTGCTGGAACACTTCCAGCGCGCGGTCTGAGGACCACGGGAAACAGAGCCCAAGGGGAGAGACGAGGTTCGAACAATTCGTGGGTGGTGAGCATCGTGGGAGATCCAACTAGGCTCGAGTTCGTGAGAGAGCATTGCAGAAGTTTGTTCAGCAGCCGAGACCTTGGCACCAAGACGGCTGAAGCAGGCGCAAAGTCGCTTCTGGTTCGCAGCAACTTGGGGGAGAAGTTGTGAAGATTTGTTCCTTTTGGAAGAGGGTGCTGGTGTCGGTGCCTTGCCAAAGAGCTAACATAGAACCTGCAACCCTAGACCAGGAAATGTTGTCTGACCAAGCCGCAGGTGACCTTGGAGAATCCTCAGTCGCAACAGGATCAAAACTGCTTGTTGAGAAATGCAGGTGCGCGCGTTTCAAGGGTGCCTTCTTCAAGGAAAATCTAAAACCTTCGTGTAGAAAAAATCAAAACCGCACAGAAAAACATGTGTTGCTTCTTGCCTTGCCATGTTCAAGAGGGATCTGTCACATGTGTTGGGTCCTTGACTAAACATATTGACCACGCTGGAATCCCAACCATGGCGATGAATCTACCACATTGCCAGCATGGATACCCCCAATATGCTGCCAGCCACCAACTTTACAACCATCCACACAGGGTACCCTCATTCTAGGGAACACTTCCATTTCCATTCTTTCCAGGGATCCGAATCTTTCCAGAAAACCATCAGAACCCCATGGGAAACAGCTGGTTTTTGGAAAGAACGATGGTTGAAAAGAATGGGGAATCAACCCCTAGACTCATTCCCAGACCAAAAATCCTAGGTGAGCTGGGTTCACCCCTGCTATTTGAAATTTGTGCAGAGGGATCAGTCTTGCCAGAAGCTCATGCGCTTGCCCAAAAAGGGCAGCTTTTGGCAGCTTACAAAAGGACATTGATATAAATAGTCTGGGAGTTAGCTTAGCTACAGTAGATACTGAGTAACGCCACTTAGCCCACCCAAAGGCGTTCATTGGAATCGAAAGGGAAAACCAAACACTTGAACCAGTGTTGGGGACCAGGCATCTTTCGGAGCCCCATACGCACACGCACACGCCAAGCCCTGTGCCCGTTCGCCGAAGTCTTTTTGCGCGAACGCGAGCGAGCTCGCGCAAAAAGGTCGGGAGCCGGGCAAACGCGCGGCTCTCGAAACAGGGTTGCTCCCATTTCGACCAACTGAGGAAATCAAAAAAAAAAGGAAAACCAAAGGAAACCAAACAAAAACCAAATAAAAACCAAGGAAAAGCCAAAAGAAACCAAATAAAAACCAAAGAAGAGCCAAAGGAAACGAAAGGAAACCAAAGAAAAGCCAAAGAAAAGCCAAAGGAAACTATGCACCCGGTGCCTACCCAAAGGATATTCATCTTACGAAGGAGCAACCCGCGAAGCGAAATGACTCGAGTGCTCAGGATGTTCCGGAGCCCTGGAGGCGGGACGGCTGGGCGGCTGGGCGGCTGAGCGGCTGGGCGGCTTCGTTGACCCACGGCATGGACTTGGTGCTCAGTACTTCCATGGTCTGGGGCTTAGCTAAACACGACGGGGTGGCTGAACCGCCAAGGGTCGGAAACACGACGGGTTTCGGGGCTCCATTCTTGGAGCGGACAATGCCCCGCTCGTGGACTATCCGAGATGCGCGGCGGTAAGCCCGGTCCGGTGGAAACAAAGAGCATCGACCTAAGCCAAGAAGGGACCCTCTTAGACACCTTTTTGTTACCAACTAGGTACTCCAGTAGAGAGGTTAGAATAAGGGTACCAACTTGTTTCTGTCTATTTTAGAGGAACCCTTCGGTAAAAGGGCACTATTGGGGGACCTAGTAGAAGTACTTGGATGGTTCTAGGGGTAGCTTCCCCATTTCCAGGCAGGCTTTCTTTCTGGAAAACCACCCAAAACCCTGGGGAAATGGCTGGTGGTTGAAAAGAGAATCAACCGCTAGAATGGTCTGGAGCTTAGCTAAATGGTGAGGTACCCGAGTTATAGAGGACTTACAACCCGCGGGAAGTGGGGTACCAGGGTTGCTGGACTCTTTGGCTGGAATGAACCTGGGTGATTCCCGAATAGAAGAAACCACATCGAGGATGGTTTATAGGTCATTCCAGTTCATCGCACCAGCAATAATAAAATTGAATAAACAATTACACACATCCTTCTCTTGTGATCTTGACTACATATGCCCCTGGGACAAGGGTAAACAAATGGCAGTCTAATGGTAGAAGTTCATCCCGCATCAGTGGCCCTCCATTTGTTAGGATCTGCGTTGGACAGTTCTGGGCCTCGAAAAAGGCCTTGTTGAGTCCAAGATGCTTAGGGAGTTTGTGCTTTTGGCTGACTTTTCACTTGGTTGCTGCAACGACCCCCCTGCAAAAGGTTTAACTTTTTTGGGGTTAGTGAAACACCCCTTTATTTTCCAAAAAGTTAAAGTCTAAAGATCCAACCCAATAGCAATCAAGTTCAGGTCTTGGTCTGCCCTGTCTTCCAGGATGGGCGAAAAGTCAGCTTCCCTCTTGATGTCTTGGATTGGTGCCCAAAGACCACCAATCCAGACCGCCGACGAAGGGCTTAACATTGTACACCTGAACATTGCCTTGTAGCTGCAGGCGTCGCTTTATTTTGGCGGTAAACAAAAAAAAACATGTTTCAAACGGTTGCAAAATGTATCTTTTAAGGAGCCCTGCCTCAGAAAGGGCGTTTCTGGGCGCTCCCCTACAAAAGCCTTGGCTCGCTTCGCTCCCAAAAAGGTCCAGGAGTTCAGGGAGTGAGTCCAGCTGCCTCCTCTTCGTTTCCCTTCAGGGTGGAGGAATGGCAAATTGCGGTGGGACGCATCCAGAACCCCGGGAAACCAGGGTGATGTTTTCGCAAAATAGGAATCGATCCCCTATACTTGCAACGGTGTCCTTTGGGTTTCCCTTTAAATACTGTGGATGGACGAAATCCATTTCGCACCACTTGGAATCCATGGTTGAAACCGTAACGTTTGTTGGCAGTTACGTTTGGACAATCGAATCCTTAACCAGGGTTTGCTAGGTGCAAAATGGATTTCGCGACCATCCACAGTATTTCATGTTTCATGGTTTGAAGCATCACCTTTTGGGCCCATTTGAGGTGAGTTTCCCTTGGCAGTGATTCGATTCCTGACATGTTCCTAGTACTAGGCTTTAACCATCCACAGTACCAACCCAAACTGACCAGAGCACTTCCTGAGCAGAAGGTCAAACCCCTTGCCGGCTTAATGGCACAGCCCTTTGTGCGAACAGATACTCTTCCATTTGCTCAAGTCCGACGAAAAAAAAAGTCCAGTAGCGAATTCGATCCCCTTTAAAACCAACAGGGGAAAAATTGAAAACATATTCATTCCAGCAAATGGCTGTGGCTCCAAAAACAAACGGTACCAGGATGGAACCCTCGCAAGTGGGAACATGGACCAAAACCTGCGTAACCCCTCCTGTTTAATTTTGAGCCACACCTCAATGGAAGTCTGGGGAGATGATTCCCTTTGAAACCAACAGGGGAAATATATATATATATATATATATGTTTTAATTTTGAGCCACACCTCCCCCCCCCCAGGCCGTGGTGGGGGTGGGTGGGTGGGGTGGGTGGGTGGTGGGGTGGTGGGGTGGTTGGGTGGTTGGGTGGTTGGGCCAACCCCCCCCCCCTGTGGGGGTGGGGTGGGTGGGGTGGTGGGGTGGTGGGGTGGTGGGGTGGTGGGGTGGTGGGGTGGTGGGGTGGTCGGGTGGTGGGGTGGTGGGGTGGTGGGGTGGTGGGGTGGTGGGGTGGTGGTGGTGGGGTGGTGGGGTGGTGGGGTGGTTGGGTGGTTGTGTTGGGGTGTGGTTCGGAGTTGGTTGAGGCTTGGTGGGTTGGTTTAGGGTTGGTTCAGGGTTGGTTCCGGGTTGGTTCCGGGTTGGTTTGCGGTGGGTTTCGGGTGGGTTTGGGGTTTGGGTTGATTTAGGCTTAGGGTTGGGGTTAAGGAGGGGTTGCAGGGTGGTTTGGTTTAGGGTAGGATGTTGCGAGAGGTGCGGGGGTGTTGGGGGTGAAAGGGTGTCTGGGACCGAAGCTGCAGGGCTCGCACGGTACTGGAAAGCATCCCCAGCATTGCCAGCATCATCCCCAAGATGCGGATGATGCGGATGATGCGGGGGAGTGGGGGGACCATACCATTGGGGGCGGGGGGGGGGGGGTACGTGGCCCAGGGACTGGTACATATATATATATATATATATATATATATATATATTCATTTCAGCAAATGGAAGACCACTATCTCGAGATGTGCAGCTCTGTCTCTGAGATGGCACCATGGCAACTCCCAAAAATGAAAAATATGTCCAATAACGACACATTCCCTGTGAAACCAACAGGGGAAAATATACCATATTCTTAAGCAAAAGGAAAGTCTTTCTTGGGAGATTCGGTCATACCAACGAGCCATGACAAGGACTCACCTCGCGCAACGAACACCTCGCCTCGGGCAGTCGCACCTTGCACCGGATCTTGCTGCACCCAGCACCCAGTACCTGGCGTTAAGGGAGTTGTCAAAACAATGATCGGGCCGCTTGGTTGACGTTGGAAGGGGAGCAAAAATTCAAATCTTATCAGTTAAGTGGGGATTTCCCACTAACGATGAATGATTCGGAGTTGACGTTGGGTTTGGGGAGCAAAAACTTGACTTTTAGCAGTTAAGTGGTTGGATTTCAACCACTCAACCGCAATAAGCAAGAAATTGTCAAAATGTTCCCAGTTGCAACAACCATGGATGTACCTTCCCACCAAGTAACATGGAACCTGGAACCGTGGGTCCCTAAAGGGATAAATGGCCTTCCAGGAACTTTCGAACGTCAGGTATGTGAATTGGTGGGAGGGCAAAGGATCAAATGGCTCTCTCAAAACTCAAACTGGTGCTAAGACTGGCCCCAAAATGGTACTAAAAGACTAAAATCATCTAGATCAGCCGGTAGATGTGTTTTATTTCTTGGTGGCCTTTTGCCCCAGCACAGAAGGTTCTTATTTTTTGCTGGTTAGTGGGAAACTACCACATCTTCACCCAAAAAGGTATAATTGTTCAAGATCCACCCCAATAGCAAACAAGAAAACTTGGTGCTACTAATATATCATATACCCAAAATCATCATCCCCATAGAAGGGCCTCTATACCCCTCCTGTTCCCATGCTTTGGTTTGTGGCTCAACACGGCCACTCATGTCGAATGTGGGTATGTGCCACGATGCGGCTAGCCGTTTGGGTGTCTTTTTGGGGCCAAACAAATGGTGGCTGTCCTTTTAGTTCAAAAAGAGACACACACACACACACACACTTGGACCCCAGCACTGGTGATTGCTTGCTTATTTTTGGCATCCCTTCAAACCAAGCTCAAAAGGCTACCGAGCCTCAAACAAACACATACCCCCCTCTGACTCCGGGACTCCAATCAGGACCTGCGCTTTTGAGAAATGTGTCCACATCAGGGGCCCGGTCAAGCAACGTATAAAAACCCAAATGAGGGAGAAAAGCACATCCACAAAACAGCTACATTGAAAAACCCAGGGGCCGAGGGGTAAAACAGACAGGCAGGCAAGCAGGCAGGCAGGCAAGCAGGCAGGCAGGCAGGCAGGCAAGCAGGCAGGCAGGCAGGCAAGCAAGCAAGCAAGCAAACAAATACAAATGAACATGAAAGGAACAAGCAAAGCAACACAACGCAACACCAGCAACACAACTCAAAGTAACACAACACGCAACCAAGCAACACCAAACAAGAACCATCGAAAGCAGGCAAGCAAGCAAGCAAGCAAGCAAGCAAGCAAGCAAGCAGGCAAGCAAGCAAGCAAGCCCAAGCCCAAGCCCAAGCCCAAGCCCAAGCCCAAGCCCAAGCCCAAGCCCAAGCCCAAGCCAAGCAAGCGAAGCAAACGAAACAAACCAAATAAACCAAACAAACAAACGAACAAAGCAAGCCAAACAACGCAGCACAAAACACTGTATACCAAAAACATAGCCAAACACCCCCAAACAACATCAAACAAACAAGCAGCGAACCCAAACGCCGCCCAACCAACCAACCAACCAACTAAGCAACCAACCGACCGACCGACCGACCGACCGACCAACCGACCAACCGACCAACCGACCAACCGACCAACCGACCAACCGACCAACCGACCAACCGACCAACCGACCAACTGACAAACAAACAAAGCAACCATCTAACCGAACAAACAAACAAACAAAAAGAACAAAAACATGGCGAGGAAAAGGAAGGCCGCCCCGCGGTTCGAAAACAAACCAACCCACGCACCGATCCCCGGCTCGCGGCGGAGGAGAAAAACAAAAAAAAAAGCCACGCGACGCGACATCCCCACCTCCCCGTCCAGGATGGGATGCCAGCCACTCTCGGCGCGCTCGGGGCTGAGGCGTAGGCAGGTGCCGTTGCAGCTGCCCAGGTCCTCGGCATTCTCCGGCGATGATCGGTGGCTGGCTGTGGCAGAAAAAATACATGGCGCTGCGGCTCAACAAACCGGAATGCCAAAATGGGTTGCCCTGGTAAGTGGAAGCATGGACCAAAACCTGAGGTTTGCCCCTCCGATCGTTTAATTTTGAGCCGCACCCATGTACCAAAATGGCTGCAAAAAGGACAGTTCTGGGCCTCGAAGAAGGAGTCCAAGATGCTTAGGGAGTTTGTGCTTTTGGCTTCCTTTTCACTTGGTTGCTGCAACGACCCCCTGCAAAAAGTGATCATTTTTTTGGGGGGCTTAGTGGAAAACCCAACTTGATTTCAACCAAAAAGTTTAAGTCTAAAGATCCGTTGCCCAATAGCAGTCGAGATGGCACCTTGGTAAATGGAACCAAAGACTAAACCTGCGTAAGCTTTCGAATATTGAGTCACAGCCTCAGCTTCAGGACGTGGAATTGCTTGGATGGCACAAGAAAACCACAAGGAAACCATCTGGAGGGCAGGCCCAAGACCCACAGGATTGGAACACATCTTTAGCCAGCTCCAAGTAGGTCCCTTGAATCAGCTCCCCTCGTGGTTTGGTTTGGAGCCGACTCGGCGGCGAAACGGTGGCGAAACGGACGGGTGCTTCCCATTTGCCCTCAGGAAGGCAGGGACGCGTTCAATTCCCAAACCAATCCAAGCCAACTCAGGGTTACCTGAGATGCCGAGTTGGGATAATAATAAAAAAGGCGAGCAGGAAGCAGTTCTCCTGGAGGTTCCTTGATTTTCTAGCAAAACAAGACCAAACATGAACCTGAAAAGAGAGTCTCTCTTAGAGGAAAATCTGGGGTCCGCAAAACCACAATGCCTCAGATTCCGGCACATCAGCCTCCCCTTTCAAAAAAAAAAGGCTGTGGAGGAGAACCCACCTCGCCCCTGGCCCTGAAGTTCTGAAGCGCAGTTCGGGAGCCACACAACTCAGAAATTGGTCGCTCTCGAGCGTAGTCCCCACAGCTGCTGCCGATAAAACCGCCCGCTGCCCACGATCCCATTTCTCTCTGAGCAGGTCAAACCAAAAACGGCCCCTTCTTTTTTCCAAAAGCTGAGCACAGGTTCCAGAAAAATCCCCGCGCCTCCAAAAAACCGGCCTTCCCAAGGGACGGGCCAAAAAAGAATCCATCGGGAGCCTCGAGTCGCTGTGCTTTTTGTTGGGCCCCCCGAAGTGGGTTGGGAGCCGTCTGCCCCTAGACGGAGAGGACCTGAAACGGGCGGCACACCGAGCCCCAGACCTTGGTTGGCGTTGGGCTTGTTAGCAGTTCAGTGGATTTGGATTTCAACCACTAAGCCAAAAATGTAAAATGTGGATTTCAATAAGCAAAAATGTAAGATGTGTCCCAACAACAACCATGAAACTTTGTCCGCCGACTTTGACGCATTTCCAGGCGGCGGTGATGTAGAAGTCCCCCTGCTCGTAGAAGATCATGGCGTGGTGCGCCGAGACCGTGCCTCAGATCTCGGCAGCCCCAAACAGGGCGGATGTCCATTGGGGAACAATGGGGCTGAGTTTCAAGGGGAAACCCCCTCCAAAACACCACTGTTTCTAGGAAAAGCGTGTTGATGTGATTTATGTGGGCTGTTCAAAATGGAGGCTTGGCCCATCCCACAATCCCTATTGGCATGTTGAAAAGCCGAAATGTCTCGTGGCTCAGTCCGGGCCCTCCACTGGCCTCATGATTTTATCGCGATCAAAGTCACCCCCTAAGTGGTGGGCTAAAAGGAAACAACCCCATTCCTGACTTTGAGAACCCCCAGAAACCGCCCCAGAATCATGCCCCCAGAATCTTGCCAATTCACATGAGAACCCTGCGAGTGCTCAGCCAACTAAACTCGAAGCAGCTAGATGCACCAATGCTCCCTGCTGAGGCCATGGCGTCTCAGGAGACTTGCTCTGAGAAGTTCCCTTGGAAATCAGCCACACAAAGCGGGTTCCCTTGTGGTCATAGGTGTCCTTTTGGCAAAATAAATGGGGTTCCCTGGCAAGTGGAATAAAACCCATCTAAACCAGTGGAACCCTTCTATTTTTAACCACACTAACCTTAAAAAAGGACACCTATGCTTGCTCTGAATCAGGGGCCCTAGAAGCACATGCCCAAGTTGACAAACTAATGCGTGCGCGTGCCATGGAGGCAGCCCCTTATCTGGGCCACAGCTATGGCTCCCTAAATAGGAAACTTTACCCTGGTTTCCCCAAAACCATACCTCATGGGAACCACCCAAAGCTGAAAAGGCAACCTGGTTGCCCAAAAACCAAATGAGAAGGCAACCGCAAGGGGTTGATGGGCCATTCCTACCAACATCCCCTACGAGAGATGCGGATTTTCAGCTGTGAAATTGATTCCCTTTAAAACTACTGGACGTGTTTTTTGTTCTTGAGCAAAAGGGGAAACGTACAAGGGGCAAATAAACGTGTTCCCTTAAAATATAACCACACAAATAAAAACGTATTCCTGAGCAGCGAGAAGCTGACCATGGCACATGTAGGGAGCAACCAACGAGCCCACGCCCGGAAAACCGTAGGAGCCCCGGTGGAAGCGAGTTGCCATCCTGCACCAAGACCAGTGAGTTGTCAGAGACCCGGCCGATGGTGACCCCCCCAGCAGGGACGGACACCTGAGCTTCCCACATGCCGTCGGTGGATGGGTGTTGAATTTGATGGGAAAGAACCCTGCGTCAAGGAATAGGGCCTTAGGAGGTCTATGGGAGGGAATTTTGATTCAGAGCCATGGCAAAGCTGAAGGAGCCTGGAGGGTATGGCCTTAACCCCCCATTCAACAATTTGATTCAGAGCCAAAGGCAAAGGAACCTAATAGTAGTCACTGTTGGGGGCCGTTCAGAACCAGCAGGAAGAGTCATGATCTTCCCATGGCTCCCCTTGCTATCGCTCTACATCCAGGTCTTTAAAAAAAAAAATGCGGTACAACGTACAACAAGGTCTACCCAAGCAGAAGAAGAGTTCAAGGCCGGATATACGCGCCTGTGGATGGACTACTGCTACAAAACGCACCAGTTGTGACGGATGAAACTTGGGACAAACCACAGGTGCAAAGTGGATTGCTGTCTGTCCACAGTTATGTAAGGGCGTATGAAGACCTACACTTGTGGGAAGGGGTTCCACCCTAAAACCACCACCCAATAGCAGTGTGTAGACACAAGACCACCAAACCATCACCGTGAAGGGGATGCTCATGGTACGCAAGAGCTGGCCTAAAGCCCAAAGTTCCCTCAGCTGCCCAAAGGACCCACAAATAAAAAGGCTAACTTCCATGTGATTAAGGCCCCAGGAAAAAAAATGAAAAACAAAACAGTAGTGATGAATTCCTTGTAAAACCAAGGAGGGAAAACACAAAATCTTACTAAGCAAATGGAGGCTAACCGCTTTGTGCCGTGATCAAAATGGACCAAAAAATGGAAACCAAAAGGTCAAAAGGTCGGCTACAACTGAGGCCACAATCCGAGCATTGACGAGCACACTCTTCACATCTTCAAGCCAAAGGCGGCTCCACCGGAAAACCCGCCGAACGGGAAGATGCTTTCCTCAAACCCACAGGATCACCGGGCAACTTTCTTGGAACACCCGAGTGGCCAAAATCCGCTCGCTTTCGGCTCTGCCAACATTGGGATGGAAACCCCTTGTAATCCCACACGGGCGATCACTCCACTTGGGGGCGTGTCATCCAGAATGAGCCAGCAAACCAGAGTTTACCCAAAGCAACAAGGAAAACAAGGAAACAAGAAACCAAGGAAGCAATAAAACAAGGGACATGTGCTTTCACTGACACCCTTGTTAGGGTTGGGATGCTTCAACGGGAAACCAACGGGGAAGCCAAAGCTTTCCCATGCGGGGATCTTTGCAGAAACTGCAAAGCTCCAGGTTTCATGGTCGGATCCCAGGAAAGAATGCAGGGGGATATAGCTAGAATTGTGAGATCACACCAGGCCCATGTTAAAACAGCTAGAACCATGGTCGGTCAAACCACTATCCCTTTAGTTTCACTTCGAAGGGGCCAGGGGTTGGCCGGTGTTAACACATTCTACAGCCACCCCTGGCTTTTCACTGGCAAACGCTAAGTTTTGCTGGTTCTGCGGTTCTGCAATCACCTTGGGCATTTGGAATGACCCTGGGGATCCCGTGAAACAGGGCTCCCCATGTTTCCCAAACCTAAACCAAGGTCTAACTCCTCAAGCAAAGCTTGCCCACTTAGATGGCCCAGCCCGAATCGCCCAAGTGCTTCATCATGGCGACATCCCACCAAAGCCACTGGAAAGGGGGCGATCGGGCACTTGGCAAGTGGTGCGTAAGCCTGGTTCTCACCCGCAAAAGCCGTGGTGTCCTTCTCTCCGTTCAGAGGGGTATGGCTGTCTGTCAAAACCAATGGGGTACATTTTAGAACCGATTTTAGTGTTTGGATTGGGATGTTCACTGGGGCATAACCGAGTTGGATTTTGACCCACGGCCTTGTCTCCCCAGGCCGTTCCGACCCGCTTACCCGACGTACCGAATCGATATCGCCCCTGAAACAGCGTGGCTCGACCCATTTCCGCAGGAAAGGTCACCGGCGATTCGTCGACGACGCTACTCCCTGCCTTGTGCCCGGCAAGTGGGCCTCAGCAGCCACGTCAATCAAAAGAGTTGAAAGCAAAAAGTCAAACAAGCCGGATGTGGGTGAGAAGGGAAACGAATCCTTTATATCTAGGCTGTGAGTCCGACTTTTGTCCCAACCACGGCACCACAGGTCTAGGAAGCGGTCCAAGGCAATGCGCGGCCAATGACCAGAAAGCGAGGAATGTGTTTGATGACTGGGAAAATTTGTATCTTCAACCAAGGCAATACAGGCTAAGGGTCCAACCGAATGGGTGTGCCTCTGTTTAAGGGCACCTTTGCTTGGGCTGTTGGAATGGGAAACCGGCCATGTGTTGCTTTTGCGCCCTAGTTGAGACAGAGAGGAAAACCCAAGCATTCAGCAGATGTGCTCCTCGGCCCCATCGACGCAAGAGTAGAAATGCAACCCCTGGCAAACATATATATATATATACACCCGTGTGATCAAACAACCCGTATTTCACTTGCGTCTACAGAAACCACGGGGCTTTGATCATCGTCTAGTGGATCGGAGCAACCCCCGTCACCTTTCCAACGATGTCCAACAACCAGAAGATCGACCTCTTTTTGCGGTCGGCATGTCGACTTGGTTGCTGTTGACCTAACCTTTTGTGGCCAATGAAACCTTATCTGTCTCCCCACAAAGCTAAATGTGCAAAGATCCATCCAACTCACCACAAAGCCGAGGTACTGGTGTTGTTCTACAGCAACCCCGGTACATTGCACAACCACCCAGCCAGTTGTACACCTTCCAACTTTGAGTCGCCTTCCGCTTTTCTCAGCTCCCACCTCTGGGACGAACTCCTGCGCTTGCATTGAAGCCAAGGGAGGCCATGTCTTGCAAACCCTTCGGCCCAAAAAGGCGAGCTGCCGGCCGGGCCTTCGGCGCATGTCGAGTCGCCCCGATTTGTGGCTCTTGGGGGCCTACGGGGATTGGAGGACCTTGGAGGCCATGGATTGTGGAAAGGCGAACTCTGCGAGCCTCGCACCACCAATTAAAAAAAAAAGCAAAAAAACAAAAACACATGGGAATGAAACCACTACTTGTTGATATTTGCAGGGGAATCGAATCAGAAATTCCAGGGTTGGGATACCATACTTCGTTGTCATTTGCAGGGGACTCGAATCCGAAATTCCAGGGTTTCTGATTTCGGTGGTGCGATGTCTGGCGTTTGCCTTTTCCAACAGCATCAAGCGTTGCTCCTATCCCATCGATAGACACTTGGCACCAAGAACGACATCAACGTTTATTTCTGCCGAAAAAAGCAACCACCGGCGGCCGAGCGAGACCGACCGACCGACCCTACAACTTCCTACAGGAGCTGACGGGAGCGACCGACCCGCCGACCCGCCGAGCGAACGAACTCTTCCTTCGGCTTCGGCGCCCTCCAAAAAGAGCACCACCAGCTCCGCGTGATCCGCGTGCTCGCTGGGGGGCGTCACGGACAGCACCTCGATGGCGTCGGTTGCGGAAAAAAACGGAAGGAGCGGATCCCGGCTGCTGGTGCTCGGTGCTTAGATGGTCTGGGGCTTAGCTAAATGGTGAGGTACCCGGGTTATAGAGGACTTACAACCATGGGAAGTGGGTTGCCAGGGTTGCTGGACCATTTGGCTAACTTCCAGACCATCCATCTAAGTAGAGAATGAGGGAATGAACCCGGGGATTCGCTTAAAGGAAACCACCAGTTGGGTCATTGCCACATCTCCTACTGAGCACCAGCAAGTCTAAAAAAAGGGGCCAGCCAAACAGTCGAAAACTCGATTCGGCCGTTTGGAAGTGAGTTGGCAAGAACGGCTAGCAGTTGCCCCTAGCGGATTCCAAGCTCTAACCGGGGATGTACTCCCATCCAACCCGATCGTCAGAGCAGGAAGTTGGTGAAGGGAAGGCAAAAGCACCAAATACCATGTTGCTTCATCTGATGCAAACTCCGGATTAATAAACCCTTGGTTGATTGATCGGGCATGTCCCCCTTTCGTATGGATTCATCACTTTTGCAGGGAACACCCCTACCAATAGGACGGGCTTGTTAATCCAGGGTCAGCGCTATGGTTTCGTCATTGAGTTTCGGAGCAACCCTGAGGAGAATTGGGCCCACTTGAACCGATGGAAAGGACAAAGGCACACAACTTCGCGATGTAACTTGCGACATTGAGGTGTTCTACCGACCCGTACACCATATGCCAGGGTCAAAACAAGCGTTTTCGCAAGGGACATGGGCATACTTTACCAGAGTTCCTTCTGCTGGCTTTTGCAGCAAGCTGAATGAGTCCCAATTGACCGGTTCGCCGAACCTGGACTCTGGTCGCCGCGATTTTCCATCAACTGCCTCACATAGGTGTCCTTTTGGCAAAATAGATGGGTTTCCCTGGAAAATGGAATAAAACCCATCTAAACCAGTGGAACCCTTCTATTTTTAGCCACAAACCTAAAAAGGACACCTATGCTGCCTCAGCTTCCCCCCAACCAAAAACACTACGCTTGATTCTGCCCAGCTGCTCTTCGTTCGGTGAACCTTAAAACTTCGCTGGAATTAGGACCCCAGCAAAAAAAGATCTCTTTTTTGCCTGGTTGGTGGAAAACAAAGGCAACCCCAAAAAAGCAAAACATTAAAAGGGGAACTAATTCTGGGGAAGAAAATATGTTTGTTTGAAAAGAAAAAAAACAAAAAACGTCAACAGGACACCTCACAATGCGCATCATACATCTGCTTCAAATCAAGGCTCGCCCTCCTACGGCCACCTGGCCCTTGAGAGCAACACAAGACTGGGCTGCCCGTTTTCTGATCCTCGCTAACAGTGACGAACTGTTCGTGGGTGAAGTTCGGAAACCGCCACTAAGCCAACTAAAAAGCTAAACGCTAAGTGGATGGCTGGGAATCACCAAGCAACTTGGTTTGCCCGTCAAGACAACAACCTGTGCATTCTTGCGCAAGGACACGTGTCACATCCACACAGGGGGCGAACAGGGAAAAAAGAGGGGGTACAGAGCAAGCTGGGATTTACAGCCAAGAAGAAGTGCCCTTTGATTAGTTGGGCCACAACCCGCTTTTTGGGCTAGCAAAGCCCAACCTGCACCCGTTTGGATGAATAGAGGGTCTAGGAAAATCAAGAACTTACCCATCCTGGCCTTCAATCGGGAAACGTCAACAAATGTGCGTTACCCAGACTCCTCAAAAACGCATCGCGTATCGCTTCCTCAAACACGATCTTACCCCTAACAACAACTGCCCACTGTTTGCTGGTTGAAAGGCAGAATGAAGGAAAACTCAAAAGACCAAAGTCAAAAAGGCAAACACCATCGATAAAGAACACAATACGTTTTATTTTAGTGCAACAAAAAAAACAAAAAAACAAAAACATGCTTGAAAAAAAGCAGTATGCTGGCCTTTTTTGCCTTCTCAACACTCGTTTTTGACTCGTTTCCCTTCCGACCTCCGACCTCTCACCGAGCTGGACACCTCCCCTCCCTGTCGCCTGCATCTCGGTCTCCCCGAGCTTCACCATCAGCCCAGGAAACATCTGGAAATGACCTCGGAGCGAAGCGTTCGCTCGCGCCCGGCTCGGGGCCCGGAGCGAAGAGCCACGGAGATCCAAAACCTGAACTAAGGGATTCCGTAACCCTGGATATAACTCAAAGAAAAAATATCCTGGAATTTCTCCAGGAAGTTAAATTGGAAAGGTTTTTGGAATCTAGATCCAATTCTAAATTCAGGTTTTGGAGTTGTAGTAAAATAGATGCAGACCGAAGGTCCGGGATTTAGCTCAAGGAGTAGCTCTGGGAAAAAGTTATAATGCACTTAAGGGACTTGCAGCCAGGGCAAGTGTGTTATTCAAAGAATATCTCTACAGGAACTTCTACAGGAAATTAGATTTGCTTAGACTGGGCAAATCCAAGCCTAGACTGGGCTTATCCAAGGTTTATCCAAGCTAACAAATCATCAAAATCGGGGTCTCAGAAGGGCTTGTCCACGAACGGGGATCTTGCCGTACCAGTGGGCAATTCTCCAGGAAGTTAAATTGGGCTTAAATTGGGCTTGTTTTAGCTTAAACAAGCTGAAATTTCAGCTCGTTACACCCCCGATTGGTGAGCTCGCTATAGGCAGACTTGGATGGGGGAAGGTGTCGGATCTTGAGGAGACCCTTTTGGGATCTTTTGGGGTAGGTCTAAGAAGACAACAAAAGGAAAACACAAATTTTGGGAGGTCCAAATCCCTATGTGCCCCGATGGTCTTGGAATCTGCTAAAACGCTTGCCAACGTTGGTTATGACCCACTTGGAAAACAGGCACACACACGCGCACGCACACCTGTTGGGGGAACCTCCCCCCAAAGCACACCACCACCCAACAAAATACCTCAAGACATGGGTGGTTGCCCAATAGACCACTGGAAAATTGGGGCCCGTGCCCCTAGATTTTGGGTTGCCCCCCATTTCCTCCCATTTCCTCCCTAGACTATCAGTTTGCTGGTGTGAACCAGGAACCCACCGCGAGGAGACACTCCGCGGCAGAAAACGCGCTTGGAATCCAATGGGCGACTTCCAAGGGACCCAAACGGAGGATGTGATTTTTGTTTCTCGTTCGGTCCATTACGTGACCAAGACCCGCAGTGGCCGTGGGAAAAGAATTGGCACAGAGTGTTTGGTCGTTGCTTTTGAAAGAAAAAGGTGCCCCCCAACAAAAAAGAGGAGAACAAAATGGCCCGCCGTCCGCTCGGAATCGGTCTGGGGTTTTGATTAGTTTGGTTGCAACCCGCTTCTGGGTTCAAGCGAAAAGCCAAGCCTTCCTGCCCAACCCATCACAACGACTCGATTGGCCTCGTTATTTTACTAGGTCCCCCGGTAGAGAGGCTAGAATAAGGTAACAGTTTTCCTGTAGTCTATGTTAGTAGGGGAATCCTCCCCCAAAAAAGGGTCAAAGAGCACTGCTGGGGGACCTAGTTTACCATCAAAGTCACCCAAGTGATAGGTTCGAGGAAAACAACCCGAGCTAACAATCACTCAAAGTCATAGCCCCGGCCTGCGATTCGATCCCCGAGCCCATCCGTGCGGGCAAACACATCGACCGACCCCGATTCTCGCTGCTTGAATGGACGTGCCTTTTTGGGGTACCCCTGAAAACAAGCAAAGGAGAAACCGTTGCTCCATGTGTGTGTGTGCGTGTTTTTTTGGGGTGCCCCCTTTTTCAGGCTTTTGGGAAACCGCCAACAAAAAACCCAACAACCGTGGCGCCACTGCTGGTCCCAGTCTCAAATTTTGTTCGCCCTCGAATCCATAGGTGTCTTTTTAGCGGAAATAGATGGGCTTCCCTGGTAGATGAAATGAAACCACCAGGTAAACCAGGGATCGCCCTCTATTTTTCTAGACCAAAACCCCCAGAAAGACACCTCTGCTCGAATCGCTCCATTTGGTTAAGACCCCTGGGGAAAACAAAAAGTATTTCCAGTAGTGAAATCGACTCCCTTTAAATCAACCTGGGAAAAAATAAATAAATATGTATATATATATATATATACATATATATATATTCCCTTCAGCCAATGGAAGTTGTTCTGTGGGCCCCGTTCTCGAGATTTGCGCGTGTATTTTTGGGGGTGCCCCCCTTTTCAGGCAAGAGCCAGGGGTTCAAATCACTCCAATCATCCTATGCCTCGACTCGCTTGCACTCGGCTCGCTTTCAAGGCGCCGTGGGGCCGCAGGTAGAAGAAGCTGCCCGTGGTGGAGCCGAGGTCCTTCACACAGAACTCCCCTTCCAGGAACCTCATGGCTGTCGTCAAAACCAATGGTAGCACTTTGGGAAACCCTGATGCCATTTGATGGGAACCACGCAAAAAAGGGATTTATCACCACGGAAGATTTCCTCACATGGCTGTGGTTCTGTCAAAACCGTTTTAGGATCCCATTTTGGGGTAGGTGAATTCACCAGTTTTAGAACCTATTTTAGTGGGAAACCGTTTGGGGATCCTCAAAAATAGGTACCCAAAATTGAACCATGGTAAGTGGAAACATGGACTAAAACCAGTGGTCCAATTCCTAGTGGTTTAATTTTGACCCATACCCACATGGCTGTGGTGGTCAAAACCGTTTTTTGGTAGGTGAATTCACCACCCAAAACCAATGGTGTCAAAAATGGGTACCCAATTGAACCCTGGTAAGTGGAAACATGGACTGAAACCTGTGGTCCAATTCCTGGTGGTTTAATTTTGACCCATACCCACATGGCTATGCACCACCCATGTTGGAACCTATTTTAGTGGTTGGATTGGGATGTTCACGGGGGGTACGATTTGGATTTTGACCCATGGCCACATCAACACACGGACGAAACAAACCACCGGACATGGCGTGGCCCGGGTTTTGGCGTAGCCCGTGTTGTGGTTTAAAAAAAGAGAGAGGAAAAAGCACCGCGAAAATATGGCCCAAGTTGGTGATGGACTTGGGTTTGACAGGAAAATAGATCCATGCCCCGGCTCTTGGCAGGGCAAACTGTCCGTTTTTGCACTACCAATGATCCGTGCCGAATGAATACCAACATGCCAAGAACAGGGAAGATGCGTACCCCCAAGCAATTTTCTTGTGAGAACACCTTTCATCGAGGCGGAGGCTTGAAAAATAGGTTGAAGGATCTTGGATAATTGCATTAAGGCCCACCGTGGCCCTAATTAGTATGTGGCACACATACGCGTTTTGGGATCCATGTTCATCCGCAGGGGAGAACATACCTCGCATATACTCAGTAAATATCCCATGTATATATATATATATATATACATGGTACCCAGTTTGAAGCGAACTCCTGAAAGTTAACTCGAGCCAAAGGAGGCAGAGGGCAAAAGTCCGAAAAGTCCGAACGGCTTCGCAAGTTCAAGCAGTCTCAGATGCTTTGAAGGTGTGGAGGCTATATATATATATATATATATGTATATATGACATATGGCTGTGGCTCAAAAAACCGGTACAAAACTGGGTTGCCCTGGTAAGTGGAAACATGAACCAAAACCTGCGTAACCCCTCCTGGTTAATTTTGAGCCACGCCCATATGTATAGAGAGGCTAGGGTGGGGTATAACGCTTGGAAGTGGTGTAACCTCCGCGCCCCCAAACAACCTGCCTGAAAATGCTCTTGAATTGAAGTCGTTCAGGTTGTGGCATAAGGAACCCTTGAAGAACCTCGCGGTGGAAACACTCTACTTGTGTGCGGATCCCTTTGTTTATGCTTGATTCTCGAGGTGTTCACCTAGGGTTTCATTAGATGGTCAAGGGAGCCATCTAACCCTGGACATAGCCCACTTGCCCTGGCTGAAGGTCCTTTTAGCGGGCTATAAATTGTAACCAGAGCTACCAAACATTTGGCTGAATCCCGGACCATCTGAGCACTGTGGTCTGCATCTTTTTTTACAATAATTCCAAAACCTGAATTAAGGGGTCCCCAAGTAAAGAACCTTTATCATAGTGAGCTCTTTTTACCCCCGATCGGTGAGCTCGCGATAAAATAGGCAGATTGGTTCACGATCTGTGCTTTCTTGGTTTGCTCATCGCGTCGTGCAAGGAACCGGCTCCATCGAATGGGCGACACTACATTTGCCACGGCAAGTAAACATGCAGTGCTCAAGATGGGCCTGAGTCCCTCATGTGTCTACATATGTATTTGTATATTGTTGATGCTTGGAACCCTGTAACCTGCCCTGCAAAGGCAACTGCATGCGGCTTCAATTCAATTTTGAGGATCCCACAAAATGCACTTTGACCCGGCTCAAACTCGGGGCATACAAAACAAAAGTAGCTCTGGCCGTGAGACCAATAAAGCGACCTAGACCCTACAAAGAGCGGACATGTTCCACGCGGTGCCCGTGCGAGTGGCCGGATCTCGCAGTGGAATCTGCTGATGCCGGCTTCTGGTATGACCTGAGGATCCATAGGCGTCCTTTTAAGGGAAATAGACGGGTTTCCCTGGTAGATGAAACTTCACCACCAGGCAAACCAGGAATCGCCATCTACTTTTCTGGACCAAAACCACCAAAAAGGACACCTATGTGAGGATCCCCCAAACTTTTCTTTGAAATCCGTCGTGTCCTCGCCAATCCTGGGAGTGGTCTGTGGGCCCCGTCAAAAGAACTCTCCCCCCCTTAGCAAGGCAGCGAGTCAGGGTCTTATGTTGGGAAGTTCAGGCGGGGAGGATGGGCAGGGCAGGTTGAATCCCAGAGGAGAACAGGAAACCAGGTCCTCCAAATCCCAAGGTCCAGAATTGCTTGCACATACCCCTTTTGAAAGGTACTACGCCTTGGACAAATGAACCCAAAAGGCCTGCTGATGTTCATACCCCTCTCCCCCCAAACGGGGTACAAAATCCCCCTTAAAAAACAAGTGGGTTGGAAGCGACGGAAGCCAAGGAGGGGTATGTACTTCCACCCTTAGACAAAGGAATGTTCTGAAGAAACCTTTGAAGAGATTGGTCCAAGGGCTTCTCCGAACTTTTCTAAGGGCAGACCTTTCGGCAACATGAGCACTTCAAAGGACTGAGAGCAAGGTGGTCCTTCGGCTTCCATCGAAACGCCATTCAAAGAAAGCGCCAAAGAAGAGCGGAGCAATATTAGCCACTAAGAGCGGAAAACTAGAAGCAACTAAGAGCGGGAAAAAAACTAAGAGCGGGAAAACAACAACTCAAAGCGGAAAAAGTAATGGTAGTAGTCGTACTAGTAGTAGTACTAGGAGTAGTAGTAGTAGTAGTAGTAGTAGTAGTAGTAGTACTTGGTTGCTTTCTGCTCCCCTGCTAAAAGTATAATTTTTAGTGGTTTAATGGAAAACCCAATTCGCTGGCAAAAAGTGAAAGTCCTAACATCCAAGCAACCAAAGAGTAGTAGTAGTAGTAGCAGTAGTAGTAGTAGTAGTAGTAGTAGTAGTAGTAGTGGTGGTGGTGGTGGTGGTGGTAGTAGTAGTAGTAGTAGTAGTAGTAGTAGTAGTAGTAGTAGTAGTAATACTAGTAGTAGTAGTTGTACTAGTAGTAGTACTAGCAGCAGTACTAGTAGTAGTACTAGTCGTAGTACTAGTAGTATCTATTTTTCCGCTCTTAGTATCTATGTTTTCCGCTCTTAGTCCTTTTCCGCTCTTAGAATCATCTTTTCCGCTCTTAGTATTCCTCGTTTCCGCTCTTAGTATCCCTCGTTTCCGCTCTTAGCCAATTTTGTTCCGTTCTTAGTTTGAACACTTGCCATTCAACAGGCCACCCTACTTTCAGCAGTGTCCATGTGGAAGGGACTAAGTGCGCCCAGGTCAAAACTCTTGGTGTGCGCCATAGTCATGGTCTAATCTTCCTATTGAGGGGTTGATGATTATCCCTATACTACCACCCCAAGTAAACGGATCTTGTGACCATGGCATCGAAGCCTCATTCATCTCTTTCCCATCCTTTTTCTCCCCATCCCCAGCATATGAATTAGACCGATGTGATAATGAAAGGGAACAGTGCTCAGGGTTTTGTCAGGTGGCTGGCTTCCTCGCAATCCAGGATGCGAAACACAAAGAAGCATATAATTATCGCTGCAGTGTTGAGTGAACTCCCTCTTTCCAATCATGGATGCTAACAGGAGCGTTTCGGATGACCATCAAAACTTGGTCTTTGTCCGCGTCCATGATTGTTGGAAAAGGGGGACCTCTGTCAAATTCCGGCCCAGAACGAACCAAAAGGGGTTCACCAATTGACCAATGGTCAACCAAGGCCAAAGCCAGTTGGCCGAAGTTGGCCGTAGCTCCCTTCAAAAAAGTTTCAGTAAGCACCTACCCCTTGAGTGGAAACCAGGCAACCCACGTACCGGAATCTGCATCCATTTAGCTACCTTGACCATCTAAGCAGTGGAACACGGGGGGGAGCACCGCTGCAATCTGTCGCTTGCATGCGAGCTGCCAGGGTGTTAGACGTGTGGCGCCCGATGCGGCAGACCTCCTGGCACGGGGGTGTTCGGCTCAGACGAACAGAGGGGCGACCGTTTCCAAGGAGAGCTTGGCAGGGAAGAACATGTTGTTGTGCTGGCTGTGCGTACTTCTTCTTAGTAGATGTTGACGCGATAATTATTTCTCTTGCTGCTTTGTTGCGTGATTTCGTCTTAGAGGTGAGTTTAGCAATTAGGTGTTTGGTGTGCGATGTACTGGGTTCCTTCTCATGTACTTTCACCCAGACCCGATATACCCTGGCTGATTTGCATGGGGGCCCCCCCCAATGAATCCGCCAGGTTGGTCCATCCGGAATTCATTTCGGCGGTACGTGAAGAGTCATGGCCCAGCAGATGGTCGTCCACGAGAAACGGCTGTCACCTTTCTCGGCTGCTCTCCGTGCAGGCTTTTTAGATCTCCCTGTTCGAGCTCTTTCAGGTCTCCCCAACCTATGGAGCCGGCTCGCAAGGATCCGCTGTTTGAAGTCAAGCAGTTTCCAGCTGGAAATGGACCCCGGAGAGGGTCTCTCTCTACCGCGTTTCGGAGGGTCCAAGCCTCATTTCGGGGCAACCTGGCAGACTGCCTCAGTCCTTGCCCTGACCAAAAGTCAGACGAGTCCAGCTTTGCTAAATTTGATGTACTGGCCCTCTTCCATGGAATGGCCCTGGGAAAGCCCACCCTGGTAGAGAGAAATCGCACCCTTATTGCTGTTGACTGCCAGAAGCTGTTTTAGTCCAAGTGCAATCCACGCGACTTGGGCAATCTCTAAGTTGAAGGACACACCCACATGCCATTAACTTTGCGCCCAACCAACAGAGTTACAGGTTTATATTGGTGTGTTCTGACGGTACCCCCTTGTGGTCGGATTTAAACGTCCCTCATTTGAGACAATCCATATGAGCCATGGTTAATATTCATTGTCTCCCCAACTTTTGATTTTGGTGAACTGCACGTAGCGGTATTTTTGTGAGTATGCCCCGCGCCCCTCCCCGCCCCAAATCCCCCGGAACCCGCCAGCGAGCGCGCGCGCGCCTCGCCCAAGACCAGCGTGGTGCCCTCCAGAGGCCCGTCGGTGATCTGGAGCTCCAGCGACGCACCTCCGGTCCCCCGGTCCGCCGTGGGCTTTCTGGAGCGTGACCAGAAGGGGGTCGACCTTGTTAGGTCCAAGTGGCGGTGCAAAACCCGTGGTGGTGGCTATTTTGGGGGTGCACCACCCATTTTCGAACCTATTTTAGGGGGGGGGGGGGTTGGGATGTTCACTGGGCGCCGCCCCCTCGAAACCAGTGCCATTTGGTCCTAACGACCGCCTGTGCGCGCTGCGCACGGCCCCGCCCCAGATTCTGTCCCAGGCACTCGCATCCTCCGGGCCGCTCCTGAGAGCCGGTCGGTCGCGACCGGCACCTTTCTTGGGCTTCTGGGGGAACCCGTGTGCGGCGCTGGTTCGCTGGTTGAGGGAAAGGCGGTATGCTTGGAAGCCAAGATAAAGATGAATGGCATACAGATGACATTTGTAAAAACTGACTTTCACCAATTTGACAACCACAAACACAACATTTATATCCATTCATTGGTTTAGAATTGATACTATTGCTAAGTCTAACCTGTTAGATCAGCTTTCGTGGCTTCGTGGCTTGGAGCCGATTGGGTGGTTTGGTGGTTAAACCAATCCAACACCACTGCGGATGGAAAGGTGAAATCCATGAATCGCACCAACAAAATGAAACCCCATGATTAACAGTTGAAGCCATAACGTTGCTTGGTATTTACATGGGAATCAAATCCGAAACCAGGGTTTCCCAGGTGGTGCAGGATTTCGTCCATCCACAGTATGGATGCGTAAAGTGCTGAATTGGAAGCTATCTATGACCTTGGATGGTCTAAACTTACATACGCCACACTTTCTGGGGGGGCCTTGCTCCCCTTTAAAGGGAAACCAAGAAAGAGGTTGCTTAAACAGTAGTGGTCTGAATACAACGAAGGCCACTACTGGGCGAGTCCTTGCCTGCTCGTTTCAACCCGTGGGTTGGTGGTGGCTTTTTGTATTTCAAACGGGAAGCATTTGGTAGTTGGCTACCACTCTTTTTACCCACACCCTAGCCCTCCAAAAAGGTAAATGTGTAGTTCCCGATCTTGCTGCATGATTCAAGTAAAAAAGTTGAAAGGTCAATCCAAAGACCTGACTCTCAAACAGGGGAGCTGCAAACAGTACATGCAGTCACTCATCCCCATTGGGCTATCCCTGCGGACTAACAAAATGCGCATCCCTTTTGGCGCCCTTGTGGTACAATTCAAACAATGCACCTCCCACTTCGACTTGTTTGGCTAAAAATCAGCAACATCCCCAGTAGCCGTGGGAAATGAAGCCATGGCTTTGTGGAAGTTGACTTTAAAGAGGAAGCTCCGTCACAAGTCAGGACAACTTCCCGAGAAGACCTCCAAAAGTGGGCAGTTTCAAGGGAAACCGTCCAAGAAAACCTCCAAGAAAAGAGGAAAACAACAAGCAACCTGCCTGAGGACACGGCAGCTCCCTGTCTGACATAATGCCCCGGCGAAATTCAAAAGTAGTCTGACTTTTGCCTGAAGGGAGAGTTCCCTCTGTTTGAAGATCAAGCAAACAAACCTCGGTTGCACGTGCTGCATAAGTGCCAGTCATGATTCCGGCGAAACAAAGGTACGGGATATGGGACCCTGGGTCTGCCCTTGTCAGGCCCCGTGTGGCTTCCGCATGGTGTACTGGTGGTGTCCCTGTTGGCACTGAGCTGATCAGGGCCCATATGAGAAACCTCAGTTGCCCCCGACAAAAGAACAAATGTTTGTTTTAGTCCATATGAAGCAAACCTTGGAATGCAACAGAACCTTGAATAAGATCCCAGTAGAGAGGCGCCGAAATCCGTTGGGGTCCTCAAGTGTTCAATCAAACCGGGATCAAACGCCAAGACTTGGATCCATGTGTACCCGAGCTGCTTGCACCACAGCGGAAGGGGCGGCAACAACCCTTACCCGCTTCCAGTTATCATTGTGGCAGGAAACCAGGACAAACCACCATTTGGCCAAGAATGGGATCCCAGGATCCCCGATTCACAAAGAATCATACCCATCTAAAACTCAAGGGAGAAATATGCGACATGCATATGGCATGTATTCCTCTGGCCTCGTCTCTGGAACCGGGCGTTGGTAAAGGAATTGAAAACAGGACTTCCGCTCATCTCCCAGAAGCTGGAAACGCCAAGCGTCGGCTCGTTGATGGCCGCCTAGAGAAACTCGCTTGGCGGCTGTTGGGTCACAGAATTTCCCCTCAAGTTGCAAATGCCACTGGTGAGGTCCAGTTGAAACTGCCCTTTCTCAGAGGTGAAAGGGGAAAATTGAGAAACCGCTGTTAGATGGTTGGGGACTTAGCCAGACGAGTAGCAACCTGTGTTTTAACTTCAACCCACTTAAGGGGATTACATACTGTGGATGGACGAAATCCTGCACCACTTAAGCAACCATGAGACACCATTGTTTGTTGGTATTTACAGGGGAATCAACATTCAGGGGGTTCTTAGGTGGTGCAGGATTTCGTCCATCCACAGTATTACTAGCTGTTTACCCGGTCCCAAACCACCTAACGTCTATGGGAGGACGGAGGATCTCTGTTGAAATGGGGATGGGAAAAAGAACTGGCACTCCTGCTTTGGCTCTTTGATTTTGTGGGGGGGTCCCAAGTTGGGTAAAGGGCACCCCTGGCGGAATGTCTGGGCGTCCAAAAGCCCTTTGGGTATGTCCTACGACAAACAAACTTGCTTGGTGTCCTATGTCAAGGGCCAGACATAAGGGTCCCCGATCCAAACTCGGGGATGCTAGTGGTAACAGGGCCTAACCAGCCCGAACAAATGTTTTGTAAAAAAGAAAGCAAGCAAGGCAACACGAAACTTCCATTCACCATGGCAAACCAATATGGGTGAACCACTAACTTGACAATCGGAGATAAGGGTCGTTCGTGGACGGAACGTTCAACATGCATAAAGTGCAACTCTGAGATCCAGGGTTCATCCCGTGCCCAGGAGTTGCATTCCCGAAAAGACACGGATTCCCAAAGTCCGAGACAAAGCAGTGGAGCAGAAACTGCGGGGTTTGGAGGGGTTTGGAGATTGGGATGAGCCACAATTGGTGCTGAGATTCGTCAGTGTCCACATTGGTTCATCAGCTTCTTAAGAAACTTTTTGGGAACAACCCTGTATCTGCCCAATGAGAAAGGACGGGGTCTCCACATTAAGGGCGAATAGGACCGGCGTGAGGCTGCCAGAATTCGCGAGTCAGGGTGCGCAACATTTTAGCAGCGTGGGCGGTGCCAAGAATGGACAGCTCGATGCTTGTGGAGCCACAAAAAAGAAGTTTCAGCAGGGCTCAGAGGGATGAAGGCTTTTCGGCGAAAGCCGATGCCATGGTCTAAAGCCTTCTTGGCGCAGAGTGCTGAAAGGTCCATTCGAGCATAGGCGTCCTTTTCAGAGATAGATGGGTCCAGGACCAGGACTCGAAACCCAATTTTTCGACCAAAACCACCAAAAAGGACACCTCTGCTCGAATCGCTCCATTTGGTTAAGACCCCTGGAAAAAAATATATTTCCAGTAGTGAAATCGACTCCCTTTAAAACCAACCGGGGAACATAAATAAATATATATATATATGCTCAGCCCCCCCTATGTCCTAGAGCAGCTCTATTGGATCTAGAGTCTGGAGGCCTCCAGGCTCGAGATCCATCCACTCAACCGTCATGTCAGCCATGAAGTCAAATCATCCAAACTTCCGGGGTGTGCAATCTTTGGCTGGCCCACGTTCATGATTCTCCAAACCACTGAAATCTACAAAACTGGCAACATGGAACCTTGCAGCGCATTTTTTCCCCTCCGAAATCCTTGCTCGCCCTATATATATATATACATATATATATATATATATACATGCTTCTGGGTAGTTTTTTTCCCGCGAACCCGCAGGTTGTTTCAATCAAACAGGATATGGGTGAAGGGTACCTTTTCTGGGGATGGTTTAGGCTTGGCCCACATCCGGGGCACACAGAAAATCATATGTTCTACTCTGTTCCATATTTCGTCTACCCTGAAAAAGAAATACGTTTGGAGGAGACCCCAGTTGAGCTGAAAGAAAATCCTGAAAGAAGCAACAGTTCTGCTTCCTTAAGGTTTTCCTTTAAGTTGATCTGGGGACTCCTCCAAACATATGGCCATGGGTCAAAATCCCGTACAACAAGTGAACATCCCAATCCCCACTAAAATAGACCAACACGGGTGGTGCACCCACCCCAAACTGGTACCATTGGTTTTGACCCACAGCCATATGTTCTATTTTCAGGGTGCTTTGGCTCCAAAGCCAACTCCACCGAACGGGCGACCCCAAACTGGCGCCTCGTTGGGCAGGCTAGCGCCAGACCCTGGCCGCGAGAGGTCTGTGTGTGTGTGGGGTCTGGGAGGAATACGACCCACTGGTACCTACAATCAAGCTTTAATGGACCCCCAAGGGGGGCTGGGAAAAAGGGGGGCTGGTATCCTTGGATAAGTCTGGGATAAGCCAAGGCTAAGCCCTTAAATGAGGCCTTGTTTAGGGGTTCTGAAGTCATAGCCCCCCCCTCCCCTTAGGCCTACTTGGGGGTCCATGACAGGTTACTATCCCACACCATCTAGAAAATAATTGTACGATAGAATAAACAAGAACATGGAATTGGAAACTAGGGAAATCCCTGTAAAAAACTTTCGTCATGGGTAAGCTCGCGTTGCCACCGGGTGAGTTTGTTGCATTTACCCGAGAGAATGAAGTGCTTCGTGCGATATTCATGGAGCAAATGTCTACCCCTTTGGTCTGGTCATTGTTTAGAGGCTCGGGGCGTGGCACCTCGTCAAAGTAACTTCGCAAAGGTAAAGCAAAGGACCTAAACCGAACCCCCTGAAGTGAGGGTTAAAAAGGGGTCCGGAAACCAAAAAACCGAACATTACCCATACCCGTTTGGCTTCCGTTGCAGAAGGTTGATTGTGGCTCCCCGCAAAACTGGCAGTTCCTATTAAAAATCACCAACAAGATACTCACCAAACGGAATGGAACGAAATCCAAAAGGTGATCTTTGAAACCAACTTATCCAAATGCTACATGTGGGTTCGGTGAGAAACTAGGCATAGTTTCTTCTCCCAATACAAGCAACCCTTTTGAGATGCTACATGGGGGGAGGGGACTTCCTCGAATCCCCTCTCCCAGTCTCGGTCGCTGGCCTGACAGCGCCACCCTTGCATCCTCAGCAATGCCAGGGGGGGTCAAAAAAGGCGGTCAAAATATGCGGTTCCCTTAGTGGATATGGGTATGGGTCAAAATTTAACCACAAGGGGACCGCAGATTCAAGTCCATGTTTCCATTTGCGAGGATATTTTGCCCGAAGCTCGCATGCCAACGTTTCAAAGTTGGGGCATTCTTCGAGCAACCTTGTGACACTAGGTTGCTTGCTGGTTCTCAGTGGGGAATCAACAGGCTGGGAATGGGTGGGTCCACTCAAAGGAAACCGCCAGTTGGATGGTTCAGATCAGGGGCATGTCCTCATTCTTTGCGTAAAGCAAGGTTTAGCGATCTGACTTACAGCTTGGTTCCCATTCAACCCGATCGCACGCGGGGGGAGACTCGTTTTTGGCCATGGTAAAGGACAGGCAACGGAAACCAAACCGTCTTTTACATAGGTGTCCTTCTAGGGCAAATAGGTGGCCCTGGTAGCTGATTAAACCAGCAGGTAAACCAGGAATCGCCATCTATTGTTCCACCAAAACATACCAAAACAACCAAACAGGACACCTATGGTCTTTTAATCTTTGCGCTTTGATCATTTAGCAACGCCCGGGAACAACCCCATACAACGTTCAGGGAATCAACCGTGATATCTTCCCTTTCCCGCTTGTACGGCGACTTTTTGGATCAATTCCATTCCCAGCGGGGCTCGAACCACGAAAGTGAAAAGAAATCCTAAGGATACCACTGAAAAAGTGAGTATATGACAAGCCAAGTACTCCCCAAAGCATGCTTCCTGAGGCTTCTCGTCAATGCTGATCCTGCAAAGCAAACCTTGTAGTTTCATCACGTCCCCCGTAGGCTCCAACTCCAACACCACCGAACAAGATTATATAAATTGCAATCCCACTTGTGATATTCATGGATAGCCTTCCAGTTGAAGGGGGAACCGCTTGGGTACAAAAGTGGGAACCACTCTACCTTCGGCTTCCCGATTGATGATTTGGATTGGTGAGTGGAAGGTACACAAGAACCAGGGATTCAATTCCTAATCCAGGCAGCCAATCCAAACCACCCATCAAAAGCTCCCTCATCGAATGAGTAAAGAGATATGGCTGTGGGTCAAAACCAACGGGATCCCATTTTTGGTTGGTAGGTGAATTCACCACCCATTTTAGAACCTATTTTAGTGGTTGGATTGAATCAGATGTTCACGGGGGGGGGTAACCGGGCTTTTGATTTTGACCCATGGCCATATGTTTGGAGGAGTCCCCAGATCAACTTAAAGGAAAACCTTAAGGAAGCAGAGCTGTTGCTTCTTTCAGGATTTTCTTTCAGCTCAACTGGGGTCTCCTCCAAACGTATTTCTTTTTCAGGGTAGACGAAATATGGAACAGAGTAGAACATATGATTTTCTCTGTGCCCCGGATGTGGGCCAAGCCTAAACCATCCCCAGAAAAGGTACCCTTCACCCATATCCTGTTTGATTGAAACAACCTGCGGGTTCGCGGGAAAAAAACTACCCAGAAGCATGTAAATATACATATATATATATATATCTAGGGCAAGCACGGATTTCGGAGAGAAAAAATGCGCTGCAAGGTTCCATGTTGCCAGTTTTTTTTGGATTTCAGTGGTTTGGAGAATCGCAGCCACCGATGCTGGCTCCAAATCCTGAAGAATGGCCAAAAGGGAAACCCTGCCTTCCACCACCCCCCCCACCAAAAAAAAAACGGTGGAGAAGAAAAAACGGTTTCCCAGAAACCCGGTGTGCCCACGCGTCTCATCCTCTCATCCCCGCAAGTCCCATCTCGTTCAATGCGCCTCCGGGATGATGGTGAGAAAAGGAAAGCAGTCCGTGGCCTTTCGCCGCACCTCCTGGCACATGCGTCAGACGCGTCAGACGCGCGCGTCAGAAGCGTCTCCGCGGCAATGGGAGGAGTGGCGTGCGACGCGCGGAAGGAATGCCCTGTTCAATCCAAGTAGACATGCCACAGATGGCTGCGGCTCCAAAAAATGCCAAATGGCGCCTTGGTAGATGGAACCAGAGACTAAAACCTGCGTAACCCTAGTCATTCGATTTTGAGCCACACCCAAATCGTGTTTTGTTGGGAGAAACGGATATGGGCGGCTCATCGTTTTGTTGAAGGGAGCCCCTTTTTGGTGCTGGGCTTTAAAAGGAGACCCGGAGGAAAACCGAAGCCATTTTGGGGGGGTGCCCCAAAAGAAGACATGCCCACATGTATCCTGTATCCTTAAAACAAATACACAAATTGGGTACCCTCAAAAAAAGCACAAGCACACCTGGGCGAAAGGCAAACACACCCAGAACCAACCCATGGTGTCCATCAAAATGTCAAAGCAACCTCTATTTGAACAAGCACCTTTGGGTTGCCCTTTAAAGGGGGCAAGCCACTGGATAGCTTTCCAAATTGCTGCAAATTTGGCATCTGTTAAGTCCTAAAAAAACGGCAAAGCAGACTCTTTGCTGCTAAGGGTGGGTTGACCAAATGGGACCTGAAAATGGTAACCCCCTCCCCCCCTTTGGCAGGTCAAAGCGAGGCCACAAAAACATAAAAGCAGTACTGCAAGAGAAACATGATTTGCAAGTGGCAACCAGTGGGTGATGCTGGCTAAACCCCCCTCCAAAAAATGCCCTCCACCCCTCCCCCCCCCCAACAAAAAAAAGAAAACAAAAGAAAAGAAAAAACAACGGCAATCCCCCTCAGTTGCACTACACACAGACTCTGCGGTTGGCCAGCCCAAAACTGGTCGAAGGCAAACAAGAGCATACGAGAGGTGGGAGAAACTCACAAAAATACTGGGCCGGTTCCTTTACAGCCGCCCTGAGTGCCGAACCGAAGGCGCCGGCTTTGGAACCCAAAAAGCACAACCCAGCCGTCTAGCCGTCTGCGGAGGTCGTATTCGGTTCGCTTCAGTTGTGTTCTCACATGCTAGCATAGGCAAATATAACAATTGAAGAAATGTTCCTCAGTTGGGCAGGTTGTCTCCTCAGTTGAGCAATATAACAATTCACCAACATGCCACCCAACAAGAGAGAACTGCTAGCAGGATATTTCTCAATGCCTCAGTTGGGCAAGTTGTTCTTCACCCTCAAGAAAGGAGTCACTTTGGCATCGTTGAGATTTGCCATTGGCTTGGCTTTTAGGTGACTTTGCAGGGGAGCAACAATGTCAAGCCATTTGTTTAGGTCACACACATAAGCAATGCAAAAAGACGATGTGAGGAACTCTCAATATTGACTGTGTCTCCAACTGACATGGAAGTGTGGTGAATACTCCAACCGAATCCAAAACTTAATTTGGGTCCGTCTGCCCATGTCATCCCTTTTAGTCCCTTTTCTTCACACCGCTTGGTATGGCAGCAAAAAAACTTTGCTTTTTTGCGGCCCCCTGCTACAAATGACCAGAACCCCAAAATCAAAAGAAAACACTTGATCCAAAAACCGTTATTCTTTCTTTGGGCTGCCCTCAGATCCGCTGCTAAAAGTTTAACTTTTAGTGGGTCAAATGAACCCCCCCCAACTCAACCCTGAAGAGCTAAAACACTAAGGGGATGGCTGGGAGCCACCACGTTTCATAAATCTCCTTTTGGAGGACCCTTCATTCAGTTCCATGTCTATCAGAGTACACCACCGCTGCACATATGCACCCCCGCGCAGACACCAGAAAAAAGACTGGGACCACATCCAGCCACCAGAACAGCGACAAAAAACACCAAGAGACCACTGGGACCACATCCAATAGATGCGGACCACATCCAATAGATGAGAGCAGAACCTCATCGATCAATCGCTCCTGGCGCCGGCTCACCGGAGCCCCTCCGAAGAGGAAGGAGTAGCCTCGGATGAGACGTCTCGGCAATCCCGGTGGTTCATGGCGTCGAAGGAACAAGGAAGCCATTCCGAGCTGAAGCAACCCGAGGAAAACTCTGGAACTCTCAGAAACCTCAAGTTGCTTCACCCAAGACGTAACTCACCCTTGGAAGCAAACCCAAAAAGGGCTACCCTCACATAATGACACAAACTGCAGGGGGCGAGGGATGTTGCTTGGGAAACGTATTAGCATGGGGTCTTCGATTTGTGACAACACCCAATCGACCTCAGCTTTTGCCTCCCAACCAAAAAATGTGTTTTGGATTCTGGTCCATTTTCAGTGAGCCTTACGATACAGAAGACAAAAGATCCCAGAAACGTCGATCCTTGCAGCTTTCTGGATTTTGTCCTTTGTGCGGTCGGGACGACTTTCTCATGTTCAGGAACCAGCCCACACACACACACAACTAGTAAGTCCTTATCTTTGCCTTGCTGCGCAATCATCACACACCAAAGTCTAACGTGGCCTTCATGGGGATTACAAACCCTTTAACCCTTTAAGCCTCCCTTAAGCATCACCCACAAGGACATACACGCGCAACAAGGTTTCAAGTTTCAAGGTGATGTGCTGCAGCTGGCCAAAAAAGGATTTGAAGTACTGCGGGTCCTGGCTTGGCAGCACGCTGGTCGGCTCAAGAACTCCCCGCGTTGAGAGCGCCTGGCCACGTTCTGCGGTGCTTGTCACCCGGTTCAAGTTCCACGGATCCGCCGTCTTGAGCATCCGTCCGCAAGCCGGCCTGAGGCCTGGCCTTCAAGTCATTCCACGCGGGGTGAGCGGGCTCAGGTTCCGCCGGCGCTCGCACGCGGATCGCTGAGAACATGAAGCTCAAGGCCTTGAACTGCGCCCCCTCGTCGTCAGCAATTCAGCAATGCGTTGGCTCGTCAGCCACAGATGACGGGCTCAAGCTGGGCAGGTCGGATCAAGCCCTCCTTGCCACCTCGGAAATCCCGGCGCTTCTTTGCCTTGACCAATCAAACACGCAGCGACGTGAAATCGAACCCAGCACCAACCCAATTACAGTTCCTATGGACGAAATCTACCTCCAACCCCCAAAGCCCCAACTCCCAGGCTCCCAGCCGTCTTCCCCGAAAGAGACCCAAAGTGCTGGCTCTGAGGGACAACGCTGCCCTAAACCCTGAAAATCGGCCCCTAGTTGTTGTTTTTCAGGAGGGGTTTCCCGTGAACCCTCCGCAAAAGTCAGGGGTTCCCCCAACCACTAATCTCAACCACGAATTAAGGGTTACTTGATAAAAGGGCCGGAAATACCAAAAAAAAACAGAAGACAAAAAGCCAACGAATCGCGGCCTGAGCCAAGCGGAGTGGGCAGTCGAACTTGTGTTGAAACCGAATGGGAAGGGATTTCGCCGGGGAATCGAATCCTTTCAGGATTTGTTAGGTGGTGCAGGATTTCGTCCACACACAGATGGAATCCCTGACGTTCCGGGGGTCCTGGTTTCAATCTTCCTAAAGGGACCCCCGAACGTCAGGTTCCATAATTGGTGCGAGGGTAACTGTTTGCTGGTTGACAAGCAACATTGGCGAAAGCTTGAAAGGCCAAAAGTTCCAAAGAGTAAGTCTGTGAATGAATTCTCGAAGTCCGGTGAAAACATATCCGATCCTCCCCCGGTGATGACCCTTTCCCTTCGAAACAATGCAAAGGCTCAACCTCGGAGCGGGCCGGGGGATCTCCATACCTATCCCAGGGTTCCCAGGGATCCTTGCATTATACACCGATCGAACATTGCAACTTGCAAATGGTGGTTTCCCAAATTATTTCTGGTGAGAAAAAACGAGGTTTCAAATGGTCGCAAAATCCTTGTAAATGGTGGTTTCCCTAATTATTTTGGTGAAAAAACAAAGTTTCAAATGGTTGCAACATGAGTTTCTTTTAAGGAGCCCTGTTTATCCGGTTCCCTTGCCTTTGAAAATTTGGGGCCCACGGGTTGGTGTCCGGTCAGGTGTGCCTCTGAAACACCAAAGGCTTTGGTTCCCAAAAAAGACATTCCCGCATGAACTGGTGACCCCAAAAAGTTGGCTTTGGGATGAATTTCGGGAAAAACTAAAGAGGAAGAGAAAGGTCAAAAGCTGAAAAGGCAAGTCTAGCAATATAATGTTTGGTTGCTTGGTGGGGAAACCTGTCCCAAACAAAGTTGAACGGAGCCGCCTAAAAGGTGAACAGGCACCATCGAGTCCAGCGAATCCGTCTCAACACATCATCGCCCTCTCTTTACCAAGTCGCTCTCCGGCACCTGAAAGAGTGGTGGGAAATGGGAGGGTGGCTTGGGTGGGCATGCAAAAACTTGGGCGACAAATTCCCCGTTTTTTACAGTACCAATGCAGGTTCCTATGGGATCGGCCTAGTTCCTAACGCTGCTTGGGTGTTTCACCCACGAACTCTGGCTGTTCATAGTGTCTTACGTTGCCAACAACTCACCTTGGCAACAAACATCCAATCAATTCAAACGCATGCACATGTCCAGAAGGGGAACCCCTGCTATGAAACTCTGCTTTATGGGTTGGTCAAGCGTCCTCAACAAATTAGTTGTGGAGAATCAGCCCCCAAAAGCCTCGACAATGGCCATGGGGCCGTGGGGCGCGCGGCCATGGACCCATACCAGGCTTTGAGTCGCGGGCTCAAGTCCTATGCCCGTGGAAACCTGAAAGGACCTCCACAGCTGCGTCTAGGTCCGGATTTGAGAGGTTAGAATAAGGGTACCAACTTTTTCTTTTCTGTCAATTTTAGCAGGGGAAGCCTCCCCAAAAACAGTTGGTAAAAGGGCACTACTGGGGACCTCGGCATCAACGGACCTCGGGACAAAACCCGAGTACCTGTGTCGGCTACCCCCAAAAGGGGGTGGTTTGAATGGTAAAACCCAAGGGGAGAAGCAGCCGCCCCTTTTAGAATTTTCTGGGACCCATTTTAGGATATACCCGTTTGGATCGAAACCAAGGATTGCTCGGCAGTTTCTGTGTTGCGCAAATGGCAACCCTACTGTAGATTACAAAAGGGCCAAAAATTGGTTGGGATTCACCCTTGGGTTGTCAGAGGGGGACACTGAACGACCATGTTCTAGGGCATGAGGACCCAAACGAAGCTCTTGCGGAGTTGGGTCTGAATCAGCGTGGGCTGGGATATTCTGACTAAAAAGGGGGAGTCAATAAACAAAACAGAGGGCACCAAACCTCTTTTCAGGTCGTTTTGACCGTGTCCCCAGCTGAATCTGTTGAAGATCTGCTGCCCCTCTTTTCTGACGGTTGTGAATGAGGCTGCATGTGGTTGCGGGCATGCCGGGGGTGCCGGGGTGCGGCGCTGGGTGCCGGGGGGCCGGGCATGCCGGGTGTGCCGTGTGCGCGGGGTTGGGGGGGTGCGGGGGGGCGGGCTTGACTTCTGCCTGATTCCGAAGGCACATCCCTGAATGGCGTGAATGTTGACCTTCCGCAGAGTTCCCAATATGTCCATGGGTTAGAATCCCGCACCCCCAGTGAAAATTCCAATCCCCGCTAAAATAGGTTCTAAAATGGGTGGTGAATTCACCTACCCCAAAATGGGATCCCATTGGTTTTGACAACCACAGCCATATGTCCGCATGTGGGGTTTAACATCACTTTTCAGGCCAATCTTGAGTGAGCTAGCTCCAATTTGCTGGGGTGATGCTAGGAAGTATCCGGGTAGCAACAAACCGGCTGCAGCTTTGACCCCCCAAACGCTATTCTTCGGCAAGTGCCCGGCTGTTTGTTTGAAGCCACCCCCCGGTGGCGACAACACCCAAAGCAGCAAAAAGAGACACGTATACCAGTAAAAGGGCGGCTTCCATTTGATCCAGGCGCAACGAAAAAAGCGATTGTGTCAACCACGGGAAGCTGTTCACCTGTTCCACCTACAAAAACGTCTTTGAAGGCCAAATTTGGAAGAGGCACCCCTGAATAGCAAAGTTTTTGGGGAAATAGATGGGTTTCCCTGGTAGATTAAATTTCACCACCAGGTAAATCAGGAACCGCCATCTATGTTTCTGCCAAAACCACCAAGAAGGACACCCACGTTTGGAACTTGGAACGCGTTGGCTTTGAGGCTGGCCACCTCTCAAGACTTGGCTTGGGCATGGGCGCGCGGGAATGAGCCGCCAAGCTTCGCCCCGCAAATGGCCCATGTTTGCGGGTCCGAAAAGCCCAGATGCTTTATGCTTTTGCTGTGTTCCCAATTACAAACCACTCAGCTTTGCAGAAACCCCCCAAAAAAAGAGATCCGAGATGTAAACCCGGAAAAAATGGCGGTACGGCGCAGTAGCCAAGTCCTTTGTTCTCACCTCCAAACGCAAGTCCCGCATTTCAGCACCCCATACGCTCCCCATACGCTCGGGCCGAACCAAGCACCCGGAAGTTTCCCAGCCGAGCCACGCCGGGGATTTCCTGAGCCGGAACGAGGAAGCTTCGGACCACTGGTGTGATGTACAGCCATGCTGGTGCTCAGGGAATGAGAATTGGAATGACCCCGATCTGAACCATCCCACTGCTTTCTTTTATTCCGGAATCCCAACGGGCCGACCCCCCGACACCCGGACTCGTTGTCCTTCCCTCAGCACCCAACGAGCCAAGACCATGTTGTCATTTGTTGATGTTCAATGCTAGTCCTGGCTGGGACGTCACAACACTATTGTCTAAACAGCCTCTGTTTCCCAGATGCGCGTAGGTCATGCTTCTTTGCGCTTGGATGGTTCAAGGTGCCCTTGCAGGTGCTTGCTTGCCTGGACTGGTGTGGTAAAGACGGTTGGCTTCCTTTTGGTTTTCCCTTAAAACAGTGAAAAAGCTTGGCCAGACTTAGACCGCTGCAAAAAGTGGTTTTGTTTGCTGGAACAAAGGAAACCCAACAAGCCGAAACGTTGTTTGCTTGTTTTCAAGAAAGCTGGCGAAGTCTAGCTCTGTAAACTGGGCTTCCCAGGGTTCGACTTGAACAAAAAGCTTCGAAGTTCTCCCCAACCAAAAAAAAAAAGACTTCGCTTGTTACATTGTTGACCCAAATTTGAACTCGCCGAAATTGTCTGGTCTCGGGCGAAAAGAGATCCCTGCTTTCAAGGGCCCCCAAGTAAAGCCAGCATCCCATTTCATGAGCGAGTCTTGGGGTGTCTACACGAGTCTGCCAGGGGGGTCAGCCATATGTAGTCAGGTAGTCCAGGTCAGATGCCAGCCATGGGGATTGGACTTTGCAACATGGCCACCAAGTGTCGTGGCAAAAGAAGCGTTTTGGGCTCGGGTATGACTTCTACTTGGGGATACAACCAAGGCACCAAGTATAAACTTTATCTGGGATCCTTACATTATACACCAGAACATTGCAACTTGTAAATTGTGGTTTCCCTTTATTTTGGTGTTCAAAAACCAACATGTTTCAAATGGTTGCAAAATGGAGATCTTTTAAGGAGCCCTGCTTATCTGGAACCCTTGTCCAAGTGCTCGGACACAAGAACAGCCCCCCTTCATGATCCCAACCAACATGATTCGCGTCGAAACAGACGCCAGACGCGTGAGTGGCTAGCCCTTTTTCCCACGGGAAAACCCCTCAAAAAGAAGGTGTTGCTTGTTTTTCTTTGCCATGGGCACTATTGCTCGATTGGTTCAACCAGAGGGCACCTGCCGTTGCCCCAAAGCCAAACCCAAGCTCACACCGAACCTCAAGACCAAACTAGATGAAACCTGGTCGGTAGAGAGGTTAGAATCAGGGTACCCTTTTTGTCAGTAGTCTATTTTAGTAGGGAAACCGAATCTCCCAACCAAAAGAAAGTTGATAAAAGGGCGCCTAGCTGGGGGACCTAGTTGGCTCACAATTCCTGGTTTCTGATTCCTGGCACCCCAAACCCGAAGCACCACGCGGCACGCCCCGAGCGCCCCGATGCGTCGCTCCGAGGCCCCGGCATCCTCGTGGATGGAGCTCCGCACGTCCGCCAGGTTGGAGGCCTCGTTTACCTCAGGGGCGATTGCTCGTGGGAGGGGGTGCTGAGGGGGGGTGATTTGGGGGGGCATCTTGTCCCAACAGATGTGGCATGGGTCACAGTCCAAATCGTACCCCAAGTGAACATCCCAAGCCAACCACTAAAATCGGCTATCTAACATGGGTGGTGCACCTACCCCAAAATGGGATCCCATTGGTTTTGACCCAGCGCCATGTAGGTCTAAAAAACAAGATGTCAAACCTCCAAACTCGCCCAAATATCCCTTGTTTTCTGGTGGGGTGTTAAGCAAAAGTCGTCCAAATTGGACGGCTTGTTTTTGGATGTGGGGAACTTCGACCCGGCCAAGATGAGAAGAACAACCTACAGGGGTGACGGTTTCATTGAAAACATGCCCTCCTTGTCGCCTAGAGGTCACCTTTCATACCCCCATTGGCGATGCAAAGGTTCTTAGGGGTTCTTGGCAAGGATCCAGCTGCCGTTTGCAATGGGTTCCATGTGTTGGATCTGAATCAGCTCCTCTGCTGGCTCTCTCTCTCTCTCTCTCGCTCTCTCTCCCTATCCAAACGCAGAGCTGGTTCAAACAAGCACCACCTCATCAGCTTGACAAACGGCCCCTGCTGGCTCCAGTCTCGTTTGAAGAAAGATGCTGGTAATGATGAAAGCAACCAATGGATATGTCAAAAAGCTACCCCGGAATCTGTTCCCTTCAAACCAACCCCAAACAAGTGTCCCCACCAGGCTACCCCACAAACGCTCGGTTTCCTTTCAGCTTTCCCTTCGACCTCCAAAAAGGGGGTCTCTGATTATTGGACGATTTGAAGGGATTCTCAAGGACCTTCACGGGTTCCCAGCACCAGAATCCGGTTCGATGAGTTGAAACGATTTTGGCAGCTGAGCTCGTGTGGGTTTCTCTCAGACTGTCGGGGGAGGGTTTGCGCAAGACAAAGCTCTAACGTTCACCCCGGATTGCTTCTTAGATAGGCTGCGGGTTCGCGAAACGCCATACAGGTATGTTTCCCAATTGAAGAAAAAGAAACAAAATGCGGTGTCCTATGTTGGCTTCCCTTTAAACTCACCCGGAAACGGGCGCCTTTGAACACCTCTTTTTCCCCCCGCGCCCCGTCCCTTGAGGACTCCCGCCTCGACTCCGCCCAGCACGCGCTCGTCCAGGCAGATGCCTCTCAAGGGCAACGCGCGCGTATAAGGTGAGCGGTGAGCGGAGCCGAAGCTGGGAAGGGGCATACAGCCCTTGTAAAGTGGGTGGATAAAAGTGGTAAGAAGCCAAGGGGCATGTACTTCCTCTGGATGAATGACTTGAAATCAGGGGCTTGCCTATGAACCAAGCAAGACAAGTTGCACCGTTTGTTTGTATTGACCTCAGATATATGAGCCCATCCTATTCAAAGATGGCCTCACTAGGCGTGTTCCCCTCCAGTGATCAGCCCCCGCGAAATCCAGGCGCAAGTAAACCTGCGATGCCATTTATGGGAAATATGGGAAACCCAAGTGGGTGTGTGTGTGTTGTTTTTGTTCGGAAATGGAACCCGCCATTTGGCGGGTAAAGCAGACCAATATGTCAGGAAAAGAAAGAGTTTTCCCTCAAGGAAGTTTCTGCCCATGGCCCACGTACTTCGTTTGTGGGCGGGTTTCCTACACCGCTCTGATTGAGGACACCCCAACACAAACACATACACACACACACACAACAGTACACAATTACACACAACTACACACACTTACACACCCACACACGCACACAATACTGCACAACTACACACAACTACACACACTTATACACACACACACAATATTGCGCGCACACACACAGTACTGCACAACTACAAACACAACTACACACACTTCACACAATTACCAACTTACCCACCCAACTTGAAAAAAAATGACTACGAAAAGATGTTGTAGGACAACGACGTCTTTGGGGGGGCTAGGTCCTCTTTCTGTCTATTTTAGGAGAAGCCTCCCAACCGGCACCCAGGGGGACCTAGGGTCCTTTTTGAGCACACACACACAACATTACACAATTACACACAACTACACACAAACACACACACACAAACACACACGCACGCAATACTGCGTATTTTTTTTATTTTTTTTATATTTAAAAAAAAAAGTCTTCGAAAACCGAAGCGTTCCTTCGAGTTTTCCTTTGGGGCTCCGGGCGCAGCAGCCGCACCGGCGCGGGGCCGCGGCTCAAGGGGGGCGTTTGGCCCCGGCCTGGCGAAGGACCACGGAACGGGCGTCCACGGAACTGAGGCGCTGAGGTTCGGCTTGGTGGAAAAAATGACAAACTCAATGTAAGAAAACAGAGTTGGTTTTTTTTAAAGAAAAAAAAGGAAATCAAAGGGTGCATTTTTTCAGGTGACAGAACCAGGTGATGTTTCTTCCAGGAACCGGGTTCCATGTGAAAAGGGTGGGAGGGAAATAGAACCACCATGATTTCTTTGTTGACAATGGAAGGGGAGCAAGATTTTAGATTTTAGCAGTTAAGTGGGGATTTCCCACTAAACCACAATAAGCAAAAAAGTAAAATGTTTCCCAACAACAACCATGATTTACCCTTCAGGAATTTCATCCGATTTGGGTTGAGCCCCAAATTTGAGGCGTCTCTCGGGTTTGGGAAAAGGGAGCACTATCCCTGGATACAAAGGATAGCACCCGTCCCCGTTCAAAAAAAAAACCAGAATCTGGGGCCTGAGAAAATCACCCAAGATCCAGGTTTTGAGGATCCGGCTTCTCCTTTTTTCAACATGTAACACCTGTGGACCCTGGATTGGTGGTTTAAAGGTGAAACGGAACTGAGGGAAACCTGAACATACTGTGTTCTCTCCAGGTGCCCCTTTCCGGGTCGGTTTTTACAGGGAAACCCTACTGGACAACCGCCATTTGAGGGATCCCCAAAGGCGAGCTTATCTGTCAAGCATGTCGTAGAAGCCGTTACCCAATAAGGTACTGTGGATGGAAAGGCGAAATCCGATTCTCGCACCACAAAATGAAACCAGGGTCCTGATACAGGGGAATCGAATCAGAAACCGTTGGGGTGCTCGAGTGGTGGGAGGGATGGATTTCGCAACCATCCGCAGCAGTCTTAAAAAGGGCTGCTCCAAATCAGGGGACAGTCCAAGTGTCAAAGCATTGGGTTGCAGGAAAGTCTAAAGGAGAACAGCTTATTTACCGTGGTTTTGGGGGCATGTCCTCTAGATCCTGCAACCAAAGCCTTTGAAAGTTGGAGCTTGCATAAATTTGCAGAATTAAGATCACTGATGAGAAGTTGCTACCTGACAACTGGAAGCGCCGCACTTCCTGAAATCAGAACATGCGGACGGGGATGGGCCCAATTCTGCCTTCAGCCGAGAAAGAACTGCCTTTCCTGAGTGATAGTTCTTTTCTTGAAGGCTGGCTAACATCAATATGTAAGACTGTTCTTGTATCCTGATCGCCTGGGCATTTGCTTGTCGCATCTCTCGCTAAGTGAGCTCCAAGAACCAATTGGAAGCAGAACGTAGACTAACGTAGACTCTTAGGAGCCAAACTGCGGGTAGAAATTTCGTTTCCGGGGGACACCAAAGGAACTACTTCACCAAACTCCTCGGCTTATTCACCCGGAGGCCCGAGGCAAACCTCAAAGAAAATCCTGTGAAAACGGAAAGCCCCAAAAATGGACAGTCAAAGCCTCCAGATGTGATCCTTACACTCCCTCAGACCAACATGGAAGCTCCCAGAAGGCCTCTGTAAATGGAACCAAGTCTTCCAAAGGGGTTGTGGGAGCTTCCATGTTAGTCTGGGGGAGGGTACATACGTTCCCAAAGCCTCCGGGAGGAAGGATCGGGCAAAAGATAAATCGTGGAATTCATCTCGCAGACGTCCGCCACGAACACCTAGACCAGACCACAAAGCAGAACTATGAAAACAACGCCTTTGGGGCTTCTTTACCCCTCATTTACCCCTTACTTACCTACCCCCCGCTCAACCAAAACTATTATGTTCGATTCCGGTCCATATCCTAGTGGTTATTTCATCCCTGGCAAAAAGCTAAACTCGTTGTGGGATATGTTTCATAAATCCCTCTAACCACAAAAAGTTAAAAGGTCTGAGCAACGCTTCGGCTGGGAACCCACATAGTGAAGCCGGAAATGGTTTCAGCAGAGATCCCGGATATGAGTCGAATGGTGATTCATACCTTCGATCTGTAGATTTCACCAAGCTAAAAAACAAGTGACATATGGGAATTCTCCAAGTGCAGGACCTCCCAAAAGCTCCGCAAAATCGACATATGTATATCTTCGATGCATATCTTCGATGCCCAGCTCGACTTCTCTCAACTCCCAATCCAAAGCCCGCCTGGATTTAGCCTTGGCACCGTCTCCGACATGGCGACACGTCACATGGCAACGTGTCCTTCTGACCACCTCTCAAGAGGTTGCCAGCCCATCCCATGCAAATAGTTGGGGGGTGGGTGGGTGCTTTGGGTGGGGGCCACGGGTGGGCCAAAGTTCTGTGTGCGGTTTCATGCCGGTCTCCTTCTTCAAACCGAGAAATCCGAAGTCCTTCATTCCTACCAGGAAACCACCACAACCTTTCGTGGTTGGCGTGCAGGGATCTGCTCCATTGCAACTTGGAGCAGCAGCCGCCCACAAGCTGTCCTAGAAAAGGGTGGGGGGGGCAACTGACTGCTCTGGGCGCTTGGCTATCAGCCCACCATGTCCTCATGCGGCCACAAATCCCAACAAATCGCGCCACGCAATCCTCGAGTCTCGCAAAAAAAAGAAAAACCGATCCGTCGGACGCACACGCCATCCTTGCGGCGTGAAGGGAGAACCAAGTTCACGTTGAAACGTACCGGTGCCCTCAACGGGAACCAAAAAAGATCCGGATCGGCCTTTGAGCCCGGCCTTTGAGCGGCGAAGCGCGGAAGCGAAGAAGGCGAGCGGAAGCAAGCTCGCAGACCCATTGCAGCCAAAAACTGAGGAAAAAACGATGAATTTGAGGAAAGGGGAACCCAAAAAGCAGATCCCCCACTAAAAAGGTTAACTTTTAGTGGGTTACATGGAAACCCCCACTAAACACTAACATGCTAAGAAGCTAAGGGGAAGGGGATCGCTGGGAGCCACCGAGAAAGGAATCTCCTTTTGGAGGACCCTTTATTGAGCTCCATGTCAATTTGCATCTCTTGCACGCTGGCTGCACATAGGGGGCACCACAACACCGCCCGGACACCAGCACACTGGGACCACATCCAGAGCAACGCCAGCAGAGGTGACCGGGACACTTCTGAAACTCGCTACGCCCTGCTCAAGCCTGTGAGCGGACATACTGTGGATGGACGAAACCCATTCGCACCACCAAAGAAACCCGGAAATAAGGATTCCCCTGTAAATACCACCAATTCATGGTTTCTCTTGGTTTCAAACTGCTCAAACCTGTGTGCGGACACATCTTTCAGCATCCCGAATCCCGCTGGGATTGTTAACCCTGGACAATGCCAGCTGCTTGGCAGGTGACAGCTGGGCGCCCGCATGTCCGGCGACTGCCCAGAACAGTTCAAAACGGAGGACTAGCAACGCCGGGTCCCTGAAAGTGCACATGTTGAGTCCCAAAAACTTGCTGGTTCACTAGGCAGGGAAAGAGAAATGGAATGACCCCTATCGGTTTCCTTTAAGGGAATCCCGAAACGGTTCATTCCCGACACCCAGACTCGTTGTCATTCCCTACCTATCGCACCAGCAAGAAAAAATACCTTCGAAAATTGGTTTCCCCTCACAGGAAAGAATCTTCAGAGACCCAGCAACATCACCAATCATCCCTGGCCACCTTTGGTGGCTGCCTCCAATACATGGAGCTCCAGGTTTCTCCATGGTTCCCCCTTTGAGATCAAAAGAGAACTCGCTTCTCCAGGTTTCTCCATGCCAAACATCTTGATGTTTAAACCAGCCTAGGGGGAACACAGGGAACAAGGGTTGTGTACGTGATAAAGATACGGGCCGTCTTTGTGCCCAGCGAAAAACTCCCGACCCTCCGCGACATGGCATTCAAAAATGCCGCGTGCAGCATGTGGGGGAAACCAACCTGCTGTGAGTGGGGGGCCACAGCTAAAGTGAAAAAGTAATCATACATGAAAACATATATAAATAAAACATGATCATATATCATATGGTGACCAAAAATATTCGTGAAAACCAAACATATCGTGAAAACGTGATAGTTTGACCAAACCTCATGTCCGCGGTATAAGGTATGCCGATTGAGTCTAGTCTTATGGTCCTCCAAAAACCCTCTCCAAACAACTTGGGCCTTGTAGTGTCCCCTTATGTTACTTGAATGAGATCTTAAAAAAAAAAAAAAGCCCACCATGCACCATTATATCAAGCCATCACATTCTCTGTATATCCTTATAAATCTCGTAGTCACCCCCGTCATCCCCTCATCCCCTCTCCGTCCTGCACAGGCTCCGCCCATCATTAAACCAACTGGCCTACCGGCCCGCGTGCGTGGAATCGAAGGAAACATCGCTGGTGCTCAGGCGCAGCGTCTTGGACCCCTGAAGTATCTTGCCTTGGCAAGAGATCGGACTTCTGTAGGGAAGAATCAGTATCGATGATTTGATATGAGGTTAGGATGACTTTTGGATTCGATTCGCATTATTGCTAAAGATATAGAGATATAGAGTCCAAGATATTGACAATTGCTTTTTAACTGGCAAGGTCATCTCTCGCACTTGAAGTAGCCAAGTACCAACTACCATGACCTACTCACAGAGTGAAAACCTTGGTTTCATCAATTGGCACACCCTGTTCAACCTGGGCAATCAGACGTTGCCAGCAGTTGCTAGAGGGGATAATGTTCTCTCCCGGAAACTGGCACAACACTTACAGGCAACTCGATTTGAATGGCCCCAAAATGTCCTGATACATCCAAACCCTAGGGAAAATATAGGGAGTGCTGCCCCTGTGAGCTCCTTGTAGTAAGGGGAAACCCAAACGGTTCATTCCCAAAAAACCCTGAAATTACCTAAGCCTGAGAACCAGCAAGTCGACCCCGAGCCTTGCAGAACAAGTGACAACTGGTTGCTTTGGCGACATGTGTTTAAACCACCAACCCATGGCCAAATGGGGGAAGTGGTATAGGTCCCCGATTGCCCAGCGACCTGCTGGGAAATGCCACTCGGTGGAAAAGGCAACACTTTCGCAGGTTTGAGTCGAAAACTCACCAAACGCTGAACAATTAGCAGACAGTTCTGGCTGTTGCTGGTTCAAGGAGCAAATAAAGAATTACCAGAAAGCACAAAAAACTCAGGCCAGGGCAACAGCAGGGGCTAGACAATTACAGCTTGTGTATTATGTTGTGAGAATGACTTGTGTGGTTTTAAATCGCACCACAACCCGATTCAAATTGTTCCGGCCCTGTAACTGTTCGCTGATCAAAAGGGAAAATGATGAAAACCCAAACGGCACAGGGGGCAAAATGGTTTCCCGCCCATCACCAAACGAGGGCCTTTACAACGAAAAAGTGAAGGGGCTGGTCCAACTCTAGCCATAGTGAGTAAGGATCAAATAGCATACCCAAGCAATGCACAGGTAACGCACACGTGGAGCTTTCTCGTAAAATGGGTGTGCCACAATAAGGGCGCCAACTGTTTGTTACTAAATGAAGAAGAAAAAGGTGAAGGCCAAAAGCGTTTGCCAATGCCAATGGTTCTAAGCGCTGATTGAGCACAAAAGACCAAAAGTATAGCTGAACTTCTGATCCGCAGTTCACATGAAGTGGGGGTTCGAAGACATGACCAAAAAGGCGAAGAATGCAAACACGGAGTAGCTAAACCCAGAAATCCTGGGCTGCCCTCAGATCCCCCGCAAAAAGTTTGACCTTTAGTGGGTTAAATGGAAACTATCACTAGACACTAAATGGCTAAAAGGCTAAGGAACCGGATGGCTGGGAGCCACCAAGAATCCTCATGGCTGGTTGGCTCCACCCATCTGAACATGGGGAGCCCACCCTTCCAACAAAAAGAAGGAGACCCAAAAGGAGAGGAATACACAGCCCACGGGAAAAAGGGGTTACAGGGGGCAAAGCGGAGAAATCGCAAAGGAGGAAACAAGTTGAAAGGTATGCTATTTACCGCTGCTGGAAAATGACCCTTTCTGTGAAACCATAGCTACCTTACTGCATGTCCCCTCAAAAGTTGATCAATTGCCACCTGTGCAAGTCCAGAAAAGGGGAACTGAGCTGTCCACACCAGGACCATGTGGCCATGGGTCAAAACCCAAATCGTACCCCCAGTGAAAATCAACCAATCCAACCGCTGAAATCGGCTATCTAAAATGGGTGGTGAATTCACCTATCCAATCCCCACTAAAATAGCTTCTGGGTGGTGAATTCACCTATCAACCAAAATGGGATCAACCAAAACGGTTTTGACCACGGGATCAACCAAAACGGTTTGGACCACCGCTGCCATGGGGGAGGGAGCGGCATGAGACCCTACAAGCATCGTTCCTAAAATGGTCTGGGACTTAGCTCAGTGGTTGGTAGCCCTGGTCCATGGTTGTAACCCATTTAGGGTGACTAGTCATTTAGCTAAGTCCCAGACCATCTTAGTAATGGGGATTCGGTGAGCATGACCCACGTCATCCTTCTTACTAAATGAGTCATACTCAAAACCCGGTATTGAAATGGTCCAAGCCCAGAACCATGGAATTTATGGCAAGGGGATTGTCCCTTACTCCTTCATCTACCCGAATCGGCTTTGAGCCAGTGGATCAACTTCGTGATGGTGTCCGAAGGAAATTGAGGCACCGTGTCCTCACCGAACTCCTGATAAGTAGCTCCGAAACGCTCCCTCCCTTCCGACCAGCAGGTTTCCAACCTTAAACCCACCAAAACATGGGGGGTAGGTAGGCTTCTCTTGAAGCCCACCACGGGCTTTGATTTTTCTTCGGGTAGGTGTGCCCCCCCCCACCCCCCCCCCCCCACCCCAGGTCGGCATTTTCGCAAGCAGAAATGGAAACTCTTGTCTGGCCCTGTTGCCCGAGCGGTGGAAGGAGGCCACCGAGCGCAGCACGATGCCGCTGGAGGCGCTCTCGCCATGCTTCTCCGACCTCAAGGAGATGGAAAACGTCGCGGGGGCTGGGTGGGGGCGGGGCGGGGTGGGGGGGGGGGATAGACCTACCGGGGGATTTGGGGCTAGGGTTTGGATTGGTTTGGATTCGGATTTGAACCCCAAAGCACGGTGGGGGTGGGGGGCTGCGGGGGGGGGGCCAAGCAGTCATGGGATCCAGATGAGGAATGGGACTGGTTTGAACATGGGAGTGGAGGGGGTCGGCCTCCTTGTTTGAACATGTTTACCCTCCCTTTGCGCATGGCACCTGACGTTCGCGGCAAGGTCCTGGTTTGGACCGATCTCCTTTTGAAGGGACCGCGTCCTTGTCAGGTTCCATGATAGTTGGTGGGTTGGCAAAGCATTGCTCAAAACAAAGGGTCTTGGCCAGCCCCATGCTAAAAAACTTGCTCCCATGTCTGCCCAAAACGCCCTTCTCTTGGCCTGGGGTTGTTTCTTAAAATGGGATTCTGACTCTCTTTTGGTTGGTGGAAAACCAGGGAAGGCAACCATTTCACCCCCATGACATCGCTCTCATCACATTGTACCGGAAATCCTGCAGCATTGCAGAAAAAGCACCGAAGCCGAATCTTCCACAACCATGCCCTGGTGGCTGGGCGCGTTTTTTTTTGAGGTACTCCAGGGTACCACAGGCGATGGACTCCAACGGTAGGCGGATTGTATCCACATATGAACCCATGGCCATCTGGACCCCAAAAGGGGGCTGATTTCCCAGAACTAACGGCCAATTAACCCATAAACTAGGGGTTCATAACAGGGTTCAGAAACATGTGTATGTATATATATATATATATATATATGTATTATTATTATTATATGTATTATTATTATTATTATTATTATTATTATTATTATTATTATTATTATTATTATTATTATTATTATTATTATTATTATTATTATTATTATTATTATTATTATTATTATTATTATTATTATTATTATTATTAGTATTATTATTACTACTATTATTATTATTATTATTATTATTATTATTATTATTATTATTATTATTATTATTATTATTATTATTATTAATATTAATATTATTATTATGATTATTATTATTATTATCATTATTATTATTATTATTATTATTAGTATTATTTATTATAAATTATCAATTATTAATTATCAATTATCAATTATTAATTAAAATTATTATCATTATTATTAGTATTTTTAGTATTATTAGTATGATTATTATTAGTATTATTATTATTATTTGTCTATTAATATTTGTTTATTTATAATAATAATAATAATAATAATAATAATAAAAGAAGGAAAAGCCTTTGAGAAGGGGCTTTTGCCTATGTCCGAACCAGAACTCCTGGTGGCTCCGCCCCCTCCCAGTCCGGCCAGTGGTCTTTCGATCCGAAACTGCTGAAGCCCAGGTCCTCACTTTTAGCCCCAGGGTAAGGACCCTCTGGGGATGAAAACTCTTGAATGGGGCTTTGCCAAACGGAAGGCTTCAGGCCAAAAGTGTGTCGAGTCAACATGTACTTAAAGGGGTCGACCCAAAAACATGCGAAAATCGAAAGGTCGTGCATCTGCACGCTTCACTTTCCCAGTCTTCACGGCTCTCTTCACGGCCTGCCTCTTGTCAGGTTGCTTTGCACTACCTCGTTTTGGCTCACTTTGACCGCGGCCGTTGGACCGCAAATTTCAGCTTTGGTTGACCCAGCTAAGGGTCCTGACCCCTCCCATGCACACCGGGGCCCGGACCCGAGCCAATGGAGAACCCCGACCAATTCCTCAGGGGCCTTGAAAACAACCAGTTAGGGCCCAAAAACCATCGAGACTCTTAGGGCCAATCGTTTTTTTTGAGCCTAGCAATTCTAAAGGCACCAAATCAGCTCTTTTCCGTTTGCTGGTCTCACTTCCTGGGTGGACTACGGATTGGCCCACAAAAGTCACCACCTGGATTGCCAGTTGCTGTTTGTTTCCATGCACTGTACCCCCAAAACCAGCAGTGACTGAAAACAGCGGAGGCAGCGACTCGGCGATCGAAACAAACTCTTTAGCTGAAGTCCAGGAACTCAGGAAGTGAGAAAAATGGCGAGCAACGGCGTTCCTTTCAGCCTCTGGGAAGGTGAAAAAAAAACGCAGCAGCAGAGTAAAAACATGCTAGGATGTATATACACCGACTCACTTCCCGATTTCAAAAAAAAAAACGGGTCAAGTCTCACTTTGGTGGGACTTGAAAAAAGGGAAGCCTCCCCTCCATTACACACCCCGGAGGTGTTTGGGGGTCTCAAAGAGCCTGACCCGTTTGAGGGCCCCAAATACATCGGGGGAGCCTCTGGGGTTTAGTGAACATCACGCTCGAAAAAGTGTCTCTTTTGTCCGAGGCCACGTCTTGCGGTTGGTTCTCGACCGGGAAAAAAATGGGACACCCGCCACTTTCGGGGGGGTCCGCCGGCCCATGGTCGCCCTTTTGCGGGTCTCCTCCCCGTCCAGGTGTCTTGGGCTCCTTTGGGTGTCCCTTTGGCTTATTCTTGCCACGAAAATGGCAGCCGAGCCCAAGAAGTGGCGAAGTCGGCTGCCCGGCCCTTTGAATTTACCGCCCCCCCCCCTTTCTTTGCGGTCGGCCTTTGGCAGGGAGAAGAGGAACACCCTACACCCCCCCATTTTGGGGCCCATGCCCCTTTTCCCCTGCTTCCTCCGGGGAAAGCCCCGGGCGTGCCGCGCTGGGGTCCGCTGGGCCCCCGGGCAAATCGGAGAACTTCCGCGCGCGCTGGGCCAAGGACTCCACGAGGTCTCTGCTGATGCAGAGGTCGCTCAGGGCGCCCTCGGCCTCCTGCAGCGCCTCCACCTCGCCCACCACCAGGATGCCGAAGATGTGGAGATAGCCTTGGGGCTCGGGTTCAAAAAATAAGCTCAGGTGATATCCTCACCACCTCGCAGCCCTCGCAGAACCCTGGCGGAACCCTGGTAAACCCTGGTGGAATCCTCGTGGAACCTTACCTCAGGCCGCCCCGGACCACCCCGGAGCCTATCTGGGCTGAGACCCCAAAGCTTTCAGCTGTGGGGGACAAAACAAATGTCCAGCGGGTTGGGTGGGTAGGACGCACAAAGGAAAAAAAGAAAATAAAAACAGAAGAAAAGAGGAAAAAACACGTCCAGTGTATGTGTTGTTGTTGTTGTTGTTTTTTTTTTTTTTTAACTTAGTGCTTGAACCAGCTATGTTTAAGCAGACAAAGCTAAAAAGGACTCCGAAAATGTGGGACGTTCCTTTGGAAGACCCCGAAAAAATCGGGGCCTCCTTCGTGGGGTGGCTTGGATTTGGTGATTCGGTGGTGGGTCGTGTTGTCTTTAAGTAAGGTACAACCCAGGACCATAGCCTCTCGGACTCGACAACAAAATTGAAGGGCGTTCCTTTGAAAAAAACCCGAACATCCGGCTTCCCGGCCTTATTGGTTTGGAACACTTGGCTCTACAGGTGGTTTGTTTTGGTGGTTTGGTGGTTTGGTGGTTTGGTGGCTTGGTGGCTTGGTGGTTTGGTGGTTTGGTGGCTTGGTGGCTTGGTGGCTTGGTGGCTTGGTGGTTTGGTGGTTTGGTGGCTTGGTGGCTTGGTGGTTTGGTGGCTTGGTGGTGAATAAACCTGCAAATTGGTGGTTTGGACTGGTTTGGTGGCCAAGGATTTACCGTCTACCAAAGCCTGGGGCTAGGTGGCCTTCTGGAAAAAATGATGGTTTGCCCTGGTAAATGGAAGCGGAATGAAACCCATTGAAAACCAGTGTCATCTATTTTTTGCCGGACCAAGCTAAAAGGAAAAACCTATGATTGGGACGTCCCTTGAAAGACCGGCATCAGTGGGGTTGACTCCAACGAATTGATGTTGGTATCATTTTAGACCCCAATCAATCTTGCAAAGCATGATTCATGAACATTCGAGACTCAAACCAAAAGTTCTCAAAAAAAAAAAAAGACTAAAGATGATCTCATTCGTGCCTCTTGTCACTTCTCTCTCCTGAATCCGCTTCCCGAGCTACTTGGTGACTTGGTGGTTTGGTGGCTTGGTTAAGGGTCGTGTCCCATATACCCTCTACAAGAACCAGGGCTTCCCGTCAAACTCCGAACTCCAAACCACCGCGCAAACCAAAGGTAGCCCTGACCTGACCAAAGCAGTTGGCTCGAAGCGGAGAGCGCAAGGCGGCGCCGGTTGGGTTCAAGCTTGAGCTTCGGGGAAAAGCTAAACTCCGTCGCTTCAGGCGAGCTTCATCGTGGGCCACCTCTCAAAGAAACGGATTCCGGGAAGGCTCAAGACATGGAAGCTTCCGGAAAAACGTCGGAATTGGGCCCCCGGGCGGAGCAGCTGCTTGGCGAACTTGGCGGCGAGCAGGGCGAAGGCTGGGCAGTCCAAGAGCACCAAGTAGCTGGCGCCCTGGGTCAGTCACTTCCCTGTGGTTTCCCCTGTAAATATATATGTATATATATATACATATATATATATATGTGTGTGTATATATATATATATATATCTATTTATTTATTTATTTATGTGTATGTGTATATATATATATATATATTTGTTGATGTTATATTCTGTATATTTTCCTTGTTCTATGTTTGTCTGTTTGTTTGTTTGTATGTTGTCTTTAATGTATATAATTATATAGGGGGAGGCAGCAGCAGTCAGGCTAAGCCCATTCTAAAGCTGAAAGCCCCCCCCCCTTCGCCTTGAGGGGTTCCTTCAAAAGAGACACTCAGAGCATTTGTTGCGCATCCGTTGGTTTCCCTTTTCGGCACATCCCTCTACCCCCAACAGTGGCAGAGTCGTCCAGGATTTGTTCAGCCCATGTGTGGCTAAAGCCGAGCCGATGCCCCACGCCATCGTTGGCTCTTGGAACCCAACTGACCCGGACTCGGGTGGCTCTGAAGCTCAACCCAGTGGATCCCGATTTTAGAGTAGGCAACCAGCAACTTTCTGTTCTATTCAAAGGGCGGCTCCCTTGGTGACCTACTATACAGGTTGGTGGATCCACACAGGGACACCAAGAACACAACAAAAAGGAAACTCTCACACAAAAAATGCCGTCTTGGCTCAAGCAAGCGGAAAATCACACACACACCGAAAAAAACAGAAAACAAAAAAACTGACTGCGATCTAGTGTTATTTCCTTCCGGCTCGCCGTTTTCAACTTGCGCCAAGGCTTGGAAGCTTCTGCTCGGAGTGGCATACATATTCCATGCTTTCCGTTTGGGGGGTCCTGTTGCCACCATTTTTTGGACATACCTCTGGGAGGAACCCTACACTTCCATTTGCCTAAGACCCCTGCAGAAAATATATATATATATATATATATGTATTTTTCACCTAGTGATAGGTTCCCTTTAAAACCGACAGGGGGAAATACAAAAAAAAACATATTATCTTCTTTTCAGCCAATGGAAGTGCACCTTTTCCCGGCTGAGGGGCCTTCGGACCCGCGTCCCGTCCCCGAGCCATTCGCCTGCACCGCCACCAGGCGCCCACGGTGGTGCCACTCCGCCCAGAGCGCCGGGAGACAGAGGGCGTCGCCCTGCGAGCGTCTCGGGGGCGTCTGAGCAGGGATCCGGATGCAGTGAATACACCTGAACTGAACATTGCCTCTTGTAAAGGGCGGGTTTCCCATTGGTGTTGAAAAAAGCAGCATGGTGGTTTCCCAATGGTGGTTTCCCATTGAGTTGCCTCTTATTTTGGTGTTGAACAAGCGGTCCATGGTTCAATTGGTTGCAAAAAATGTATTTTTCTTTCAAGGAGCCCTGGCGAAGTCACAATGAAAACTCGGGACAAAAATGGTCCAAGCCCAGATGCCTCAAGAACTAAGAGGCCGGATTTCCGCAGCTATTGGCTGGGATCGTCCCTTCACTCACCCGAGTCTTGATTGTGGCTCTGAATGTGTGCAAGTTCCACTGGGGTCCGAATATCCCTCCCGGGAGATCGCACTTGTATGCATGAATCTCTTCGCGGAATGGGCACTTTGTCCGGAACTGGGCATCCATGATTGGAAGCTTCACTCCGGTTCCATGCCACTGGGTAAGTTCTCTTTCCCTTAAACAGGTCGACCCCTGGCCATTACCACCACTCCTGACCCTCCGCCAGCCTAAGTTGGAGGGCGGTGTGCGGGTTCTGTGGAGGTGTGGAAAATGGGAAAACCCGATGATATAATGTGTACTCAGCTGTTTTCTTGGACCTCCACACCGCCCTTCTGACACCGCTATCTGGGTCGCTCCCCCCTGAGCAAAAGTCCAACCTTTTGCAGGTCGATGGAAAGTCAGTGGTGTCCAAAAGGTCTGACCCAGGGAACACCCAAAGCAAGCCAGTCATTTTACACAAAGCCAGCAGGTGGTTTGCTGGTCCCTCCAAGCCTCACGACCCAAGCACGCCCTGTTTGTTGAGCCAAAAACGCCAGCTGGGCCTTTTTCCTGGAAACCCACAGCGGGGTCCAAGGTTCTAAGATGTTTGTCAAGGTTCAACATGGAGTTTTTTTGGGTCCACAAGCAGAACAACTCGAATCATGGTGTTGGGTTCCACTTTGTGGGGAGTCACAGCTTGCAACCCTTCCAACTTGACGCGCAAACCGACCACAAGCTCATTGCCTCAATTCCAATCCTTCCTTTCCTTGCAAAACGACCCACGAGTTCACGTGGCCTTTTTTTTCCGGTATCCATTCGTTCCCAATGTTTCTTGTTTTTTTGCGAGGGAGTAGAAATTGTGTTTTAAGTTGCTGTTTGACTTCCCAAAACAACCTGGCCCGCTTTAGGGCTGGGCCCTGAACAGATTGAACCAACGGATCAACATCATCAACAAAGGTTCATCAACTTCTTGAAACCCAGAAAAGTGACAACCCTGTTTTGTTTGGTTTTTGTCCCCCCCCCCACTGATTTTTCCCCAACCGGCGTTTCTTCCAAACATTACATTCAGCGCTATGTGGAAACCCTGCGTGTCGGAAACTGAGGATGGAATTGGGCTCTGCAATGAGTGTATGTACATATACACGTACGTAAGTATGGGTAGGTGGGAAGAGGCAGGTGGGTGGGAGGGTAGGTGGGCTTGTCTGTATCTGTGTATCGGTGCATGTGTGTATGGGTGTGCGTGTGTGCATGCATGCATGTATGTATGTTATATCTGTCTGTATGTCTGTATGTCTGCATGTCTGTATGTATGTATGCATGCACGCATGTATGTATGTTCTGTACACACACATTGAGACATCAGAAAGATGCAACACGCATCCCAACGTCCACCCCCACACAGCCCATCGGTTCAACGCCTCAATGAGACTCTGCTGCAGCACCTCCTCCTTCATGGATGAACTCTTCATTGACACACCTGAGCGGCGCTTTGACCTCAAATTTTGGTTCTCAACAAGAGAAAAGTCGAAAGGTCCCATGCTCAAAGATGGAATGTCAGAGAAGGTCCCGGAAGACCATTGTCCTAGAAAAGGACCCCGCCTCCTGTGGACACCGAGGCGGCGGGCTGGTGATGGGTCACCGAGTAGCCTCGGACGTAGCCCGTTCTTGGGCTGGCTGAGGGTCCGAAGCTTAGCTACATGGTCTGTAGCCATGGTGCTACATATGTATATGTAAGGTGTATGTATATATATATATATTATGTTTATATATATGTGTGTATATGCATATACATGTACAAATAGATATGTATATATGTATATACATGTACAAATAGATACATATATATATATATAGATATATATATATATAAAAATACATATATGTACATATGGCCTTTTGTTCCCACCTCGCTCTCCAACCCTGCAGCCACTTGGACCAATTGACCTTGTATTCCGCCACACGTGCTTGTAATCTCAACCAGGTTGCCCAAAACACGCTTTTGTTCAAGACAGGCATATTGCGCAAAAATCGGCAAAAGTCCGCCCCCAAAGCCGGTCAAATCCCTCTAGAAACCGGTCAAATCCCCCTTGAAGCCGGTCATCTAGAAGCCGCAGAAACCAGTCAAGAAACCAATCAAATCACCCTAGAAACCGGTCAACTAGAAACCGGTCAAATTCTCAAAGCCGGTCGAACTCGGGCCAAATCGGTCAAAATCCCTGCTCCAGAAACCTATCCAATCCCCAAAAAACTGTCAAAGGCCCAACTCCGGCCAAATCCTTGCAGAAAGCGGCAAGATTCCCCCCGTCCCAGAAACCACACCTTCGCTTGGCCCAAGCTTACTGCCATTCTGCAGCTCTGCAGCTCTCGTTCTGGCCCTTGAAGCCATGTGGAAACACGCAGACATGCACCCACCCTCAACCTTGGAAACCAGCTCACGCAAACACAAGACTTCAAAGCAAACTAGGTACACGGCGTGTAGACGGCCGCGGTGGTTTCAAGGGATTTTTCCGGCATGCATGCAGCGTTCTGCCTCAGCGTTACAGTGTGATTAGCAGCACGCACTGTTTTTCTCTTGGCGCAGACCCAGGCAAGCGTCTAGACAAAGCAAAGGCAGAAGCAGTCAAAACAGGGGCAAGGCAGCCACCAACCGTGCAAACGTACCGAGACCAGGCGGACGCAAGCGAAGGAAGATGTTCAGTCAAAGAAGTGAAGCTAATCGGACCACGGTGGGAATCAATAATGGAGGCAAGAACTACGAATTCAAGCACAGAATCTCCACGCGAACTGGTGCAGAAAACGTCAAGATGATGGTTCAAATACCAGGACAAGCAGACCAAACCCTCAAGAGACCCTCAGACCGGTTTGGTGGAACGCAAGCCAAACGCAAAAGCAGAACAAACGCAAGAGACAAAGCCACTTCAAAAGCATACGCATCCATGGCGCCCACATTGAGCCGAAACAAGAAATGACCCGACTCGGCAGCCGCCGCAAAACAAGCCAGGGTGCTCCAAAAATGTGCGCCCAAAAAAAACAGCTCAACAGCCGAACCTTGACAATCCCCCCTCCCTCCCCCCCACCCCACCCCATAAGCCACGCAAACAGCAGCTAAATTAGACAAATGTTCCACACCAACACAACAAAAAACGCGGGCCAAAAGACAAAACAAAATGCAAAAAGCAGAAAACTGCTTAAAACACCACGGCCGTCTACACGCCTCCAGCCAAAAGCGGCGGGCAACGCGAAGCGTTTACAATAAAGGCACCCACTCGCGTGTTGCCCAGAGCTATAAGCTCACTAATCATTTAGCTAAGGTCATCTAAGTCCCCAAATCAAGGACAGACCTTTCGCGACCCAAAAAGCCCTAAGACAAAATGAGTAGTGTTAAAAAAGCCCTTGAATTTTGGTTCTACCAAAATGCTTGCAAAGGTTTCCCTAGGCCTTACTACAACCACCACAAGGAAACCAGTCAACAGTTGGTTTTGAAACCTATTCGCAAACAGGTCTCCATATGTGGACTGGTAACCCAAAACGGGAAAAATGGAACCTGCAAGAGGTGGGTTCCTACCCTAGCTGTTGTTTAAAAATACCACTGGTGGTTGGCTGCGTCGAGGTTAGGGGAAAATCAAACCCTCAACTGCAGAAAGCAAGGGTGTGGAGGTGGGGGTGTAAAAAATGAAAAGGGAAAACCAAAATCAACCATCAGAAACGTACTTGTTTGGTCATCTTGTTGGCTAAACGAGCACAGCTCAAGGCAAGGGTCAAGAATCCCTGGACAAAATTATGTCGCCCGTATGAACCCACTTATGTAAGCAACCAAAGCTAGAAGGGGGGGCGGGAAACCACACCAGTAAATGTGTCACTTGTTCTGGCCGAAAGAAAAACATGATCTTGTTGTCTGCCTCTAAAATGGTCCTCCAAACCCGAATGGGTTTTTCTTTGGCTTCCCGTGATCCGAATCAAGGGGTACCGAGCGGTTTCGCCTAAAGTCCCTGAGTGGTACTGATGGACACCATCCACGTAGGTCTGCCCAGTTGCCGGTCTTCCATCCCAGGTCCAGGACTTTGTCCCCGGTAGGTCGGGAACCCAGGGACACAACTTGGAGCCAGCATCTGACCTTGAGAACTCGAAAGCGCCGGCGTACACCGCCGAGAAGCACAGGGAGCCGGACTCCATGATGTACGCGCTGTTGCAGTCGGTGCCAGGGATGAACATGTCCTGCGCCGAGCTCGGCCACATCGGTTCCGGGAGATCCCATCTGGGGCTAGCTGTTGGCGGGGATTCCCACCCAACAAAAAGGGATTTAGAGAACGCCACTGGTGCTCAGAGTAAGCCCAGTGTCGAACCCAAATAAATCAACCTAGTAGTTTCATTGAGGTGCCTTTCTCCCGAAAGTGCGTGTTTTCCAAGCGCATGTAAAGATCAAGGCGTCTTGATAAGTCTGCCTGCGTCTGGCTGCTGCAACTGCCATCTGTGCAACAAAGTATCCCCCGTAAACTAGAAACAAGGGCGGGATGAGTTGCAGAAGCGGAAAGCTCAAGCGCTCCGCAAAACTTGGGCATGAAGACAGAAGGGACCAAACGCCGACGGCTTGACCCCACAAAACTTCACTTGAGCAGGCTGACGTGTGGTTTCAGCCTAGTATGTTCACACCAAGACCGCTCACAAGAATATAAGCTCCTTCTTGTAACTACTATCTCACACTCCTCTGCAGTGACCGTGGGTTGACGTGTTCTCCAGGTGCATGTAAAGATTGAGGCTTGTTGTACGCGTGTGTCTGGCTGCTGGGTAGGGTCAACTTGCAAAAAACCGTGATGGCAAAACCTGCGCAACTGCCATCTGTCCAGCAAAGTATCCCCCTTAAATTGGAAACAAGGGCGGGGCGCAGAAATGGGCAGGCTGCAGAAGAGGAAAGCTCAAGCTCTCTGCAAAACTTGAGCATAAAACCAAAAAGCAGCAAATGCCGACGGCTTGACCCCACAATACTTCCCTTGAGCAGGCTGACGTGTGGGACATCGAAGTGGTCGACTTGGATTTTAAGCACTTTCAGCCTAGTATGTTCATGCCAAGGCCGCTCTACAAGAATACATTTGTGGGTTGAAACTCCCTCCAAATCAAGGGAATTGTCAGGCACCTTCGCCCCGAAGAGTGCACAGCAGAGGTCTTGAAGGATTGTCTTCCGAATCGCGAGAACCACAGCGCGCGTCTTGCTTGTGAGGGTATCCTTTTCGGGTTGATTTAAAGGGGAACTAAATGGAAAACCACCATTTGGGTGGGCCTGCCTATTTCTGCTTGGGCTTGGTGGGAGGCTATTCTCAGTGGGATTCCTCAGACTTGTCATAAGGTTTCCTTTTTACATGCTGCCCTGCCCACTTCCATGGAAGGGCACAAGCTCGATGTTTTCAAAAGGAAAGTTGCTTTGTAATGAGAATCTGTAAACTTCCATACACAACTCCATGGTGAAACATGTCAAAGGAAATCTTCAGGTGTCACCCCTCAACCGTGGGCCAAACTGATCCGACCCCTGCGAAAAATGACAGTGAAGACTTCTTGCTGGTTGAAAAGGAAAATGACGTTCCAAAAAAACAAGGAACAATGGTAAACGCAAACTGGCAAACAGTTGAGAAGGCAAGCATTTGGTCTGGCAACGAACCACTTTACCCTCGTCCCCTCCCCGCAGTCCTCTCCAGGCTTCACCACACGCTCGCTCCTAGGCTGGCTGATGCTCAGGCGCAAGCAGCCAACAGCAGAAGTTTGGTTGGGAAACATGGCCCAAGCGGGGGCGTTTTTCGGCGGGGGCTATCAGCCCCCCTGAAATTAGTTCGTGTCAACGGTCCCCGAACTGAGGTTCTCGAAACGACGAGTCCTGCGCATTTCACACGAAGCATGTCGCCCCTTTGTCAAAATATGCCCTCGATTTAATGGACGAGCCCAAGTGGTCGCCAGGGATGTCTGCAATTTTAGGGGGTGTATCAATCAGGGCTGACCCCAGATGGGTTCTAACAAATGGGCACATCCTGTGCAAGCAGTTGGAACCTGTTGATTAGCACTAGACCGGGTCCCGGATACAACTCAAGCGGTTGCTACCACTCCCAAACTCGCTGATCCCAGTTGATTGTAGTTTTTTTGGTGTGAGACTGGTCAAACAAAACGCTCTCAAACCAGCACCAAACTTGCGCTGGATTACCAGGGGTGCTACAAGCCTCTCCCTAGTTGGTTCAAGACACCGTGAGTCGTCTCATTCCCTTTATTCAAGAAAGACACACCGTATATGTCCTGCGTCGTATGTTAGTTGCGGGAAAGCGCTTTAATGCACCATGCACCGCCGCAAGTCTTAAGCTTCATGGAAACCAGCTACAAGACACTGTACAGGAAATTGGCCAAATGCCAACCAAAAACAAGGCTTGATAGAAAAGTGGGACTCTGCAAGTGGAACTCTGAAACCATCATGTGGACCGCAGGAATCTTCGTCGTCCTTGTTTCCATTTACGGAATGGGCAAGCCATTTGTTGGGGTTACCCGATGTTTGAGCCACACCCACTTTACAGGAAACCAAAGAGGCTCTGCTCTGTTCCAGGGTCTTTCACTCAATCAGAGCATCCATGATGTCTGCCAGAACTTTGGCTTGGTTGCTGGCAGTGGACCCCTCCGCAAAAAACAAAAGTTGAGCTCACTTTAAAGGAAACCCTGAAACCAACCCACCGCCTCACCGCCTCACCGAAAAGCGAAAATTTTCCCAGGCGCATGGCGTCGTGGCAGATGCGGCGCAGGAGCTGGGCCTCCTGCGGGGACCCAGAGGGACCCAGACACGGTGCCGGGTACCCCCCGATTTGGCTCTGTGCAAACCCAGGAAACCCCTGGTGAACATCAAAATAGATGGCAAATGGATGTTCATCCACCCCAAAATGCAGCCATACTGTGGATGGACGAAATCCGATTCGCACCACCTAAGAAAGCTTGGGAATGAGTCGATTCCCCCAACGTAAATACCAACAAGCAATGGTTCCCGGTTGTTTGTTGGGTGGTGCAGGGTGTTGACCAGTAGGTTGTGCCCCACCATTTTCCTCTGAGCCTCCTGGACCCCAAAGTTGGCCAGGATCCACCATTGAGAAGCCCGATGATTTTGGGAACATCCTGAGCGCAGCCTCTTCTCGGATCCAAAAAAATCCACGGCAAAACAACTGCCCCAACTGCCCCAACTGCCCCAACTGCCCCAACTGCCCCAACTGCCCCAACTGCCCCAACACCTCCCTCCCAACTGCCCCAACTGCCGGGCCAAGGCCCCCACCCGCCAGAACACCCCAACGGACCAACCAAGATCCGCGCCTGGGACCGGGCCCTGGGCGGCCAAAAGCCCAGGTGCAGCAGGGAGGGCAAGTACCTGAGTGGTCGGGGACGGTCGGGGCAGCGCCTTTGACACAAGGTGTTTCTGAAAAGAACCCGAGGCGGTTCTTTGCTTCTCCTCTTACCATAAAAGGGGACCCAAACACCAAGGTCGTCTTCCTTGCGGCTTCCTCTTACCATCCTAAACGGGGACCCGTTGAGAAACACCCACCTGTCAAGCTTGGCAAGGCTGGCATCCCTAAGAGCCAAGCGGAACATCTTTGCGTTGGGCCGCACATCTTGCACGTCACACGCTCCAAAACGGGCGCCGCGCGGGCGCAGCGCGTGGTGGCGCTTTTTTTTTGTTTTTTCCCCCCCGGACGCCTGGAAGACCCCTTGAACTTTGCGGCGCCTTCCTGAGGCGCCATCTTTGGAGGCCCAAGGAGCGGGAAAGAACTAGCCCCTGAGCTGGGCACTCCAAACGGGTTCAGCGCCGAACTCCCTCCCGAAAACCGAAAACCGACCACCAGCTCAGGTCTGGTCATTCCAAGCTCCCCCCGAGAAAAAAGAAAAAAAAACTACACAGTTCTGGTCCTTCCAGCATCCTGTCGGGAAAGACAAAAAAAGAAAAGAAACTCCCTCTTTTGCCCCTTTTTTGTGGGGACCATCTCCCCCTCCCCTCCCCACCGGGGCCAACTCCAACTCCCTCCTACCCTCCCAACCCTCCCAACCCTCCCAACCTCCGATCGCTGCATCGATCCAAAGCGCAGCTCCTCGTGCAGCTGCATCTTGAAGCGCTCGGGCAGGCGCTGCACCAGGTCCACCTCCTGCTCCGTGAGCCGCACCTGGCAAAGAGGCCTAGGGGGCCCAGGGGGCCTAGGAGGCCTAGGCCTAGGTCTTGCGAGGAATGGGATGACCCCTCAAAAGGCTCTGGCAGGGAGGCTCGGGGAGAAAAAAAAAGGTCTTGCTGGTGCGACTATCGCGGGGAAGCAGAAATACCGTGGATGGCTGCGAAATCCATTTCGCGCCACCGTTCTGAAACCCTGGTGTCTGATGATTCGCCTGTGAATACCAACAAACAACGGTTCTCCATGGAGTCCGAGTGGTGTAGGATTTTGTCCACCCACAGTAGTGTGGCTTCCTTTGAAGGGGGAGGGTTTGAAGGGGGAGGTGTTGGGGGTGCATGACCCATTCCTGGGTTCAATTCCACTGACCAAATCGTAGAACCTCGCGGCGAGACGAGGTCAGAGGCGAGCACTCCACAAATCATGCTCTGAATGTGTACCCTTCCTCCAACTAACATGGCACCTGTGGCAAGGTACCTGGAAGATTAATTTCCTTTTGAAGGCAGCCCCTGTCAGTTGCCACGTTAGTTGGGGGGAGGGTAAGTCATTTTAGTAGGTCGCTCTACTGGTAGAACCGCGCCTCCTCTCTGGGGACGCGTTGATTCCGCCAAGAATCAGATGGGGCACTTGAAAGCTTGGTGCTCTTGGTGTACTGGTGACCCCGGATTAATGAACGCCTGTATATTGATATGGGGTGTTCCCCTTCAAAAGTGATGAATCCCCACTAAAACCAGAGAAAACAGGGGTTTATTAATCTGGGGTCAACATTAGGAAGTTCCAGACCTGCCTCCTTAGAGCTTAGTTTGCTTCGGAAATCATTCAGGTTCCCCAACCAAGTTGGCAACCCTCCCGCAGGCTGTGGGATGGCACAAGGCACCTGGCTGCATAGTTTGCCTTGGCCTAAAAGGGTGCAAGATGTTCAGATTCATAGGTGTCCTTTTAGGGGAAATAGATGGCCCTGGTAGATGATTAAACCACCAGGCAAACCGGGAATCGCCATCTGTTTTTCCAGCAAAACAAACAAAAAAGGACACCTATGTTCAGATTCTGTTTCATAGTCGAACTCGAAAACAATAAGATGTTTTCTGAGGAGACGCCTGATAAGAAAGAAAAGACAGGCCCCCATCGCATTGAACTGGCAACATGTCAGGTAATCTGTTCACGGCCCCAAGATCTGGCTTTGAAACCAAGGGGCTGCGACGTGGCCATATCTCAAAACTAACCCCATGGTGTTTTAAGACCCGAAATTGCAAGCCATTTTTTCCTGCCCAGGGTCCATCTGAATGATGTTTCAGGGTCCCACTTCCCCATGGTCAAAACTCCGAATCTGTCGGTCGCGGTCATGGCCTGATAAAATTGAACCCTTGCGATACCAATCTCAATCCCAAATCAGCAGTCCATGACGACCCAAGCCAAGGGGTCCTTTGACCGCATGGGCTGCATGTCACGTGGCTCCTTTCAGACTTGCCCGGCCTCGAAACGCCCCCGCGAGATCGTCTCGGTGACGTTGTTGTAGAGATCCGTGGACATGTTCCCTGAACGGATCCCTACAGAAACCCCTCTTCACTTCCAGGAAATTTAAACGAAGATCGCCAACCCCCAGGGAAAAATGGACAGGGAGCTGCCCCACGGATGTTTCCAAAGATCCGGGAAGAGAGGGATGACCCCTTTCCCAACATATGAGTCATAATCAAAACCCGGTATTAAAACGGTCCAAGCCCAGAACCACGTAAAGAATTAAGAAGGCGGCCGCAGCTATTTATGGTTGGGATTGTCCCTTACTAACCTTCATCTACCCGGGTTTTGACCGTAGCTCAACTATGGAAGTGGACGTGGGGCCGGCCTTTTCGAGTGGATGGTCTTCCAAAGGCGGCATGCCCACTTCCATATGGAAGATCCCATGTATGATTGCACCCCCACAAAAAAAGGGGGAAACAAAGGAGAAAAAACACGTGGATTTTCACAAACCCCTGTGGAAGACTATGTTCCATTCATCTTTGCTGGTTGAAAATACAACAAACTCCACCCGCAGGTTGAGCAGAGTTGTTTACCCAAAAAGCAAAAGGCAACCCCAGGACACAAAAAATGTGTTGATTCGTTTCGCACCCGGCGGGCGCAACAGCCCATTTGCAGGTACAGGCATGGGCAAGCTCCTTTACCAATGTGCTGTCAGCACATGGTTCCTCGACTCGACTTGAAAGTGCTCCGACTCACTCTTTTGGGGCAGCAAAAAGTCACAACCTGCGTGAGCCACCTTCTGTTGCTTCGTGTTTCATCTTCTTGGATTCCAACCATTCCTTCTTGCACCAAGAACTCTTTGCCAAGAAATCTCTTGGACGCCCAAAGCGGTCCGATCGCCATGTAGGCAGTTCCACGGCCTAAAAGGCAACATTGAACCCCATGATCGCAACGGCGTCCTTGGTTTTTGTGTGGGCTTCCCTTTACACCCACCAGGGCATTCCGAAACAAAAAGAGAGAGAGAGAGAGACAGAGAGAGAGAGAGAGAGTGAGAGTGAGAGTGAGAGTGAGAGTGAGAGTGAGAGTGAGAGTGCAAGAGAGAGAGAGAGACACACACACACACACACACAACCACACCATGCAAATCTCTCGTGCTTCTTAAGCCTTCTTGATTCCCAAGCACCAGTGGACCATCGGGCTCTCCCGTTGAACCTTACCCCAAAAAAATCGATCGAGACCGAGGAGCTCTCCACGAAGAACTGCAGCAGCTGGTTGTGCTGCTTCACCTTCTCAGCCTCGCAAAGCGCCGGGGGAACCGACGGGCAAGCGGAGTGCGCAGTGCCCGAGACTCCAGCCAGATCTGTTCCAAAGCGTCACGAGAAAAGCAGGGGAGGAAAATATCAGCCAACTAATGGTGAACTAACATGGAGGGCTTATAGGAGATCCTCCCCCTTGGGCAAAAAGACTGACCTGCTGCGCTCATGAAGATACCTTTCGTCAGTTTGCCAAAGCAGCCAAGGATTATAGAATGGAAGACCTCTGGATTTCTGAAAAGCCTCCAAACCTTCAAGAACGTGGCAAATTATGGAACCCAGGATTGATAGGTCGCTCCTAACAATTCGCAACCCCCTCCTTGTCCATGTTCATTCTGGACTGAGTCTAAACTCTGAAGGTCTATAGCAAGTCTGCGGGTATTTCTGGGAAGATGTTGCGCTTTTTTGGGCACCCCGGATGATCGAAGGTTGGAAGCCACAACGGTCTGATCCCGTCCGGCAGAGTGAGGCCAAGATGACACCCAAACCACGACCCTCCCATGTGGCTTCCTCGGCGCCCATGTGTATAACCCGCAAGAATACAAACAAAGCCCACGGGTCTTGCGCGACAGGTTTTGCTTACATGGGCCGAGGTTCTCGCGTGTTCTCCGAAACAACTGGCGGACAGCCTATGCGGCTGCAGCCTCGAGTGTACCTTCGGTGAAGCATCACATTGGGGCTTCCGCGGAGCTTATGCGGCGCTAGTTTCACCAGCAAACCTTAGGCAAACCCAGATGTCTTCTTTCGCAGAAGCATGCTAAAAGAGCTGGGTTTCGCCCTCCCACTTCTCGGCGCGCTCCGATTGGATCGCTTCTCCGCCCCGCCTGGATGGACCGCAGGGAGGTCACTGTGGCGGTGATGGAGCCGATGAAGGAGGAGAAGGCGCCCATGGCCAGCAGGATCACGAAGATCGCGAAGAGCCGCTCCTGGCGAAAGGCGAAAGGCGAGAAGCGCGTGGCAACTGGCTGAAGCGAAGCAAAATGCGCGCGGAAAATGGGAGCGAGGGGGCGTGGGGGGGGGGGGGGGGGGTAACTGAAGGGGGCGTGACTGAAGCGAAGAAAGATGCGCTTTGAAGGGGGAGGGCAACATTTTTGCGATGGGGGCGAAAAAAAATCGGATTTGGGAAGGAGATGAGGGAAAAAAAAACGGAGTTGGGGATTGCCCCGAAAAAAAGGGAAACCACCAGTTGGATGGCTTTTCTTGGGGGTCATTCCATTTCTCATGCCCTTCTGAGCAGCAGCAAGGGAAACGGGGAACTCTCATGGGGGATCGCTTCAGATGACCTCCTACGTTTGGTGTTTGTAGATTGGTGTCCTTTTAGGGGAAATAGATGCCCTGGTAGATGATTAAACCACCAGGTAAACCAGGAATCGCCATCTATTTGTCTAGCAGAACAACCAAAAAGGACACCTACGTGTTTGTAGATTGCACCAAGAAGATATAAACGGTAACCCACGGAGGATATGAACATGGCAACCCCTACAAACCCCCAAAAGTCCCTTCCAGGGTTGAGGGTCAAAGTCGCCGGCCAAAATCGACTCTATGTCCTCCATGCCCCTTCCGCGCAACACCCTTCCCCTCGAAGTGCCGACTGGGGGGTCCGCCGGGCCACCAGAAGCGAACTGAAGTTGTCGCTTTGTGACGGGCAGAATCCAAACAGCCGCTTGATGGCCCAGCCCTTTCCTCCCCCGGCTCTTTCCTCCCCATTGAAAATCCGGCCTCTGCATTGGCCGGCGCCACGTTGTTGGTGGCCGGGGTAAACTGCGTCAGCGACCTCCGTGGCGTGTTCGCCGGACAAGATGGCCCTGGTAGATGATTGAACCACCAGGTAAACCAGGGCCCTCAACCAAAAAGGACACCTATGCCAGCTAATTTTCACTCGGGGGTCAGAGAATCTGTCGCTTTTGGGGGGTTGCACCCACCCATTCATCCACTAGGTTGGTTCATCTGGGTACAAAAGTACCCATCCCTCAGATGAATGCAGGGATCGGACCTCCCATGTCCACAAGTTGCAAATCAAGAAATGTTGAAGGTCGCGTTCCCTCCTCCGAAAGAAAAAATTAACCAAAACACAACCAAAAAAAACACGCGAAGAAAGAGTTGCAAGCAGAGGGGAACGTCAAGAGAAACAAACACATGATCAAGGTCCATAGTCCCCCGCCTCCCGGGACGAAACGAAAAAAGGCCAACGTCGAGTTGCCTCCCCCCAAGAAAAAGGTTGGCAGGCCAAAGTCAACCAACCCAACCCCCAACCCCCAAGCCCCAAGCCCCAAGCAAACCCCCAACCCAACCGGACCCAACACGACTACACAGAACACGACCAAAACCAAACCACAACACAAAGCCCACAGCACCCAAGTCCGAGAAAGGTCCACCCGTCCCCAAAGCCCGAACAAAAAACTGGACAAAAACTGGACAATGCGAGCCACCCAGTGCGGCAAGGCCAAACACCATCCAGACAATGAACAATTCTAGTGCTACCTTGCACATTCTTTCCAGGGAGCCTTCTTTCTAAAAAACCTCCGCAAACCCAGGGAAACGGCCGGTTTTCAAGAAGAACGATGGTTAGAAAGAATGGGGAATCAACCAGTAGAAATATCACAAGTACTCAAGGGAAGAAATTGGCCGTGCCCCAAAAGAAGAAACAAAAGCGGTCGTAGCATATGCCGAGAAAAATCGAAACACGCAAAACAAGTCATGGTCTCAAAAACAAAACACACACCCGGCCAAAAACGCCAAGAAATAAACTCCTTGGACCCAAAAAACACACATGCCAAAAGCAAACCGCCAAAAAAACCAAGCCAAGAAAGGAATTCCGTGGAACCCCAAAAAATCGCAGACCCAAACAAAACATGCAAAAAAAAGAAAGAAACGCCGACCAAACCCCAAAAAAACAGTGCCCCGGGTCTCGCTTCTCTTTGGCCTTCGCGATCCGAGGCCCGCGCCAGTGCAGGGAGGCCACGTAGCTCTCGCTGAAGCTGCTGGTTTCCAGCTCCATGCGCGACAGCCAGTTGGCCGCCCCGGTCCTCGCGAGCGAAAAAAAGGACGCGCGGGCGGGCTTGGTTTGACAGTTTGGACTTTGCTTGTTTGTTTGTTTTTTCCCGGTTTTTGGTTTTGTTTGCAGGTTGAGTTGGGTTGGGTTGGGGCGGGAGAATCCCAAAAGGATGTTCACCCACTTGTTTCCTCACTCCCTGAGTTCACTTTTGGGGTTTGGTTGCCATTTTGGTGGTAAGTGACCAGTTCCTGGTTGTCTAGGGGTACCTCCCAACCATTCTTTCCAGGGATCCGAATCTGTCTAGAAAACCTCCGGAAACCCAGGGAAAACGGATCCTGCTTTTAAGAAAAGAACGATAGTTGAAAAGAATGGGGAATCAACCCCTAGAAGTCCCAAAAGGCTGTTCAGCCCTGGAATGGGTTCGTACCAATTTGAGGGTTCGATCTTTTGAAGACTTGGCTCCATTTGTGGTTGTATTGTCTTAGGATAACCAGAAAGGAAACCATTCATTTGTGGGCCGCCTATTTTGGCACACACGCATTTACACAGTGGTACCCCCAAAATCAACGGAAGGGGAAGCAGACCTAGTGACCAAACCAATGAACCTGTTGGAGCACTACTAGGTCCACCAGTAGAGAGGTTAGAATAAGGGTACCCTTTTTTCTGTAGTCTATTTTAGTAGGGGAACCCTCCCAACCAAGGAAGGTGGTAAAAGGGCACTACTGGGGGACCTAGACAAACTTGGAAACCAACAAACCCCAACGGCAAACAACAAAAGAAGAGCCGGTCAAGGGAAAGGAACACCAAGGTTGCCAGGTCGATGGGCAATCAACAGGGGCTTTGTTGAACCGGTCCCTTTTCAGGGCGCTATGAGGGATGGCTTGTAGCTACAAATGGAGACTTTCAGGGAAATCCGAGAGAAAGACCATAAACTTGTCCTCTAAGAGAAAGGGAAAGAGAACCAAAGGAGGAGGGAAAAGGGGCTGCATAAGCGGAAGGTGAAGGGGAGACAAAAAACAACCGCCTACACCCAACGCATCAACCAAGGGAACGGGAAGGTGAAGATGTGGGAAATGTAACAACTCAGAGGTTCCCTTTAAAAAAAAAAAGTCTGGCTTTTAGGAGGTCCTTGACCCCTGCCAAACCCAAGACCGCGGCATACATGCGAAAGCCCAGCCTTTTCTTTAGCCTCAAGTTGACTCAAGCACCTACCCAATGATCTTGCAGATTCATCTTTAGAACCCAAACGTTGAAGGACAAAGCTGACGAAATCTACGCCCAACCCCGTCTTCCCCGAAAGAGACCCAACACCTTTTGAAGGCCAAAAACTGTGAGGTGAGACCACGAGTCACGAGGCGAGTCGGCTTGCAGGCTAGGGTCTCTTTGCCCCCCGCTCCCACCGCGTACCAGCAGCAGGCGATGATGTGGTTGATGGAGAGCATCACAAAGAGCGCCGCGCAAATTCGGAGCACCATGACCACGTGGGTGGACCTCAAATCATTTAGGTCACTTCACCCACCCTGCCCTGGTCTTTTCTGTGTGGCACATGTGGGGGGGGAGGTTGGAAACAAACAAGCCCCCAGTGGCATCACTCCAGGTGCCGCCTTTCCACTGGGATACAAAGCGCCCCGTGCGACACCCGCTATTTAAAGCCCCTCATGAGTTACAATCAAAACCCGGTGCTTCAGGAATTAAGAAGGCGGATATCCGCAGCTATTTCTGGCAAGGGGATTGTCCCTAACCTTCATCTACCCGGGTTTTGATGACTCTCATGGGCTTCTCAAATTCTTTCAAAAAGCCCACTCAAAGCCTCTGGGCGAATCATTCCACCACCCAAAGTTTGCTTCAAGAATCTTCCCCGAAAAAAACCCACCGCAACCAGCCCACCAGCCAGAGCCAGCCCACCGCAACCACCAGCCCACCCGCCGAATCGAATCAACCACCCAAAGTTGGATTGAAGAAGTTCCCCGAAACCAACACCGCAACCACCCAGAGGGGCCATTCCACCACCCAAAGTTTGCTTCAAGAATCTCCCCCGCAAAAAAAAAGGGCCATTCCACCGCCCGAAGACACTCCCCCCGAAAAACCCACCGCAACCGTCCAGAGCCCAGTGGCAGGAAGCGCTTGGCCAGCAGCGTGAGCTCTCTTTCCAGCTTCCCCACCCGCAGCAACCGCAGCAGCCGCAGCAGCCGCCTCGGAGTCGTTCTCTCAAACCGCCCGGCGAAAATAGTCGAGGGACCCAGCGCGGTTCCTCTAGGGGTTGGACGGGGTTGAAGAGGGTTCCTCAAAGAATACATGGTAAATATGATAACAACGGCAAAAATAACAATAATAACAACACAATAATAGTAACAATAAGAGTAGCAATATAAATACATACAGATATATATACATATATATTCTTATTTTGTTGTATGTGTTATTTGTTATTTTCAAAAAAAAAGTAGCACTTGCCGAGACTTGGATCTAAAGCCGGTCTTCGGAATTCTGCCCCGCTTGAAGCGGCCGTCTTTTCCTTTGCACACTTCGAAGGGACCAACTCTCAGAGCAACGGACTCCACTCGAGAAACTTCGCGGCTGTTGGAATGGAATCCACTTCGAAATCCACATCCAAACTATGGCTCGAAAGGTCTGCTTTGAAGAACTGAGAGTGTCTAGAAAGCCGTTCGGATTTCCGTGTTGTACGTGGATTTTACCCGGTCTTCCCCCTGTTGGTCCTTTTTTAGTCACCTAGTACTCTTTTATCATCTCCTACAAACGTGGATCCGCAGATTCGCCGCCTCCAAACCATTTCGCGCCAACGATCGGTTCCTCCCAGGGCTTCATGCGTCCATGGGAAGTGGGTGTGGTCCATCCACAGTGCTGTGGGGAATGACCACGAATCTGTGACACTTCACAGAAAGGGCCTAATACCAAAGACGATTTTCTTCATATATTTCGGGGGATTCCCAAAAGTATCACAGAAGTGATTGGAGAAACCCCGAGCGATCCCACAACCCTGAGGAGAAACCAATAGCTCTGAGCCCAATCCAAATCGATTTGCTACTTTCCCTTGGTGTTTTCCAGGGAATCTATCACCACTGATTGGTTAGATTTATATACCTTGGTTTGGTTGGGTTGGTTGGTTGATTAATTTGAATTAGTTTGGATACACATATATATATATATACATATATGTATATATGTATATATATATATACACACCTTGGTTTGGACGTATTTTGATTTTGGGGGGAGGGGCCTTAAGCAAATGGAAGATTCGCCTGCATTCCCAAGACAGTGTCGGCAGGTAAGTGAAAGGGCCTTGCCAGAAGAGGAAAAGAGCGGGTGTTTGAAACGAACCACGGTTGAGAAGCAAGGAAAAGGGATCAATCCCTGGATCGATTCCACCCCGAAGGCGATATGAGATATCGCCTTTTGGAGCTGAAAACTGGACGTTCCAAAAGAACTTGGGGGATTGGAAGATGTGCCGGGAGGGATGTGTCCAACAGATCTGAAAAAGAAAAGAAAAACACTCTGGCCTTCTGGCAGTGAAAGAGTGATCCAACAGTCTTCTCCGATCCTCTCTATTCAAATGAGCAAAAGCAGGTAGCTATTTGGCGAATGGCTTGTGGTTTCCCTGGCGAAATGGGAGCGATCCTGGTGTCCAATGTGTTCCAAACTCCCTGGCACAGACATTTGGGTCCGCCATGTCTCTACGTCGGTGCTTCAGCACTTTTCGGGAAAGGCCAAAGGAGCAAACTGTGACAAACCCATTGCCCTCAAAGGGCACCCATCTTCCACATGACGCGCTCCTATTTTTGGGGGGCAAGCTCATCAAATGGGACCCTTTAGTGGACATGGTAATTAGGGGAACATCATGGTCCACCTCTGAGGTTCCTTCCTAAACATTCATCGCCAAATCGGATCCAAAAAAAATCGCAGTTGCCAAAGAGCTCCGGGCAGAACTGCGATTATTTGCGAACTGGCAATAAGAAATAAAGGCTATTCATCATGGGCAAACAGCTCGTTCTATTCCCGGACAGGTGATTTGCTCCACCCAACTACTCAAAGGGCACTTCCGGCCGGAAACGTCCCAACCAAGATCCACAGCTGTGTGGTTTCGCGCAACCCGACTTCACTAGAGCCTCAAAATATCTGTTTCGACATCCTTACAGCTCCATCTTCAGAGGCAAATTTGGATACGCCTCGCCGCTGCGGCTCCCTTCCAACCACCGGCCAACATAGGTTTCCCAAACGATCGAAGACCTCTCAATCGATAGGTAGAGTTAGCACACTCGAGTTTTTTCAGGGAAATGAGTCATAATCAAGACCAATCGGTGTTAAGATGGTCTACCCAGAACCATGCAAAGAAGCGGATTTTTGGACCCATTTATAACAAAGGTATTGTCCCTAACCTTCATCTATCCAGTTTTTGAGCCAGTGGTCGGGTACGTCAGGCAAGTGGTTAGTAAGCCCGGTGAGATAACCCACTGAACGGAGACTTAAAATCACGGTTTTGGTGGGTTCTCTCACCATGGTTGTTACCCACTTAACCATAATCCCACCATGCTCATTTCCCACCTAAACCGGACATACCGACCGAAAGGCACCGGCCACCTTTTCGGGGCGACCACAAAACCTCCGCCGACCGACCGACGAAGCCGAAGGCGAAGACCGACGGCGACCGCCCGAGCGAAACAAGAACCGCCGAAGGCGCATGGTCCGCAGGAACCGCGCGGAGCGGAAGCCGCTGATGGAGTTCTCCTCGGACTCCTGACCGAAAAAACTGGCGCTCGCTCGCTCGCTCGCTCCGCTGGGGAGAGTTTTTTGGGACGTCCGAAGAAAGGGCCGGGTGTTTTTTCTCTTTGTTTGTTTCTCCCAGGGAATGTGGTGAATGGGTTCTCCCTGAATGATCCTTTGGGTTTTTTGGGGACGTCCGAAGAAACCGCCGGCCGGCGGCTTTTTCTTTTCCCGTCCAGGGAATGTGGTGAAGGAACCCAGGCAGGTGGTGAAGGTGGTGAAGGAATTACTTAAAGGGAACGTGTTTGTTAGAACCTCTTAGGAAACACCAAAGAATAGTTCAAAGGGAACCAAAAAGGAGCTTCAAAAGGGAAAACCCAAACTACCTTTGAAGGGAAAACAAGCTTGCTGGTGCGAAATCGGTAGGGAATGTGGAATAAAATGAACCCAGGCTTTCCCCTGAAAAGAAACCACGAGTTGGATGCTTTATAAAGGTCATTCCATGTCTCATTCGCTGAGCAGCAGCATCGGTTGAAGGGTTAAAAAAAAGGACTCGCTTGGGCTTCCCTTTACAATAACTCTAAGAAGAGTACAGTAGCAACTTCCCAAATTCCAAGGCACGACCAAGAGCCACACCGCCCACACAAGGGTGCGTTTGCACAAGGGCCTCCTTTTCAAACACAAAAGCAAAAGCAGTGCCGTTGCAAATAAAAATAAAAATAAAATAAAAAATAAATAATAATAAAAAAAGAAGAAAAAACAGTCCAGATCGTACTTTTCTTGAGGGGTTTTAGAAGGTGGGTTGGTGAACTCCAACTCGTTGGCTTGCAAACACGCCCCTTTTCTCGCTCGTTTTGCGGAGCCCAACAGCGAACGCCTTACGCCCTGGCGAAGGTGCCGAGTCCAAGAGGATGGAGAAACAGCTCTCGTTGCTTCTCATCCCCCGTAGGGAGACACGATGTCAACGCTACCTGAAAATTGGCTCACTGGACAGGCTTCCCACGTCCGTCTTTGGTGGAACGTCACCATGTGGCTCACTGGACATTTCTTGAGATATATTCACATCACCAGTTCGTTGGCCAGAGTCTGCAAACTTGGCGTTCCGAAAAGTAGAAGCGCCCGGTGGTCTTGGTGGACCTGCTTGGACTTCTGGTGACTTGATGCATGGCAAGCTTGGCCGTCTTTGGTGGCGTGGAACGTCGCCATGTGGGCCAATCCAACGTGTGGAGATATCGGGAGAGGCAATCCTGCTGGATGGCTCGCAAGGGGATTCTACACTTCGGGGCGCTGCCGTTTCGCCGCGATTAACCAAAACTCCATACATGAATATCCCCCCCCCCCCCTGCGTATCCTAAAAGTTCAAAATCACCTGGACACGCGGAAAATATGTCCCAAGCCTACTGCCCAAGCTCATTTTGGCAGCGCCCGCTTCACCCATTGACTTTTGGTTCTGGCGCCATGGTCATAAAGGCTACCTCCAAATACTGGTTTTCCACTTGGTGTCTCATTGAGCAACATCTGAAACAGGCTTCCTCAAGATCAGACGCCACTAAAACCACTAAAACCAAGTCCAAGAGCCGGGCCACGAAACGCGTTGATCCCAACGGTGGGAAACCCAGTTGCCCAAACTCCCCCCCCAAAAACGGTGTCCAGCAGAGAGGACCTGTTGTTTCCTACTTCAAACAACCACCTTCTTACAGAAATCCGATCGGCTCCAAACGGCGGCTCTCCAACCACTCGCCAGAGCTTCTTGGCCACCCCGAACCGGGCCCCCTCTTGGGGGTCTGTCGTCTTCGGCTCCGAGCAGCTCAAATTTACCCTGAAATGCGCACGAGTCCATTCCCCCAATAAACCAGGCACGAAAAGAAGGAAATCTCTCGGTGAAGCCATCGCTGATTCTTCAGAAGTCCAGGATCTTCCCATTTGGAAAGTCCAGGAACAAGCTCAAGAGAAGCATGGTGTGTGTGTGTGTGTGTGTGTGCCCGTTTCTTTTTGTTTGGTCTTTTGAGGTTGCCACCTCCGACTTTCGCTGGGTCCAGCAAAATGCGTGTCAACACATTCCCCCTCCACATCCCCCACAGGGGGCAGGGGGGGGGGGCCATTTGTATATGTACATATATTCATACATATGTAATGTAAGCAAAAATTATCAACATCTGCCATCCCCGCCCCCCTGTGTCCAGGATGAAGATGCCCACGTCCAGCAAAATGATGATCCTGAGTGTCAGGTCACGGACGGAGCGACGCGATTCAGCGATTCCGGACACCGGAATCGAAGCATCGTGTTCTGCCCACAGCAACTTCCAGACGGACCCTTTGCCTTTCTCCTCAAATTCCCCCTCCCCCTCCCACCCCCTCCCCTCCCACCCCCTCCCCCACCCCAACGCCCCAACACAACAACACCCCAACACCATCCAACACCATCCAACACCCCCCCGCTTTCCAGGCCACAACCAACCAGTTGCTTTTTGCCTCTGCCCATAGGTCACCTTCTGGAAAAATAGATCGCCCTGGTAAATGGAATACCAATCTAAACCAGCGGAACCCATCTTTTTCAGTTGCTTTTTACTTTTTGCTTCTGCCGCCCCAGTTTGGTCCTCATCTGGGGGGTCCAACCAGCCTTTGTTGCTTTTTGGTTCTCCCCCTCCCCCACTCCCTCTCAGCCTCCCCGACACCCCCACACCCCAAAACACCCCCACACCCCAACAAAAACACAGCCAGCTGCTTTTTGCCTTTCGCCTCCGCCTCCGCCTTCTGCCGCCCAACACCCCGGCAACCAACCAACCAACCAACCAACCAACCAACCAACCAACCAACCAACCACCCACCAACCAACCAACCACCCACCCACCAACCAACCAAACCAACCAACCAACCCACCAACCAACCCACCAACCCACCAACCCACCAACCCACCAACCAGCCTTTCTTGCTTTTCGCCTCTGCCTTCTTCCGCCCCAGGCGCACATCCGCCAGGAACCAGCTCTTCACGTAGAGCCACACCAACACTCTCGGCCTCAGCTCCAGCACGCCGCTCACCTGCACGCCGAAGATGAGGTGCAGCGGCATGTCCAGCACCCAGTAGCTGAAGCTCACCTGGCCAAGGGCTTCTCAAAATCCGAAAAAAATGGTCCGCCCAATCCGTGAACATCCATCCGATGCAATCCAACCACGAAAATCGGCGAGCTGGAATATCAACCAATCCAACCACTTTTTTAAAGGTTCTGAAATGGGCGGTGAGAATTCACCAATCCCAACCAAAATGGGATCCACCAAAACGGTCTAACGACAAAACCACCTCCACCCGTAGCCTAGGCCCTTCGGCCGCCCTTCCAAGCACCCGCCCTTCCGCATAGGTGTTTTTTCTTAAATGAGTGAATCAAACCCCGGGGTTCGCAGGGTCCCCGGGCAACTCCTAGGAAGTTGCGGCATCCCACGAGAAATCGCCACCGCGCGAAAGGAAACCGGGGTTGAGACCGGGACGTTTGTTGGTAAGGAATGCTTTTTTTTGGAATTCCTGGCCATCGAAACCAATTTTGGGAGCATTCTGGGACTAAGTCACGTTGTCAGTGTCCGGGTGTCCGGTCCTCCGAGAGATGGGGGGAAAAAAGTTGGGGCATTTGCACTCCCTCAGGCTCAGCCGGAAGCTCCCCCAATTGGCCTCTGTAAATGGAACCAAGTCTTCGAAAGGAATCTGGGACTAAGCAACGTCCGTGTCCAGTGCTCCAGTGTTACCCATCCCCAAAATATGAGGGTTCATCGAAAGGTTTGGGTAAAACCACCAAATGTGGTTTTACTAAATGGGAGAATACGCCTGGGAAATGAGTCAGAATCAAAAGCGATCGGTGTTAAAATTGTCTACCCACCACGTAAAGAATTCAAAAGGCGGCAGTATGCACCCATGTATGGTTGGGAGTATCTCCCACTAACCTTGATCTACCCAGGTTTTGATTGCGGCTCATATGTGAAACTGTAGTGTAGGAGAAGCTCACCTAATCTTGTGCACCTTGAAACATATGGAACAAACTGTGGGGAAAAGGAATAAATATCCCAGCATTTGTTGGGTTCTCTCTATTTTCGGGGAGAAGCTCGCCTGGTCTTCTGCCCCTTGAAACATATGGAACGAACCGTGGGGTTTAAGGAATACATGGGATGACCATTCGGGAAAAACCACATGTCCCACCACCCTTGGCTATGTTGGGGGCCGAAGGGTGTATTGATCAACCCCAAAAATATATTTGGCCGTGGGTCAACACCAATGGTACCATTTTGGGATAGGAGCACCACCCATTTTCGTCTATTTTAGTGGTTGGATTGAGATATTCATTGGGGGTACGATTTGGGTTTTGACCCATAGCCATTTCAGCACAGACTAACAACAGGATACTTCCTCTTCCTGGAGTTCCCCCCCCCCCCCCCCCCCGAGAAAAAAAAAAAAAAAAAAACGAGCGCTTTGCAACTTGTGCCTTGGCCACATCGTTCAAGAAGATGCTCAGGCCCTGGTCGTCGAAGATGCTCAGCGGCACCGTGATCAAGTCCCAGACGATGAAGACCACCGCGATCAGGGACCAGATCAGCTGCACGTTGCTGTCCGGCTCCACCACGAACCTAGCGGCAGGACGACCCAGAAAAACCCGGTGGGGGCGTCCGGGTTTCGGTGGGTCAGGGCTTTTGTGGGTTTAGGGTGCAAGAAAAGGCCGAAGAACAAAAGGAAAGGACACCTGCCCAAGGCCCAGGCCAACTGTGCTCTACCAAGGCCAAAGAGCAGTTTGAATCAGGCCGAATAAAGCTCCGCGAACCTGCCAACTTTGTTGGTTGAGGGATGCCATGTTCTTCAGACATTGGCAAAGCTCAACTCAAGTGGCTGAACAAGAGCGCCTTCGGCGAGATATGGTTGGGTGAATGGGGGAAACCAAAGGGAAACACACCATTTTTGGGCACCCCTAAAGGAGCCGGCAAAGAGCCATGTTTTTGGAGAGGGGGAGTCGGCACAGAGGCTGGTTTTGAAGGGGGAGCCGGCAAAGAGGCATGTTTTTGAAGAGAGGGACCCACCCATTTGTTGTGCCGCAGGACACCGCAGGCCAAAAGAGGGGTTTCTAGGGGTTCGCGTGAGTCCATCTGCAAGAGAGTAGGCTCGACCATCTGGGAACTGTCTCGAAATCAAAGAACCCACGTTAAATGAGTTGTCCTGTTTGGTTTCCCTTTCGGGTTATGTACTACTTGGATGTTCCAAGTGATTGGCCACTTCAATGAGAAAACCCACCGGTAATAGGGTCAACCCCACTGAGCGGGGTGAGGCCTGTTGCGCGGGTTATGACCTGAGTTGCACCTTCGGACATACGCAATTTCATGTCTTTCTGGATTGCGGGTACCTCTCAGACCTCTTTCTGTTTGTTGGAGGAGTTCCCTTCGAAACTGAGTGCCTTCTTTCCCAGGCCACTGAGGGTCTGGGCAGATCTGGTATTGGTCCCAGCCTGTTCCCTGGCTGGCATGTTGGGTGAAGCAGTTTATGACAAAGCCGGCCTGTTTTGCTGGTTGTTTCAGTGGGTCAGCGAGGGGGGGGGGGGGTACTGGCCCCTAGCAGGACTGCACTTTCTTGAAGATGGTCGGGGTCAACTCCAACAATCGATTTTCCTTGGTCCACTCGCGTTCCCTGTCCAAATCTGTGGGCCATGTTGGTTCCCTTACAGCAATAAGAACCTCTGCATTAGTTGTCTAACACCCCAATAGACTGATGACCATCCTCACTCCGTTTTCCCCCTTCTCGACATCACAACACATGAAACGACCATCGTGGTTGGGATGTGTGTCCACCAACCACTTCTTCCATTGTGGCATTCTGGCGATCTAAGCGCGCGCCCCTTAGCTCACAGCGCTCGCCACAAACCTACCCGGCCAAATCAGGGCCCTCAATAGGGCCTTACTTTCATGGTCCCTCTTCATTTGGCCTTGTTTTGGAGAAGGGGGGGGGGTTCAGAGGGTGGGTTATGCAATCTATGATTCCAAGTCTTCAAGTTCACCGGCCATACCTCTTGCCAAGGCCGGGGCTTGGGGCGGAACGGACGTCGCTTTCCGGAAACCCCGGCGCCTCTGCAGGCAGCCCTGGTCCGTGAAGGCATCCCGCATCCGCCCCTGGCTTGGAGGTGGGGGCGCGAATATCAAAGCGGAGTTGTTCGGCAAATCCATGTGCTAAAAGGGGCGTAATATATATATATATATATATAGTATAATAATATATATATATATATATTATAATATAATATAATATAATATATATGTGTACTATATAATTGTTAAGTTATATGGGTGCTTGTTTATTTTGTTCATGTTTATTTACTTGTTTAGCAGCTTCCTGGTTTGGCTTGCTGGATGGGGCTAGCTTCCCATTTATCCACCCATTAACAAAACCGCTGGAAGCCAAAGTTGCGACATGAGCGGGAATAATATCTAAAGCCATAATAATATAAAATCATGGTCATGTAAATCATGGTCATGTAGAGCCATAATAAAATATGTGCTATTTCGCCCGCATGATCTCGGCTGGAAAACAAACAAAACAAAAAAACGTGAAGCCCCAGGAAGGGGGTCTCCTGCTTGCGACGGCTTTCGGGGACCTGTGTTTTGTTTCTGTTCACGATGAATCTTGGCGGTTTAGCGGACAGTTGCTTGAAGAAAAAAAGTTTATGTTGTTGAATGTTGGATAGCTGTTCACTGTTGGTTGTTCCACTGTCGCAAAAACGACCCCATTTCTGGCAAGGGGACGGTCCCACATGCCCTTCATCCTGCTGTCAAACGAGTGTGACAATCGGACCGAGGCAAAGTGGCGTGTCTTGTTCTTAAGAGGGGCTTTTTGGTGAAGCGGAACCAAGGAGAAACCACCCATTTCGGGGATGACTCGCCCATTTGCTGGCAAACCCCATCATACTCTCACAGACAGGGACTCCTGCCTGCCCCATGGTTGTCGAAAAACATTGTTTTCTGTCATTCCAATACGAATCATTCCCTTGGTATCACAGAAAGTGACCTCAAAGCCACATTCTCAGCCACAAAGGTGTGGGGAAATGTCTGGAACTCCAGAGATTCCGGGACTGCAAGGAGAGTCTGGAGCCAAAAGCAACAAGAATCTGAGAGATTCCGTTGGAAAGTTAGAAAACCAAACAGGCGAGTTGGGTTTTTCAAACCAACGTGCCGGTGCCATTTGTGGGGTCCCCCGATCTACTCACCTGTCCAAATACTCCCATCCTTGGTGTCAAGAAACTGTCGACTGGCTCTTGCTCTTACCACACGTGTCGAATCCAGAAACCCTTCCAAATGTTTGGGCAGGTCGGGTCCTGTGTTTTTGAGCCAGCGCCCCTTTTGGTTGTTGCTGTAAACCCGAGAGAGACCGAGGTCCTTCTAGGGAAGCCAAGGAGAGGGGTTCCTCTTTTGGGGGAAGCCTCCCTTCAATCGTGGAAGCTGACAGGGTGTTGGACTATTTTCGGTTGGTGGAACTCTCCTGTCATCCACTATTAAAATACAAAAAACATATTATCAGTATTGTGTTTTTTGTAATAATAATAATACAGTTGCCTTACCCGGTTGCCCCAAGCATGGTTGTGGAAAATCTCAGACCCAAAAACTGTATTTGTCTTGCTCCCATGACAACATTTCGTGTTAGAAGGGGGTTCTCCCAAACCCCCTTCTAATCATAGATGTCCTTTTGGAAAAATAGATGGGTTTCCCTGGCAAATGGGCCATAAAGCCCATCTAAACCAGTGCCCGATCCAAAGGACACCTATGATTCTACGCTGCGAAAGGCTCCCTCTTGGGCCAAAAAAAATGGATACCTGCTTGCTCCTGGCCCGGCCCCGCATTCCAACAGCTAACAAACATACTGATGGACGAAATCCATTTCGCACCACCTACGAAACCAATGGGATGATGGTTCCCTTGCAAATACCCCTGGTTTTAATTTGGTGCGGGATTTTGTCCATCCACAGTAGCAGCAGGTGACCTTGTGTTTCTCCCCAACGGAAAAGTGTCGGCGCCTTGGCATCGCGCATCATCCCGTCCAGGCTGGTGCACCGCTGAACGTCCTGGCCCAACACCTGACAGCCGAGCCGTGGAGCGAGGTTTGGTGGATGAATTCATGTTTCTGGGGGTAACTTCCCATTGTTTCCAGGGATCCTTCTTTCTAGAAAACCACCAAAAACCCTGGGAAATGTGGGTCTTTTGGAAAGAACCCCCAGAATGTTGGTTGTTGGTTGGCTGGCATGCTGTTGGCTTGTTGGTGTGTTGGTTTGACCTTTGGGTTCCCCCTTTGCGTGAATTGGGTTGTCTTTGTTTGCGGGTACCCTTCTTGGGATGGGTGAAAGGGGACACCAAAAGGAAACAAACCACCTGCCCGTCTGAAAAAAAGCATATGTGTTGGGCCCAAATTGTGGCAAAGCTTTGTAAGGGTGCTCATCAACCACCAAACGGATGACTTCGAGGACAGGACAAACACACCTCAAACAAGAGTTGAAGAGTCTGGGAGTGGACAAATACCCGAAGAAACGTTTAGGCTTAGCTTCTGCTAGTCAAGGATTCGAGGGCCGGCTTAGGGTGGGGGCGAGGAAGACGTTGCACTCAACTTTCTCCACTAGAGGACAAACTCAAGAGTGCTACCGTCATGGTGGTTTCAAGGGACCATCACTTCTGACCCTCAAAACTCGCGCCAGAACCAACCGCCAGGGCACTGAGTGGGTCCAGTTGAGGCGCATGCGCAAGGTCTCGCGCTGGGGAATCGGCACCAGCATCTCCTGAGAAAAAGAAGAAAAAAAAGAAAAAGAAAAAAAACGGTGATTGGTGCCTGTGGGCTTAACTGACAAACAACTTGCAGCTCCTTAGCCTTCCACAATTGCATCTTGCAGAACTCCTGGTGGCTCCTTAGCCTCACCTAGCTCCTTGCCTCTCTTGCAACCAGCCAGCCAAGCTTTAGGGGTGATTCTGAACCCAACAAAACCAAGTGGAAACGGCTGTCCCTTTTTAAAGAACGATGACTGAGAAGAGTGGGAGAAAGCCCTGGAAAAGCAAGACCGATTGCAGTTGGTTTCCATCTTGAGATGTAATGTTCAACTATGAACATGGGACATTGTCAACCAACCCCCATTTGTGTCTCTCAAAACGGGGGAACCACGAAAATGGCCCCTGGTTGATCTTTGGTGTCGCTCTGAGTTTTCAGCCTCGAAGGTGCCCCTGAAAAATGGATACTCCCTAAAGAGCCACAGTCTAAACTACGTCTTTCCCCGGGAAAACTTTGCGGTTGAGATCCCGTGTGGAGTGATCCAAACCAGTGTTCCATGACACGGCAACGTGGCGACGTCGGGAGAGACGTAAAGACGTTCCGGGAAGAATGACGGAGGGATTCCCACCGCCAACCGGGCCTGACCCATCCCTGCAAAACCAAAGGCCCGAACAAGGAACGTGAATCCTCCAAAACACGCGAGAGCAAAGGAAGCATCGGAAAGTACTTGATGCCCAACTTGCTCCATTTGGGGAGTTGTCAAATAAGGCGGCGGCACGGTCCCAACTTGGGAAATACTCTTGACAACTTCCATATGTTTGTGGGAATCAACCTCACCATGATCAGATCGTACAAAGTGCAGGCCAAAGCGTTGGTCCCCCTGGCTTGCATGAGAAATTCGGGTCACCCCCCTCCTCCCCCAAACCAACAGTAGAATACCCATCTCGCCACTTGCTCATATATGGCTTCTAAAAAAAGACATCAACCCGTTGTATTTGGCGATCGGTGAGTCATTGCAGCGCCCAACTCAACTGACATTCAACAGGGAAGCGATGGGAATTGAACATGTTAGTCCTTTCCTTGGAGGAATCTCATGTCTTTCCGTGGCTTTGCAAGGAGCCCCTGTGTTGTTTTTTCTAGTCCCAATCCTAAATTTGGAACCCAAAGTCAGGCTGCCCTTTCACCGATTTTCGTCTTTCACAGCCTGGAATCCAGTTCCCTGTTTTTTTTCCGTTTTGAAGGCTACTCCTGGGAACCGATGGGCGGGGGGGCGCTTCCTAAAATGGTGGGCGAAGCATTTGACGTCCATTTCTAAACCGCGGAAAGCAAAAAAAGACACCCAAACAATAATACCCTTTTGGGGTTCGACCATTTCTTAAGTTCCCGGGGCAAAGACCCAAAGAAAAGACGCAATCTGACCCGCTGGCCTCGTCCTCAAAGGCAGTCCCGCTGTTCATCAGCTTCTCCACCAGGTCTCCCCACCTGTCACAGCCGTCTGGTCGGGTCGTTGGTCCAATTTTTGGAGAAACGAACTTCCGCGGGTACACCACAAACTTCCGCGGCTCAGAAAAGCCGGACTTCTTTCTTTTCTGTAGTCTATTTTAGAAGGGGAACCCTCCCCCAAAAAAAGGGTAAAAGGGCACTACTGGGGGACCTATCCTTGGAACGAACTTCCGTGAAAATACGGAGGGAGCGGGTCCCGATCTGGGGATATGGATTCCCTTTTTGGACTTCCATGTCCATTTAACAAAAAATAGCCTTAAGGTGCATCAAACGGGGGAAGGGATTCCCGTATCTCTGGTTCCCCCCTGTATCCCTGCTAGTTGGTTTCCCTGACCAATGGAGATCGGCTCGGGCGTCCAACTGAAAGCTGGTGGCTCTCCTTGAATTTCCCTTCACCAAGCCCAAGGGGAATCAATCCAGCTGAAAGCTAGTGGTATGAAGATCCCTTCACCAAGCCCAAGGGGAATCAATCCAGCTGAAAGCTAGTGGTATGAAGATCCCTTCACCAAGCCCAAGGGGAATCAATCCAGCTGAAGCTAGTGGTATGAAGATCCCTTCACCAAGCCCAAGGGGAATCAATCCAGCTGAAAGCTAGTGGTATGAAGATCCCTTCACCAAGCCCAAGGGGAATCAATCCAGCTGAAAGCTAGTGGTATGAAGATCCCTTCACCAAGCCCAAGGGGAATCAATCCAGCTGAAAGCTAGTGGTATGAAGATCCCTTCACCAAGCCCAAGGGGAATCAATCCAGCTGAAAGCTAGTGGTATGAAGATCCCTTCACCAAGCCCAAGGGGAATCAATCCAGCTGAAAGCTAGTGGTATGAAGATCCCTTCACCAAGCCCAAGGGGAATCAATCCAGCTGAAAGCTAGTGGTATGAAGATCCCTTCACCAAGCCCAAGGGGAATCACCCTTGAGGATGACACCCCCATATGCTGAAGTGAACACGTCTGTTTTGTTCACCTCAAGGCCAGGGGGTCGATGGGCGGTTCGCACTTTTGAGACGCCATTTGGAGGGGGAACATCCGCGACAAAAACTTTCGGGGCAGGGGTTTACTTTCACGGGGGTGGGAAGCGTTTAGAGCAAACGGAATCCTCAAAGTTGCTTTTGCAGGGTGGGTTACGGTTTACCATTTAGAGTGAGGGCAAGGCAAATCAAATTTCACTTGAATCAACCCGAATGAATCCAAAAGCAAGCGCGAAGCCCCAATCCCCCATCAGAAAGCCCTGCAAACTCCCGGCTTGCCTCCAACAGATACCGGGGTGGCTGCAAGATTTTACCAAGTATTGTTGTTGTTCGGAAACTAACTACAGCAGGATGTCTTTTTTGTATCGTTCCTACGTCAAGGAAATGAACTCAACACCCCCTTCCCCCTGTGCCCGTTCGCCCCTCCTCTTCCTGTTCTCCTGCCCTCTTGCTGCGATCGTATTTTGGACGGGGGATTCATCTAGACCAACCCGATTTCCATCACGTCCGCAAAAGCTTCCCCACTGCACCAACAGCGCAGCCAACCAAACTAGACCCACAGTGTCCCTGAAGCCAACCCTTTCTCCCAACTCCGAACACGCCCTCAAAGCAGGATCCCAGTCATACACCAACCCCAAATCCCATACCCCAACCATTGCCCAAACCGCCTCACCCCCTCACCCAACCCCCTCGAAAGGCCCCCAACTGGCCCCATCCCGAACCAATCCAAAGCCAACCGGAAGCCAACCGGAAGCCAACCACACACTCCCACCTGTCACCAGGGCCCTCCCGCTCCCCCATCACCGGCTCATTGAGCTCATTGAGCTCATTGAGGTCGGAGTCTTCCAGCCGGCGGCTCGCGCACACGCTGCACGCTGCGCTCCCGGAGCCCTGGCTGGACGGAGCCTACCGTGCGCCTAGCCGACCTTCACTTCGGCTTCAACACGCTCATGACCTTCCCTCGATTTCCCAAAATCTCACCGTAACTTGGCCCAAAAGGCGGCGGAAAACCAGGCCCGCCTGAAGCCTCGTTCTGCACTTGTTGGAGGCCAACGTTACCCCAAACCACCCAGACATCTCATGGGTTGATGCTTTATTTATCCTTCATCTACTTACACACTTTGTTACTCAAAGTTTGGTGTGCAACAATTATGAGCCGTTGCGACTACATGCAGGCCAAAGACAAGCATCTTCCAGGAGGATTGCTGCAATCTGCGCTTGGCATCTCTTAGCAACAAAAGCAGCACTCTACTTCGAACAATCACCACCTACCTTGCTTCGCGAAACCACACTGCAACCACACCAAAAGATGAACCCGACGCGCGGGGCCTCCAGCATGGTGGCTGACACACGAAAGACAGTTCGTTGACCCGAAACGGAGGGAAGGCTTCCTTGACCACAAATCAAAAGGAGTCTCAACTCTTACCGACGCTCCTGTTTGGGTGGGGAGTCCCATCGTCCAGGGCAAGCTCTTGCAAGGACACATCATCTGCGACCTCAAGATCCAACTAAATGGGCCGAGAGCAGATGAAAGTGTAGGCAAAACTAATAGCGAGCTATACATGGAGGTTCTCAAAATGGTGGACCGGCTTCAAGAACCCCACCCATTTTGCAGTTCCCCTACTTTGAAGAAATACAAACATGTTGCCGCGCAGGCAGCTTCCACGTGGTTGTGCGACATGCGGAGAAGCTATACCGTGCACAAATTCACCACAGAGGCTCACCTGAGTAGCTCCCACCAAGATGGTGATACAGAAATACAAGTTTACACTGGCCAAGGTATAATCCCCACCAACAAAACCTGGGTTTGGGGTGCTCACATGTTGCTTGTTGCGGTCATGCTTCACTTGGAGCAAGCTCGTTCTGATCGGGGCGGCTGCCACTGCTGCTGCTGCTACTGCCGCTGCTGAGGATGATGATGATGACGATGTCTTGTCTTGTCTTGGCTTGGCTTGTCTTGTCTTGTCTTGTCTTGTCTTGTCTTGTCTTTTCCTTTGTGCTGGGCGCATTTGTCGCGATGCGTGGGTTTCCCTTGGCCGGCAATTCATGTCCTGGAGGCGGCTTGGGGATAGGGCGATGCTTTGGAGCTGGACATCACTCAGCTTGAGGGGTCCACCCCCCAAGCTGCCATGGAACCAGAAGGTAGCCTTATGACCTCGAAATGCCATTTGTGAAAGTAAGTTAGCAAAACCAGGTCTGGGAATCTAATTTGCAAAAACAGTTCAAGAAGAAAAAAAGTCTGGGATCCAGCCGATCGCCAACAACTCGCAGGACACCACACCACCTCGACCTCGCCTTGCGCCGGAGTTCCGCCTCATGAGCGCTCAGCAGCACCTCAATTGCCGGAGGATTGGTCTCAGGGCTTCTCTTTGATACGTTGACTTGGATGTCTCCGTTTTTATGGGAATTCCCCCCCCCCCAAACAAAAAATATATATATATATGGTCCCCCCCCCCAAACAAAAAAAGTGGTTTTCCTGTTGATGTCCCTTCAAACCCACCACGACAGGGCCGAAAAAGGCAGACTCGCCCCAGTTGTTGTTTGGACCCCCCTCCTCCCCCACCAGCAAGCTACCTTATGGCAGCTGTATATATATATATATATATATATGTATATATGTGTATTGCACATATATATATATATACAATGAACTATCAACATTGCGCAGGCTTCGACATGGGAAAATGCGTGGGTTGCCGAGAATCTTGGGGGTCCCTCCCAATTAGACAATGCTAAAATGTTGACCAAACCTCATATCAGCCGGGCCCATGGTTGCTTCCCTACCAGGCCTGGTGTTTGTGATTGAATTTTGGAGTGTCTCCTGGTTTGTTGTTGAACAAGGTGGGCCTTTGACTACCGGTTTGTTCAACCCTCAACATACACTTGAAAAAAAGAAGGAAGTGCTATACATTGACACCGGTTCAAAGCTACAGCCAAAGGTTGAAGCTTCACTTGGGCAAGACATGTTTTCCCTCGAACGGATCTGTCTCTGGCTTTGTTCCCGGGTTGGTTGAATCCGTCCGGCGATCCCGAAGCCTATGGGAACTCGCAGGAGTTGTTCTAATGGCTATGTATCAAAATTGGAGGATCTCCTTCTTTGTTCCAGCCAAAATGATGTGTTCTTTTGGTTCTCATTCAAGCCGGACTAAGAAGGGCCCTCAAGCAAACACAAACAAACACACAAACACACAAACACAAAGCAAAATCCTTCGTTCATTGATTCGGGTGGATTCTCCGCTTTCGCGGGAAGCGTGACTCAAGGGCATGTTAAAATGCAACTTATATCATATGGACAGTACTGCCCATAGGCGTCCTTTTGGGGAAATAGATGGGTTTCCCTGGTAGATGATTAAACCACCAGGTAAACCAGCACCATCGCCCTCTATTTGTTCTAGACCAAAACCACCAAAAAGGACACCAACCATCCCACCTCACCATCCACGCCCTCCAACCTACCCCAACCTACCCCAACCTACCCCAATCTACCCCCAACCTACCCCCAACCTAGCCCCATCCACACCTCCTCCACGTTCCGCAGCTGGCGACGCAGCTCTTCCGCATAGCCCATGGGATCTACGCGGAAACTCAGCTCAGCTCGCCGTCACTCACGGCGGTTTCTTGGAGTGGAGCCACCGAGTGGGGCCACAAAAAACCACCGGGATAGGGAACTCGCAGCCTGCGGAAAGAGGGAAAAATCGCGGCAGTTTGTTTGGGTTCGCCATGGTTACCATGCTTCTGCTCTGAGGTGAAATCTGCGGGCGCGAAGACTCCGAGCTCGCCGGGCCGACAGTTGTCCTGTACCAGACTTGACCGATCCGCGCGCATCGCACCCATTTGACGCATTTGGAAACTGTAGCGGCGGACAAATTCAACAGCCCTCCATTCCAGTGACGCTGTCCTCTTGGCGTTTGACAATCGGGCGCGCGACTTGGCCATCCCATTGCCAAAAGCAAAATGCGGACGATTCACAGATATGCTACTGTGGATGGACGAAATCCTGCACCACCCACCTGCAAATGCCAACATTCAATTATTCTCCATGGTTTCAACGTGGTGCAGGATTCCGTCCATCCACAGCACTACCAAAAAGGAACGGGAACTGATAATAACAAACAAGAAAGAACAACAGAAGCGGAGCCACAACACAGTCAGACCTCCGGTCACTGCCAACGTGTCTGGACAGAGCCTGCAAAAACTTTTCTCAAAACCGGATTTGTCAACTCTGAGCTCTGAGCTCCTCTGTGGTTTACAGAGATGGTCAAACCGGAGGTCTCTTCCAGACACCCACGTGTTTCTGTGGTGAAACCAGGCAACGAACTGCACGACATGCCGTGGGTTCCAAGGCATCGCCAACTTGGGTGAAACTCACCGCGCAGAGCATGAGGCCTGGATGTAAGACAGGCAGAGCAGCAGAATACTTCATACTGTGGATGGACGAAATCCTGCACCACCAAAGAAACCCTGAAAGGATGATTCCCCTGTAAATACCAACAACCAATGGTTTCCCATGGTTGCAAAGTGGTGCAGGGTTCGTCCACCCACAGTATGAAGATGCTCAAACGTCCATCGAATTTGTCATTCGAAGCTTATTCAACACCCGAGAAGTCCGTCATTACCCAAGCAGCACGCTGACAAGATCGCACGTGCACATCTGGGCACACCCGATTCTGGCATACTTTCGCGGTCAGCTGTTCGCAGTCTGTCGCAAGCCCACAGATCACGGCCATCACCGGGCCTTCGCCTTTTGGCCCCAGCCTTTAAGGCTGCCAACGAGGACCGACGGGGTTCGATCTGAGTACAGGATCGAAGTGCTATACGTTCCATAAAGTCATGAACATAACAACTGGCCTGTGAAAGCTACCAATCTAGTGAGCACATTCACACCCCAACTCAACTGCCCAAAGAGACCATGCATTCCGCCTGGCACGCTGTGATTTGCAAAGCAATGACACACTGCTCAGATGTGCACCCGGATGCTTCGCTTTGACAACGGCTCCTCCTTTTTTTTCCTTTCCAGGACTTGCACTGGCCGCACGAGCTGTGGCCAGGCCTCAGCTACCTTCTCCTTCCGAACCTCGAAGTAGGGCTGCCGCCGTTCCCGGTCGCAGGCCAGTACCATAAACTCGTGATCCGGCTCGTTCCGCTGGGGCAAGTAGTACAGCTGCGGCTCGCGGCACTCGGAGCAATCAGACACTGACGCACCCATGACGCCCGCATTCGAATGACTCGAGGGCGGTGATGGCTTAAGGGACTTGCAAGGCGTCGCTTCGGACTCTCTGAATGCGTTTGGTTTCCAACCTGGAATAACAAATAGTGCTGAGCGTGAAAAGGATTTCATCATGCTTCAAAAAAACAAAAACAGAGGATTTGACTTGGTTGTTTGGCATCACAAGCATGGCCGTTTGCGAGTTCTTTCAATCACTCGAGGTCAATGGCTACAGGATGCTGTTCCACGGTATGGACATGTGTCCAACACATCGCGTTTCTGCTTCTCCGGATCAATCTACTTCAAAACAAGACCAAACATACGGCGCAGATTGGGTATGACAATTTGCTGCGACGCCTCTCAACACAATTCGACGACACATTCCTGATGAAGCTGACCCATGGTGACGACGCTTTGTGACGACACAAAGATTGATGACACATTGCCTCTTGACGACACATGACCTTTGGCGACACATTGCAACGGCAAATTAGGTGACGACGCATTACCCGTTGTCGCATGACCTGTTGGCGACGCATCACGTCAGAACAGATTCGGTGACGACACATTGCCCCTTCATGATGCATTACCCGGCGACAACGCATTGGTGACGACACATTATCCGCTGACGACACACTGCCCGTTGGCGACGCATCTTGACGATACATGACATTCGGAAATGCCACATTGCCTCTTGACGAAGCATGATCCGCCAGAGACGGTTGCGATGACGCATGTCGTGACGACAGACTACCCCGTTGGCGACTCATTTTGAGGACACGCTCGCTTTAAAACAGGGCGATCTCTCGTGTTCCCCTCCCCTCACCCATCTGGCAGCTCAATCGTTCCCTGTTTGTTTCACACGCCTTCACAGAAAACCAACTGTGTGGAGCCAAACAGGACGGCATACAGTTTTTTTGGGCGAAACCCTTTGCATGTCGTCGTACTCACAAATGGCACGCGTTCAACTCAGAGGCAAAAATTGATTGAACATAAAAGACACGCGAGAGATGCTCACAGTGGTTGTCAAGTTTTTTCTGCATGCATTTCGTTCCAGCCATCCCGGAAGCGAGTTCACTCTTCAAGTCCAGCCACACCTGTTCAAATCTAGTTCACTGTTTAGTAACTCGTCGTCGTCGTGCAAAATATCTCGTGTCAAACCACGGGAGATGCTACACATGTTCAAGGCTACACACTGCCCTAGATTCCAAAGCATGAAAAACACACATGCACAGAACAATAGCGCGTGAATGCTTCCTGAACGCATCAGACCACATAGCCTGGTTGAGGAAGGCAAGTTTGCAAACACCCGGTGAAGTTACAATTCAGCCTCATGTTTGGGCAGCGACACGAGTTGCATCTGCCAAAACCACACTGAGATGCAAAATGCGATGCGCAAGCAACGGCAAAGGACATGTCTGCCCCACATCAATTGCGTTGCTCCGAGACAGATGCGTAACGCGTGTCTCTTGCCTTAATAAACATGGAAGCCATGACGATGGCAGCGGTCGCTGAACCCACGATCCGCCGGATGCTGCTTTGCAAAAGCGAGGGGAGTGAGGGTGTGCAAGACAAAATCCAAGACAAAATGCAAAACGCACGAGGCTCACCCACCCACCCACCACACTTGAGTGGAAAACATGCGCATTCTGGTCACTCTGAGCATGCACATGTCAAATGATGACACACTCGCACGTCAGAGTCCATGATCTGAGAATTTCGCCGATCTAAGAGCTCCACCCAAAGGATCAAACCATGCTCTGTCGTCGACTCGCACTGACTCTCACTCTCACCCTCACTCACTCTCAAACTCACGCTCACTCAGACTCCAATTCACTCAGACTCACACACACTCAGTCTCGCTCTCGCTCTCGCTCTCGCCCTCGCTCTCGCTCTCCTTCTCACTTCCACACTTTCACTCACAGTCACACTCACACTCAGACTCACAAAATCACACACACACACACACACACATACACACACAATCTCACTCTCACTGACTCTCACTCGATCACTCTCACTCTCACTCTCACTCACTTTCTCACTTCACGCCCTCATTCTCACTCATTCACTCACTCACTGGCACCGACTCACCCACCCACTACCCACTGACTCAGTCCTCGCTCACCCACTCACGCACCCACTCATCCACCCCACTCACCCTCACTACTCACACTCGCGCTGACATTTACACCCACACTCAAACTCACACTCACACTCACACACTCGCGCTCATACTCCACTTCACTCACTCACTCACTCACTCACTCACTCACTCACTCACTCAGTCAGTCACTCACTCACTCACCACCACCACTCACCACTCACTCACCACCACCACTCAACCTCACCACACCACCACCACCACCACCAACACCACCACCACTCACCACCACCACCACCACTCACTCACCACCACCACCACCACCACCACCACCACCACCACCACCACCACCACCACTCCACCACCACCACCACCACCACCACCACCACTCACCACCACCACCACCACCACCACCACCACCACCACCACTCACTCACTCACCACCACCACCACCACCACCACCACTCACACCACCACTCACCACACACCACCACCACCACCACTCACCACCACTCACTCTCACCACTCACTCACTCACTCACTCACTCACCACCACCACTCACTCACTCACTCACCACCACCACTCACTCACACTCACTCACTCACTCACCACTCACTCACCACCACTCACTCACCACCACCACCACCACCACCACTCACCACCACCACCACACCACCACACTCACACATACAATTTTCATGTTTCATTGGCCCTCAACAAGTCGCTCGAAACTTCAAAAAACTCGGACAATCCAACCTAACCTTCACACAGGAGTGCTGTTCTGAATGAACAAAGGCACCAAACAGCTAGACACACATCAACAAATTATGTTTTACGGCCCTAATATTTTACGCCGAGCCACGCACAAGCAATCGCGTAGACTAAAGAACACAATCTTCGAACAACAAAAATATTGTCATGTTTCGATGTCAATCGGATGCTTGGTTCCACAAAACTCAGACAAATCGTTTAACTCCCTTCACAAACCAATCTGATGCTCGCAAAGCAATCTAATGAACCCCTTACAAGCCAATCAAGCCCCTCTCACAAGCCAATCTAGCCAGTCTCCACAAGCCTGATTGGTGACTTGTCACAAGTCAATCTGATGCGCCCCACAGTTCAAACTGATGAGCAAACCATTGGCTGTGCGGTTTGAAGTGCGTCACGCGATTTCCTTCGAAGCAAACATGTGTGGCAGAGACATGCTGGATTCGGGTGTAGACTCCGCTTGGCCCACACACACAAGAGTGTTGTCTGTGTGTGTTTTGACTTGGGATCTCGGTCGAAGTTGCTGATGTGAGCGGCGTAAGTGTGCAATGGCAACATCCTTTGGGACGAGATCCTGGTGTTTTTTCACCTCGCAGCTGCTGTAGAAAGCAAACGGAAACAAACAAGTACAAAGCCCAAACAGAAGCAACGTACAAAAACCTGAAAGATGGGGGGGGGCAAACAACCCAAAAACAAAGACTGATCAGTGCAACGTCCTTGAGCAACATCCAGATTCAGAATTAAACATACAAGATGTTGAAAGCACAGTATCACGATCTTCAAGATCCATCCACCAAACAAAAGCTCAGCAACTGCACAAGAAACAATGAATGGGAGTCCAGACCAGAGGTCAAGCAAAATGGGCGACTCTATACAGCCCCCACACATTAGCAAGACGGAGTCTGTGCTCGACATCTCCGTAAAAGACATGCAAAAATAGGTGAAGCGCCTACCAAATGTCCGATGTCCATATTCAACCGAAGAAGCACAGGCGCGAATTCCAGAAGAGCAAGCACAGCGCTGCCATACTGAAGTTAAAGAGCCAACTCAGTCCACAATAGACTCATCAGTCCAGAACAAGACGGACTTGCATGACGATTTGCATGATGACAAAACGAGCTCTCAACCAAGAAGCTTGTACCACTGCCCGAAAATGTTCTGAACGATCAGCAGGGCCTGTCATACGATGCGTCGCTCGTCCATGAATCATCTGCATATCTGCGCAAACCAATCCTCATTGCCAAAGCGCACCCGACATTCTTTGGACAAGAGTCGCAGGTGAGAACCACGATCTGCAAACCAAAACTGCAAGCTGCCACCTCGGATGGTGACTGAGGCATCCTCAATCTGCAACAAAGGGGAGCCACACCGTCGCCAAATGCGGCAAGCCAAGTTGCTCTCTCGTCAAGAAGCCAAAAAAAACAAAAATCGGCTTCCGTAGGCCACAGCTGAGAGAAGCTGCGCTCTTCACATCCGCTGTATCCGACAGCGCCTGAGGTTGAAGGTCAACGCTCCGCAAGTGAGCACTCAAGAAGCGTGTCCAGCCATCGCCACACACAAAGAACGGTCGGCAGCTCGAGAACGAGAAGAAAGCGACAACTCTAATGAGCATTCGCCAAGCCGGCAAAAGAGAAAGAAACTATCTGCAGGGACACACGCGCCACATCAGCAGCATCAGCTTTATGCGTTGAGAAGCTGGACCTTGACCACTGCAGCTCTGCAGCATCCGCCAAGGTGCCAAAATGCCGCGCGACAACAAAACAGCAATCCTCCAGTCGGACAAGCGAGGCAGAGAATTTGTTTTGCACGTCGAGGCCACCAACACCGCCAATACGAAGGTTCACTCATGCGCGACCATCATTGCGTTGCGTGCACAACACGCACGCAGCTCAGTAGAGTTGCTACACTGATTGGCCTGGAGTTCTCCCATGCGTAGCCGCACAGGGCGGTCGATCTTGATCTCCAGCACCATCTCGCGTGTCGATTACGTGCTGCCATCTACTGCGATGCCGGGACTTGCTGTCGAATGCGTCTGAAGAAGCCACGTTGGTCAGATTAAACCCACGTTGAGACGTCCATCCGGTGCTAGGTCTTCGCAATGCGGCCGATCCGACACGCGCGCACACGAAAGCCATAAGCCCCAGCAGCCAGCCTACAAGTGTTTGCTCGGGCGCA